ATAATATTTTAAGTCCTTATTAAGTAAGTATAGATACTAGATATTCCTAGTACTAGGCTTAGCCTTATTTATATATATAGGCTATTAAAAGGAGTGCTAAAGTTCTAATTAAAATTAATAAGTTAAAGCTAGAATTAAAATTAGTGGTGATTAGTTAATAGGTGCTAACTATAACTCTAGAGCGCCTAGAAAGTCCGATCGCTTAAAAAAGTGCCCGAAAACTTTTTAACTCGCGTTTGACGCTCGTGTAGGCTCCCGCTATTGCTTGTGCAGTTCGATGCACATGTGGAAAGGTGCGTCGGTGGAAGGCTGCGTGGGTGGAAGGCTGCGTAGGTGAAAAGCTGGGTGGCATCCCTGTCAGGGGTATCATTGAAAAAGGACATATTTGAGAGGCGTGCCTCGTCCCATTGATGAGGTAGAAAACTTAGTTATCCTGCTCCAACGACTGATAAGCGAAATGCATTCTGCGCCGTCACTGTCTTGCAGCCGGCTTGGCAAAGTGTTGACAACTCGAACTCGGACCCTGGCATCCCCACTTTTTTACCTCTTTAGTCTTTCCATGTTTGGTGCAACATTCGTCTCGGCGTCAATACTGGTCGACGAGAACCCTGTTGTACCTGGTTATGTGATGCGATATGGTATAGTCCCCCTCGAGTTGTGACGTGGTCTAGTTTAAACTAGGAGCTGAGAGCTAAATAAGTCGGTCGTATATTTCCATAGCCCCTCTGGTTTGGCTCCACTCCGAGGATCCGTTCAGACCGTCCGACCTCATCAAGCACTTGCAACACACTACGCCCATGATCAACGGGAAACCCGTCGAAGATCCTTCAAGTATCAATCTGGATAACCTTGATCGCCTAAACACAGCTGGAGAGAAGAAAGTAGCTCTCACTTCTAAAGATGACGTTACGAAATTTCCTCCGTGGCTATACGGTCAAGAGCCGGACGGAGACGGGAAACTACACAATGCAACGGCATCTGTAGTCATTGTTGTGGAGAAACCCCCCCAAGATGTGGACGCCTTCTACTTTTACTTTTACTCGTATGATCAAGGAGGAAACATGACCCAAGTGAAGGAGCCGCTTGGCAGCTTCATCGGCTCTCAGGACGGTCTGCATTTCGGAAGTCATGTCGGGGACTGGTGCGTGGAATTCCGATTCTCCATGGGGGGGCCACGCTTGCTAATGGAAATATCACTTATTAGGGAACATAATATGGTTCGTTTCCGTGGTGGGAGGCCCACTGGTATATACTATAGCCAGCATTCGGACGGCGCAGCCTATGACTGGCACGATGAACGGGTCATGCTCAAGGATGGCCGGGTAAGTCCTTCGCCAAACAAAGGTCCCCATTCCGGACGCTTCAGTGCTAAATGAGTAACATTCAGCCATACGTTTATAGCGCACTCGGCTCGCATGCCAATTATCCTGCTTCCGGGTAACGTCCACCTGGTGCTATTTCGTTCCACATCACCTACTAACTTGTTTGTCTTGATCCGCGTGCGTAGCGAGCAAACGCATGACTCGGTCTTGTTTGACAACTGCGACAGCGGTATGCTCTGGGATCCTGTTGCATCAGCATACTTGTTCCATCTCGATCCCGACAGCTTCCGTCTTACCCGCCTGTCTCCATCCAAGTCCAATCTCGCAACGTCCAACTTGACGTCCTTTTTCTACTTTGACGGGATTTGGGGAGACGACGAATATGCCCAAGACGATCCCCGCCAGCACAAGGTTCCATGGGTAGGGCTGAAACGGTTCGTCGCGGGACCGCAAGGCCCAGCGTACAAAGGACTTGTCAGGAAGGGGCTCTTTCCGGACGGCCATGGGGGAAAGAACTTTCTACAGTGGGCTGCGGCAGCTTTCATGGCCTTGTACCCAAACTACTTTCGAGCCTGGAGAAAGTGGATCACGATATCGGTCATTGTCGTGCTGGTGACGGTACTGGTGGTGGGCGGGGGACTTGTGGCAAGGCGATGTAAGCAAAACAACAAGCCAAGATATGAGCAACTGCCTGTTGAAAATATCCCCTTGATGGAAATTTCCTGTGAGCATGACGGACCGTGTAGTCCACTTGAAGATGATGGAAGCTAGCACGCACTGGCTAGTGCCCTTTATTGTAGAGGTATTTTTTTTTTGGCATACCATAGAGAGACCATCGCCGTTATGTTAGACTGCAATTTTGGTACACGTAGACGATAGAATTCAATATATCGGAAGCTGAAGCTTGACAAATTGTCAAGAAAGGGTTCTAACCAGCCTAGACAGCCCGTCAGCCCGTCAACCCAACGTCTAAGTCTCAGAAGGGCCGCGCGTCCAAGCATCCAGCGCATAGGCATTAGAGTCGCTATATACCAGCACAATCTGCCACACTAAATTCAGCACAGGTAGAAAATTGGAATCTGGCAGATATTTACACGTGGCGTGCTCAACGACGGCAAGGGCATGTTGATCTATCATATAGAATCTTGTCACCAGTATATTGTTTCAAGATGGAAGGGAAAAACTACACACATCCAACTTCACAACTCGACCCTTTTCAGACCGCGGCCGACACCTGGTAGGCTCCTTAAACCCCCAGCAGCCAATATCGGCGTCTCTCCGCGACCTCTTTGGGTTAATATCAACTGCAGCACCCGCCTCAAGCAGCACTTTCACAGTTACCTCGTGCCCGCCTATAGTAGCTATTAATAGCGGCGTAAATCTAAATTATTCTTAGATATCAACTTTAGCACCTACCTCTAGTAATATCTCAATAGTATCCTCCTACCTGTCATTAGCATGAGATTGACGGGGGAAAAATCCCCATTATGTTGAGGTTGCTTCTCCGCTGCCCTGCGGCCAGACAGATGGGAATTCAACACCAAAGTGTTGACATAGCTTGCTGGTCCATACCAGTAATAGGGCGTGCATCTAGCCCCCGCCCCCCCTCAAACATCTTGTTACGAATATTTATTTAAAACGCCTTCCCCGTCAACTAGTTCATTCAGTCATCTTCAAGACTTGGACTTGTTTACTCTGTCCGTCGGCGAATTCCAGGCTGATTTGATGAGTTGTCAATCTTTGGGCATCAATGCAGCTCAGCTTTTCAGCGACGCGGCTTAGTATCCTACTTTGCCTACTTCACCATGGGTTGCTTGTCTTGCTTTCAGCTTCATTCTTGGCACTGATCGGCGATTCGGGACGGCCCGCACCCTCCTCTATATGTGCCGCGTATAGAAGCGTTCTAGGTTAGGACGGCAAGGAAAACAACCATGATAAACTAAAATGTTAAAAGTTATGCTTTCTACTGAAATAAATTTCTAGTACTAACTATAAAAGCAGTGCTGATTTTACGGCACTCTATTAATGTTAATCTATCTTATGGTCTATCGCCGATTAACCTAGCCAGGCGCACCCATGACCCCATTCTAGCAATTTTTCGACTCGGCGGCGCTGAAGCCCACGTCTCGTACTGTTACGGCTAGATCGTATCGTAGGCAATATTACTCTCAATCTTTTGGCTTGTTCTATTATCTCTCCTTCTAAACAGTTCACGTGTGACGGTCAGCTATTTACCGACGAGTTCATCTTCACCTGCACGCACACGCCCCGATTCCGCGGCGCTTCCCCAGCACACGCCTGAACCAACACAAAGCCCTCCACTCCCGTAGTTGCCTTTGGAGCATGTAATCGTGTACAGTACTTATTAAACACGAAATGATATATTTATAACAATACTACTAAAGCGAAAAGTCACCATATGTCCGTCTCCAACCTACTTTGCCTTATTCTCCTTCTTCGTCCTCACCGACCAGCCCTTTCGCACTACTCTCTTATTAACCTGCGGGATCCGATACGCTCTATCCCTCTCCAAACGATGCCTCTCCCAAAAATCACTCGCTTCTTTCCGCAATACACCACTACCACCACCACCACCACCGCTTGATCGACTTCCCTCTGCCTCGCCCTCCTGGTCCACATCCTTCCCCCACGACACATACCCAGCCAGCGCATGCAGCGCCCGCATGCTCGGATCCCAGAGGAATACCCAAAAGTACTCTTGCACGCGCCGCACGCCTTCTTGAAAGGAGCCAAAGAGCCTGCGGACAGTCGTGCTCCAGGCCACCACCAGCGAAGCGACAATGAGAAAGACGCTGGCCGGGAGCGAAATCACACCAATAGTCTTGAGGGAGAGGTTGTTGTCACCACCCCATTCTTGCGTGTTCATGCCGAACAAGCCGGTAAAAAAGGTCAGGGGCAGGAAAATGACGGTAAAGACGGTAAAGATCATGACGCTGCGGCTCTGCGCGCCAGCCACATCTGCATGCAATCTGCTCAAGCGGACCTCGTCGACCTGTGCCTGCCGCTGAACCATCTGCAGCAGCTTGTCATAATCGTCTCTTGTGTCGTGGACTCGTCTAATCATTGCTTCCACTTGTTCAATGTACTCCGTAACCTTTTTCGACGCCTCGTCTAGAAAGATGCGTCCGTTGACAGTGTGTTCGCGTAATTCGGCGCGAGCGTAGATTGCATGCATAGATGAGATTACTTTACTCTGGCGTTCAAAGAGTTGAAGCAGCGTTACAAGCTCGTCTCCGATATCGCGCAGCTCAAGAAGTGCAGAGGTGTTGTCGCGGTTCTCTCGTTCGGCGCGTCGGCCCTCCTCCTTGTGACGGGCCCGGATGAAGCGCAGTCGATTCTCCACTGGCTCAAAGTCAAAAGTTTTGTCGCGCACGCCCTCTGTGCGGAATTCTTTGAGGGACAATGTGAGCTTCTCAGTCTATTTTGGCTATTAGTGAACTGGTTGTTAAAAGATGCTCGGGGGACGGATTCTCTTTACCAGGACGCTGATTGCTTCCTCGAAAATGCGAAACACTTCGAGATCCGGATGGGACGAGCGTTCTAGAAGAATTGTTACAGCATGTAGCACAGACAATGCGGCTAAATCAAGGGCGCTCTCGCACTGGCAAGTCACGTCTACGTTGACCTCGTTGAAGATGCTATCCCGTAGATCTGCTTGTTGGAATAGCGGACCTTCGATAGGGTCTCCCTCTCGTTTGGGAAAGAAAGTGACCACCGTTTCTGCAACAGTCAGCAATCCAAAACATCTTTGGACATTGTAAAGCACTCACGTGTGTCGATAACCCACAACCATAGCTGGTCGACCATCAGAACATTGCCATTTAGGACATCTTCGTCGCCACCCTGGTCCTCGTTCTGCCCTCTGAGACGCATTAATCTCTCCTTCCATCCGGTATTTCCACTTTCGTTACCGCTGCGGTTAGATCCATCCCGACTACTCGTTCCTTGAGAGCCAAGCTGCTGCTGAAGTCCGCTCAGGCCAAAGCGCTCCTTGGTCAATTTGTACAGCATCTGATCGTCGTCTCGCGATCGAGTATCGCGCAACGACGGATACCCAAACTGGTCAAGCGTGCGGCGACAGTTGATTGGTGGATCATTTCCCAAGTAGTCCCAGATGACTTGCAACTCGAGCGAATCCATCTTGGCGACATTATTGGGGACTGGGCGCGCGCGGCCCTGAGCCAGGCGTTGTGTGATCAAGTTGCGACGTCTGAGTAGGCGCTTGTAGGTATCAAAGTGCAGGTATGGCAAGAAGAGACAAGTGTACATGCCTTCGTTGCCTGCAAATGGCGACGTGGTAGGACTGGCGGCAGACATGCTCAATGGCGACACTGTTTAATGATTAAAACATTCTTCTAAAGAAGGCCGAAGTGAACCGACTTACAAGCTCTTGGGGCTGTGTAATAGCAGCCAGGTTTTGCAAAATATGCATAATGCTGGGCATGTCGTCCTCTGGTATGCTTGGTCGCCCAGAAATCCGGTCCATACAAGTGCGACAGATTCTTTCCAGAACACGCTTGTAGAGTTTGCAAGATGCTCTATACACAATGTTAATTGTCTACCCAGCCACCCTTGTTATTCCTCTACGTACCTTGACCCACGCAGGGTTGTTGTATGGCAGATGAATCCACGTAAACTTCTTTGCATGCGCCTCCGGCCTCACAAGTTCACTCGCACCCGCACCTGCATTGCCAGATCCACCACCAAAAACCGAACGTATGCCAAGGATGTTCTCCGGCAGCGCCGGCAACGGCTCTACATCATCTTCCTCGTCATTCAACACGTCGTCTACACCTGTACTCCGGCTGCGGACCGAAAATGGCGGAAAATCGCGATACTTGAATCGCGAGGCCCCGTCGGTGCCGAGGCTCGCCGACCGGCTCAAAGATATACCCGGTGTGCTAGCTCTACGACCGTGCAAAGGCGGCGAGAGTCGATCAATAACGAGATCCTGCTCAAACTGCGCGCGAATAAACGGAGAAGCGTGATGGGCAACAGATGCGGCGTAGCGGTTTGGTGGTGATGGTGCACAGAATGGGGGTGATGCGATCGGACCGACAGGTGCGGATTTGGGTGTCGATGCTAGCGGAGCGTTGGGAAGGCCGCTCAACGCTTGTAGAACTGGTGACATTGGTACAACAGCCGACATGGTCTCAAAAATCTTGCTATCGATCCCCAGGGCGTTTTTGATCGTCAAGGCGGGAGGCACTGAGATGATGGCCCTTGACGGCGAAGGTGAGTGTTCGACGCTGGCGTCTACTTGCGCGACTGATGTTCTGCCTCTAGCTTTGAGGAATTGTCCCTGGCCTGGTGAGCCATCTATCTCATTCAATCTTTCATTCAAGCATTGCTCGAGACCCTTGTTCAAAAACTCGCGCAACGGAAGTCGGGTGGACCACGCGCGCATCGCCGTCATGCCAACGCCACCAATAAAGTCATCAAAGAAGCCATGGATTTCGACATTGACCTTTTGCTCGAGGTTTGGCATGCTCCAGTGTGCAGTGCCCTGGTCGCTGCTACTAATAGCAATATTTGCATCCGCATGCTCGACTTGCTCGGCGATTTGGCGAAGAAAAAGTCTCATGGTTGAAACGTTGTGCCGGCCAAATGACGCCACGTTGGCGTGATCGCTCTGCAATGGATATATTCTCTCTTGTCTCATACCCAGAATCGCTGACTTGGTAGACGTCAGGGGTGCCGTGAAGTAGATACTATCTCCTACAGCATTACCACTTGTCGTCGTCTCCGTTCGCGATACAACAGTCCCGGTACCGCGCCCAGACAGACGCGAATCAATCGTCTCATAAAAGGTCCATATACGCATATCACTCGCAATCTCCTTGAAGTCCTCGTCAATGCGCGACAGTAGGTTGTTCCCCACGCGCAGATCCGCCGTAAGCGTCTCTGGCAGCGGCGCGGACAGCTGCAGTAGGCGTTGTATGCTCGTTGCAAGGGAGTGCATCGCAAAGTAGCTCGATCCCTGATGTGGTGTGCCAAAAAATGCGACGCCGTAGCACTGGTCGAGCATATCCCGGTAACGTTCGTCGCGACTCGCGCGCACCAGCGCCATCTTCGCCACGAGGCCGCCGAGGCTGTGAGCCAGAATAAGCAACGGCCGTCTCGGCAGACCGTCACGCACACGCAGCTTGTGTAGTGCCTGCAAGAACTCCTCGGCGAGATAGTGCAGCGTTGTGCCCTCGGCAAGCTGCGGGTGGGCGTAGAGCAGGATGCGCGCCTTGTCGGCCTCGCGACGTAATCCCTGGCGAACCCAGGACGTCGACGGGTGCTCGCTGCTGCTGTTGCCCTCGGCATCGCGCATCGACGGCGCGCCAAAGTAGCGACCGATTAGCCCTTCACGGTTCCATGTGCGGAATCGATGGCCGCCAGGGCACGGAACTGTGACGACGTCGACTGTAGTAATGTCGTAGGTGAGGTCGCCGGCTGGGTCAAGAACAAACTGCGCGTATTCGCTTTGTTGTGCACGGAGCGGCTCAGAATCCCCTAGCCTCTCAAATCCAGTAGCATCTGGCTTCTCGCAGCTGTCTTTCTCGCTGGAGTCGCACTCTTGAGCCGAGAAACGCCGCTCCGCTAGACTGGGTTCACGAGCCAAGCGCTGCGGCGTCATGATATTACGTGGGTTTGCAAAAGTTGTCGAGGCGATATTGGCGAATTTCTTGGTTTTTGGCATGATTGACTCTCTTCATGACGGTTTCGAAGCTGTCCTGGCTGGCTTTCACTTGGCCCGTGTCAGTAGTGTAAGTGACGATCGTGAGTGCAAGAACGAAAAACGACGAGAAAAGTGGAAAAAAAATTTGCGAAATAGATCAAGCAGGTAAATGCAAGAGATGGATCGTAAACGCCGACAATTTAAGAATCTCAGACGCCCCCTTGAGGCTCGTCGTCGCATCTTCCCGAACAGTCAGCTGGTCATGCTGTCTCATGGCCTATGTCGCGCCGAAAAGGCCGGTCACGGTCGCAGTCTGGCAATGCATGTCCAGATCGAAGGCTACCTTGCAAAAAGTCCGCCGAATGCCGCAGCGAAAGCACCGTAGCTCTGGAACTGATCAAAAAGTGTTTCAGACGTCATGTCGGTCGGGTCTTGAGTTGCGTGACGTCTATTCCATCCCTGTATTCAAAGGGTTAGTACATGGCTCCTCAAACAGGTTGCCATGTAAATGTGTGCCAACCCTGCCCACCGACACCACTAGTTAGTTAGGTTGTACGTGACTCGTTCACATGGTTGCAACCGCTAAATGTCATGGAGCTAGCTGCAGACGCCACATCGGAAATGGTGTGCGGCTGCCGAAAAGTTCGAGGAGCGTGAGTAAGAATATCTTCGTTAATTTAGCAAAGAATATTGAGGTTATGTATAAATTTCGAAAGGAACCACAAGCGTCAAGTTGCGTCAGTAATACCCCATCGTTCTGTGCATGTGCTCTTGTCGCATGGCCCAAATAACGATGTAAGATGGATGCTCCTAAAGATCCCAGATAAAACGCGCCGAGGAAAGCGAAAGGAAAACTACCAAAAGAAGAAAAAAAATAAATGCTGTTGATACAAAACTTGAAGGGTGGATGAACTGCTCAAGACAAGAGCGAGTAGCTTTTCACTGTCGTGCAGTGAATTGTTGCATCAATGTATAGCTTGTTAGTCGCGACACACGTCTCGCCGGGCCGGATGATGAAGAGGCTGTTGGGTCCTGTGCCAAATCTTTTGGCCCCTATCGTCATCTCGACCTTGCCCGATGCCACAGAGCAAGTCCGGAGTTGCGAGTCGTCTGCCTCCCACCGAGCCTTGTCACCCGGTTTGATCGTAATGACATTAAAAGCAACGTCTTCGGAGACTGTAATCGGCTCGCGCCCATTAAGATAGGCATTGGAGTAGGCAATGTCTGGAAAAAAGCTGATTAGTAACAAATAGAGGGATGACGTGAGCCCAACATACTTTCGCCGTGCGCTGCGTCAACTATTCGACCGGGTGCAACCTCCCAGCTCTCCATCTCAAGCTGCGGCGGAGGAGCCTGGGCTGAGCGGCCAGGCCGAGTGGGCGGCCCAGGAGAAATTGAGTCTCTCGATATTCTCAATGCCGCTGCAGATCTCGACGTACGGCCAGACGGAGGAAGCTGATATGACTCCGCCGGCCGAGGTCCACCTTGGACCGTCCTTGGCTCAGTCAATGCGCGACTCTGGCTATAGACGAATCGAGTCGGTGGCTGTTCCAAGGACAGTGGCGCCGGAATCATGTTGACCCTTCTTTTATTGTTTGCCGTGGTTGAGTCAGCAGATTTAGCATCCGGAGGTGGTAGCTCGAGAATGTCTGCTTTTCCAGCTTTGATGACGGCCTCAACAGCTCTGGCATTCCGCCGTCTTTGCGCAATTTCATCTGCAACCCGTGGCTGACGGAATGGAGCACCATAGCCATCTTCTTCTGATGATGATGAAGACAATGACTCTTCAAGCCCATCAACACGTTTCGCGTATCGGTCGAGGAAATCCCGTGACCTAGTCGCCCATGAGCAATAATTCGCCCGCTCATGGATCTCGGCAGCGTAATAGCAGCCCACGCAGCTATTCTCAGGGAAGTGCAAATTCTTTAGCCTGCTGGAGAGCTCAAACGGAACAGCAACGGAGCAGTCTGACAGCCTGTGGTCGGGGTCGCCCAACGAAGCGTTGCAGGCGTCCTTCCCAAACACTTCCACTCCGGTGACGTATGCGAGTGCGAGGCTAAATATCGTCATACTCACGGGCTTCTTCTTGTAGAAGTCGATCCACGATTGGGGCAAATGACGTCGCTTTGGGAGCTGGGCGAGCTCTCGAACGAGTGCTGAGCGTAAACACTCAAAGTAGCCTTTCCCGCGTGAAGTGAATTGACCGACGTACGTGAAGGGATCAGGGTGCGTCAAGGCCACATGCGCCGGAGTAAACGGCTCCAGCTTTTTATCGGCATACGCACCCTCCTCGTCTTTTCCGTCCACGCTGACTCGAGATACCACAATAGCCCGCCAACTCTCTCCGGGAACTCTCTTAAAGGTGCCGGTTTTCGTAAACGTGCCGTCGCAATTATCGTTATACGCGCTACCTTTATGTGCTGCTGAAAAATGACCCCCCAGTGCCCTTGCACTATCAAAAGATTTACGGCAGTCTACGTCTGGACAGACGTAAGGGAACTTGGATGAGAGGCGGAGTCGATAGTTTGTTGGAATGAGGGCGCCGCTCATACTTTCCACCCTACCCTTGTAAGCTGCACAGACACTTGTTAGCTTCGTGCTTATTGCTCAGCAAAGAGCAAATATGGTATTGCACAAACCATGATAGTAATCATAGGCCATTCCATCAGCACGAGTAGCGATGGCGTCGTTGTGGTTAAACGTTAGCCATGCGCCTCGGGGGTGCTCCCCAACATCCCGAGGGCGAGTTCGTACTTCAAAGTCGCGTATAAGCTGAATTGATCTCTCAATGGTATTCTTAACGGATGAAGAAGGCCCTGGTGGTTCTTCGATTGATGTGGAAAGCGTGCGCTTTGTGGGCCTTGATGAAGCGTCAAGCGCTGCATTGCTGGGACTACGCTTTTCACCGGTGATGGGCACCGCGGATAAGCCCGTCAAGGCTAATTCTGTATCTAGATCAGAATCGTCATAGGAGAAGCTCCTTTTCCCAGAGCCCTCAGAGTACATATGGCCACTCGCAAGCACTCACCTTTGGCTGATTCAGGGCTAGACTTGTCCGAAGCTGTCGAGTCGCTGGACTCGGAGTCGGTGCTGTTGCTACTCGACTGACCACGAACCTCTTTTTTCTGCTCCCACTCGCGCTGAGCAGCCATGATGGCCGAGTTGAGCGACATTAGCTTGGAGCTTGCACGGCTCACTGGGGTTGCGGGCTGCACATATGAAGGCAGTGGCACCTCGCTGACCGTCCTTGGGACAGGTCGCAGGTCCGGTAGCGGCACCTGACTCATGGCCCGCGAGCCGGAAGGTTGCGGTGATGGCATGATTTTGCCAATCGTCAATGGCCGTGCAATTCGATCAAGCTGGCCGTCGTGGCGTCATACAGACATACCGGTGATGGCGAGGTGCCGGGTTGGCTAGTCCGACTGTTTCGTAGGTAGGTGTTGAGCCACTAGTTGTGGCGTGAAATGCCTTGGTAATGAACAAGGTCTTTCTTTCTTGACGCAAGGATGTGTTGAATGAGCGCCTGACACAATAGGAACGTGCGCTTAGCTGCGATTGAGGCCGTCACTTGTGCTGCACACAAAGACGAGCAAGCGCGACGCGTTTGGACGGGTGAAGGAGTGTCACAGCACGCACCATGGGGCACAAGCCAGCGCAGTCTGGCTCCACAACCAGACAGTAATTAACTACCACCGTGAACGGAAATTATCCAGGCCAACTTGTGCTGATTAAAACTTTACATTTGATGCATACATGATTATCTCTGAGCAGGGACTCTAATGAAGTTTCGAGATTCATGCGTTGAAAAAAATCGCATCCTACTGAAGATCCGCTGTGGTCCTGCAAAAAGTCAAGATTTTGGTAATATACAGATCTCTGTCCTCTCCCAGGACCGTTCTCTATTGTACACATGTTTCTCATTTCTTGGCCTTGGCCTTCTTCGCCGCCTTCTTACTCACCACCTTCTTGCCCGGTTTGTACGCATCGCCACCCTGTTCAGCGCGTCTCGTCTGTGCCTGGCGCTGGCCCGCAAGCTCCCTCTCGCGGCGCCAGCGCCTGTTGCGGAGGTACTGCTTTCGGGTGCGGAACCGTTTGAGCTTCAGTCCCGTTGTCTTGACCAGCCGGCCGATGCGCCAGTTGTCCTCGCGGTAGCTGTAGTCGTCGCGCAGCTTGAGCAGGCGGTCCGGCTCGCCGGCCTGCACGCGTGTCACCTCGAAGGGGATACCCGACGCCGACAGCTCGGGCTTGACAGGCGCCTCGCGAATCGGATGCGCCGTCATATTGAGGCGTCGCTTGCGCTCGGCGTGCGCGGGATACGGTAGGGTGTCCTTCTTGTCGAAGACGACGCCAATGTATTTGCGGTCGGGGTGGCGGGCCGGATCGCGGTAGTACTTGACGTAGCCCGTCGCTGTCGCATGGATAGTGTGGTCGCGGCCCATGTTGCAGTTTTCGCCGGGCCACCAGGGCGTTCCGCGCTGCTTGTAGATGATGTTGCCAGGGATGACGAATTGGTCTGACGGGGGAGAATTAGTCTCTCCAGTCCCGAGAGGCACACTAGGCTCTCGATGCTTCAATAGCATCTATATAGGGTCCCAATTGACGTACCTCCAGTTCGCTTAGCTCCTAGCTTCTTGGGAATGCCTCGCTTCGGTTTTTGCTTGTACGCTCCTTGCGCCTTGACCGAGGCGTATCTCTGGCCCAGGACAACGGCATGACTGAGTTGCGGCTGCAACGTAATGCCGGCCAGTCTTGACAAAGTAGAAGTCGCTGTCAGCGACGGCCTTTGGGCCGAGAGAAACCGCAATGCCATTGCGCTGCCAATCGATGCTGACGAAGTGACTTTTATGGGGGCGTCCACGGATTGAAGCTCGACTTGGACAAGGCGAATTCGCAAATTTGGAGTTGGGCTGGCTTAGTCATGCAGCACAGTTATCGATACGCCATGCAAAGTGGCCAGCAACACATCAGTGACAATGCCGTCTTTTGCATAATAATTATTGCACATATTATCTTTGTTTTGTGATTTCAAGTAACAACTGAAGACAGTCTGTCACAATGCGCTTACTGATAGCATTCTTGTCGCTATTATCACTGGCGAGCGCCCAGTTTGGCTTCTTTGACCAGATGTTTGGCCAGCAGGAGCAGCATCATGGTCAACATCACCAGCAACAGAACAACCCGAGTGACGCTTCACAATATCACGCGCGCTACGATGGCTGTAAGTCACGACTCTCGTAGCATATTGAAACTTTGAATTCTGAGGTTCTCGTTTGGCGAATTCTTTACTAATTTGCTATGTAGCCGTCTGCGACAAGTACCTATGCCCCGATTCGCTCGCGTGCGTACATTTTCCACACCACTGCCCCTGCATTTGGGACAAACACGAGGAGAAATTCGAAATTGGCGAGGGCAAACGACTCTGCATCTCAAGAGGCGGCTTCAAGGACGGCGAGGCGGCGCGAAAGGTTGAATTGGCACGCAAAGGCTTGTTGTGAAGACAATCATCAAATTACTACTATATACATTAGAGGCGCAATCACAATTGATGGTAATCAAAATTGTTACAATTGCTAATGAGCACACGTAAACTTCATGTTTAGAACGTAGCGGTACATAGGCACCGAAGTGGCCATCTGTGGCAATAACACAGCAAGAAGGCAAGGCCCCAAAACAGGCAAAACGCCAAGATGCACACTGAAAAAAGGTAATTACATAACCAACGACTATGAAAGACCATTGGGAATGCGTGGAACGGGAGGGACCACCTTTTCTTCCTCCTCCTCCTCGTCTTCATCGTCGGGGAGGTATTCCGGGTTGCCCAGTAGCGATGCTACGTTGTGCATCTCATAGTGCTTCTTGCGGAGCTCTTCAAACTTGTGGTGTTTCTCGACATCTTCTGGGGAGGCATCTTCCATCGCGTCCTCGGGGGTGTCGTCGTCCAGATGCACGCTCTTCTCCGAGTGGGCTTTGGGCGAGGTCGCATCATCGCCGTAGTAATATGGACCCGGCTCGAAGCCTTGCGCTTCCGGAATATCTTCCTCTGGTTCGCCCAGCGATAGACCCGGAATTTCATCTTCAGTGCGAGCGCGTGGAGCTTTAGAGACATCTTGAACATTCTCCAGAGAAGCTTGGGCGCCCTGTGTGCCGGCCTTGTCGCCTTGGTACTCGTCGTCGGACGGATCTTCGGCGGGATCATAGTGCTTCACGTAGGGCGTCTTGGGTTCGTCAATCTTCATCGTTGATGAGCGCTCCTGCTCCGTCAGGTACAGGTTGACCTCATCCCACTTAAGGCGCTGTGAGGGCTCGGCCGACTCGGTGTTGGTGGCCGACTGGCGACGAGAGGCAGTTATGCGGGCGGTGGATGACGAGCGGCGATGGCCAGCGTTGTAGTTTGTATTTTCGAGGGTGATTTCCTTGCTCATGGCGCGCGGGCGAATAGGTCTAGAGGTGGGCGTCTCATCGGTCGAAGATGCCTGATGCGTACCGGAATGCTTAAGGATACCTGAAGAGGCCGGGTTAGTATCGGTCGTCGTTGGGGACAAGTATCGAGTTCCAGCCAAGTTTCTCTATCGCTCTTACCTTTGGGCCGGGGCGCATCGGGGCCGGGCGGCGAATGAATGGGGGAGTCGTCGACGGCGGAAGCCATGTCTAATGTAAGTCTGCGCAGAGGCAGAAGAGACCCAATTTGGAGAAGTAAAAATGCTAATAGGTGAACACGGGATGAATATCGAGAAAGCAGGCAGCGTGAGATGAAGGAAGGCGGCGCGGTTGGGCTGTTTTGTTTTTTTAGGCCGTTTGAGCGGGGTTTGGAAGGGTTCTCAGATGGCGGGGTGACGCTGTAGGTTGGGCGGAAATCAGCAGCGACAACAGTCGAGGCAAAACATACGGTAAATCACAATTGCAGGAGCTGGTTGTCTCGGGCGAATCGGCTGATTCAGTTCTTTACAACTGGCCAGGACCCATATGACAGGATTGGTGTAGGCCGCCACCACCAAATCCATGTGGCCGAGCGATGACGCACAGGGCACGCGGGCAAGGCAATGGTGGAGGAGGTACTTGTCCTCGCCCTCAATCCAGGCATAAAGGGAGGTACCTAACGGCGGACACCATCAAATACTAAATAGCAACTCTCAGTCACAGGACCATGTGCCCGCATTTTCCGTAGTTGATGATAAATAGTGGATGCATAATTGCCAATTTATTAGTCGCTCTAGTACGAGTCGAGTAGCAGCTTACCAATAGTCTGGGTGTGAGCTGTGAAGGGGCAGTATAAATGGAAACCAACATTCATTTGTCAACCAACGGGAAGGAGGTGATGAAATCAAATTTTATAGTGTGGGACAAGCAAGATAAGAAAAACGATGGAAAGAAATAAGAAATGCCAGAGATGAGGACAGAAAGGATTGCGGGAGAAGAAAAGCAATCCACGAGAAGAAATACAGTTAGCATGTAAGTTCAATTACGTCTTTCTAAGATTCGAGGTCGTAGCAATTCTCAATTGATTCATATATCGGGTTCCCGAGAGAAGCTCTGACAAAGACTATAATAAGTCTAATATATCGCAGATGCCTGTCAACATCACTCAGTCGGCCGTAAATCAGCTGCGACATCAAGTACAAGTAACTGACGCGCGGTAGCTAGTTATATGAACTCGAGCTATTTGGCGCAATCGTGCCACAACTTTCCGTCCCACCAGCAAGGGCTTCTCTCAACATGAGCAGGCGCAACATGGCCGTCAACTTTGGCGTTGTCATCTGTGTTTTCATTAGTTGGAGTCCTGTCCCTCAACCAGTGTGTCCAACGTACCGACGGGGACGGCGGCGGCGGCAGCGGCCGAAACAAACATGAGCAAAGTGGCGAATTGCATCTTGAAAATAGAAGGTAAGTTTTGAGTGATCTGAGTGTATTGTGTTGGATAAAGACCGAGTCAAAATTCTGGCTTCTTCGCGGAACAGGCAGCTGCTTATATACCTCTAGGTTTGGTCTCTCAGACACAACATCAGGCCTATGCATGACTCGACCGAATCGCCGCCAAGATCTCGGAAGGCGTAAAAGAGTTGCTGATCCGCCGAGATTCAGCAAGCGTCGACCTGGCCATACAGCCTATACATGCCGAGAATCTTGAATAGGAGCCTCAAGGTTTTGCCGAGCACTGCATGCCAATGCTTGGCCCATGAAATCTAGATGTTCCCGAGGAGGCGAATGACATGATTCGTGACCTCTTTCGGAAGGTCGGTAGGTAAGCGTTTCAGTAATAATGGCCTAATAACCTTGGTAGACACCGAGTCGCGCGGTCATGCCGGCATTTGATGCTGCATGGACCTATTTGGCAATTGGGCGGCAATTGCTGCCCTGATACTGCTGAAAACCGGCCCGCTCCGGTGCCCGCTCCGGTGCCCGCACCCGCTTTTACAGTGGGTGCCGTATAAGCTTATCGAGCCCATCGTGGTGGCTGCGCGATCACTTTATTGACAATAAATCTTTGATTACTATTCACTAGCCCTATGAAAATATTGAAGAATGACTGTTTATGCGTTTTATTATACAATCGACACATGTCCTTATACCTCCAGGCTTTGACGCAAAGTGAGGAACGAGCGGAGCCCTTCTCATTCTTATACGAGTTGTGTCTTGGCATACATTTAGGACATAGCGATTTAATGATTGGCAGTGACTTGTTGCTGTCGTTTCAGAAGCTCGCTTCGCCACGATACCATCCCGCTTAAATAGTTTAACCCTTGAGTTTTCAATGAAACCATTGGCTAACTCGGGACCTGTGCATCACAGTTTGACCGCAAGCGTGTGGCCCATGTAAGTTATGAGCGCCCCAGAGCTCTTTCGCACCACCAGCCCCCAACAAGGTCCATGATGCTGTATATTTATTTGCATCCTAGTCTACATCCATTGCCTGTCCAAGCGTTCCCTTGGTTTTCCGAGATTGTTTTCGTCTTGGCATACGGCGCACAGCAGCGAGACCAAAAATGATCTGTCAAGCGAGATGGGGTGACAGACAGGGGGGTGGTGTCAGATTCGGGTCCTCGCCATACTCCGTACAAGCGCTGGGATTCGCCGATGGTGGGAGCGCGACGCACCGGCACTGACGCACGTGGAATCGCCGTAGCTAGTCAGTCCCTCTGCCCTGTGGAATGCGAATGATCGAGTACGGGATCGCCACCTGTTGGACGTCTGCGCACCCAGTTCGGGATTATTCAAGCTAGGACCAACTTTCGGCAGTTTTTGCGGAAAGAGAAAGAGAGTATTCCGGAGAGAGTTCCATAAAAAGCACACGAGGAAGAACCTGGAACGTGCGGGGCTGCGGAACAGGATAGGAGTTGTGGTTGGAGTCGCGATTGCGGCTCCTCTGGACGCCAAGGCTGACTTACACCAACCAGACCTGGTCCGGCATTAATCTTATTCTTCGGGCGACAAAGGTTATAACGTGCATTGACACCCAATACCTTTTACTCTGGCTTCATGGCAAGGAAATCGAAAGCTAAATACAGCTTTGATACCCAGAGTTATTCGCTAGGTCTTGATCTTGGGAATACTTGGTATAAGTAGCTTCTCTGTACCGGGTTATTGGGAAGTGGAACCGAATCAGGAAGACACCCGATCACGTTGACGAATTGTTGGCAGGCACGCCCGCCACGCTGACTTGGCATAGATACTATCTACATCATTAAACCCTCTAGGCAGCTTCCTCTCCCAATTGGATTTGAGGTCGAGATTTTATTAGAACTGGTACCTGTATTTTTTATGGTTGCTTTTGCTCTCACCAAAAATTTCCCCCGATTCTTTCCAGCATAGATGATAGGGTGCCGATGTCAATGATACCGGCTGCGAATAATGCCTACGGTTCTATATTAGAATTAGAAAAGATTAGTTTACATTTGTAAGAGGGAATAAAGTTTATCATATTAGTTTATCAAGAATCGAGAGGCCTCCACTGCGATTGAAAGCATCTCTGCTAAACTGGTCTCAATCTCTCCATGTTGCATTAGACACCCTCTGAGGCAAATGCGGATTCAAAGCCGTCAAATCCGAACAAGTGGCGATTTTGTTCAGAGCAATCGAGGAAAAATGTTTCTAAATCGGTAAATATGTCCAAGTCAAGTGGAGTAGCATTCGGGGCGACGTGATTATCCATACCATCATCTAGAGCTGCAGTGGAGAGAGCGTTTCTCTCAGCTCCGAGAGTACTCTCATGTGGAAAGTGTTGATCAATGGTCGGTGTCAACAAAGGTGGTCGGCTAGGAATAATCTCTTCGTATGCCAGCCCAGTAGCTTGATAGACTCCTTGCTGTAGGCGTTCAGCGAGTCGCAGTGCCTTCGTTGCCAACATGCTGCCCCCGGCCATAAAACGTAGGGCGTCTATGCCGTGGCTGATAGCCAATAGCTGATGATTATCCGGGTGAAGCAAAACGTTCAAAAGCAGAATAATGACAGCTGAGCTGCATGCATGCAAGTCCATAAAAGAGAACTTGGCCAGAAGGTTACGGCTCTGCAACTGAACGATCCAATCAGTGGTTGTTCTAGCCGCCTCTATACATCGGTGCGCCAGCTCCTGAGATCGGAGATGCGTCCCATCATCTCCTAGACTCATGGTATCAGCAGTCGAAGGACGGATTTGTCTCCGAACGAGACGTAATAATGCTCCACGGCCAATAGCCACCCAATTCAAGTTATATAAGATGTTAAGGTGCGCATGGGGTCTAAATAATGACTCCTGGACTCCGTCCAAATACGCGGGAATCGACAGTCTCGATGATTCTTGCTTGGAGCAAGCCCATTTGTATGTTGTAGAGCTTTGTTCGATGGGACTATGTTTTTATGTCAGCAGTCTTTTTCCAAATTAGATATAAATCTCCTATATACCCAGCAACAGTGAACTCGTCTAGCAATATAGTCAGTTGAATGTATGCGACAAATCGATCTATACGATGTAAATCGTCTTTGTCGAGGTCCCATTTCTTTTGTGGCAAGGAGGCAGCGACGTCGTCAAGTCGTAGTAGCATTGGTAGCCCCATTATACGAGAAGTTTGACTAAAACCGTGCTTAGTGTCAAGAATCTTCCAACCTGTTCTCTGCTGGTCCTACCGTTCAATGCTGTAGATAGTCCAGAACAGTCGGACTTTCATCTCGCGCTCTCGAGGCGTTTCGTCGTTGCGTGTTCCTTCGCAATGTAATGATTGAACGACTGCCAGATTCAAGGCCAGTCCCAGGTATACATGATGGTGAGAAATATCCTCAGTTGCAAGGAGGTAGAATGATGTCAATAGACAGCATATCGTGCTTTCGATTGTGTTTGCAGCGATTACCTTTTGAATCAATTCCATGGCCTGCGCAAAGTAAAAACTGCCTGGAATCTCGCCATTAATAGCAAGCAACTTGTCCGTTTCAGAAAGATGCTTGAATGAGCTCCCAAGAGCCAATACGAGGAAAACAAGGCAGACGATGGTGCATTGCCGCGGCTGCGGTGCAGCAATATTGCCCTGATAAACGTCTGTAAAAAGGTCTCGGAACCACTCTTCATCAAGATAGTACCAATTTGATTCGACAAATGTGAAGAATGTATCAATAAGAACTTTAGCATCCTCGAAAGACGGAAGGTGGTCGATAGCCTTGTGTAGCACCATGGCGGTTTTCTCCGAGGCTAGGCTGCCTATCTGGTTATAATTCTTTAGACAAGAGTCAGTTGAGCTTCTGGGGCCAGCCTTGAGCTCTTGACTCAGCAGATGATTACTTACATCGTGGGGTTGATCTTTGATGGGTGGAATCACATCAGAGATGGCCTCTAGAAATCTGGCATGGGATGCCGAAATAAGGTTCTCTTTTTATCAGCGTTAGCGAAGGCAAAAACAAAAAAAAAAAACTACAGTACACTCTATACGTACCAATCACTTTTGCGGCTGGTGGTTCAACATTTTGAGTCTCACTGTCAATAATAGGCAAAGAGGTTTGTTGGGAAGACGCGGATGGCTCCCCGCCGTGACCTCCCTTCTCAGTCACGAGCTCGTTCTGGTTCTTATATATAGCCTCCATAGAGAGCTGTGCGATGATTTGAAATTGCTCGTCATCCAGGTTTACTCTAGGGAATTTTTCATGGAAGCCCCGGGAGACATTCATGGCAATTGTCGCCCAATCCAGGCTACCCGGGCTACTCGGGCTACCCGTTGGTAGATTAGCGGACGGCATGTAACAAGCATCGCAAAGTACCTACATGTTTCCTTTTGGCAAGTCTCGTGAAAGAGTGTTACTCTGCGGTTCGGAGATGGGCCGAAAAACGCAGGTCCGGCCGGCGAGAGTACAGGTTCGGCACTGATTTGCCGCAGTCATGACGCACTTCTTCTTTCCGTCTCGGCAGGAGATGCATGCTTGCGCAGCCCTTTTGCGTCTATCGAGAGGTACATGTGGGCGGTACCTCTTTGATGGGCGCGCAGGTGCAAAAGACATGGTGTACTCGGGCAATTTTGTTCAAGAGCAGGGTGATGTCCAACTCAGTCAGTTCTCTACCACTGCGTGGTGGACGATGGTGAATTTTTCCAAGGAGTCTGCCACAAGAGCAGATTGGAGATTGGGAGTTGATAACAATCATTTGATATATAAGGGGAACACAGAGTACTAGTTAGTGGAATTGGGATTTGAACAGGGCATTACGTGAACTTTAAGTATGCAGGTTCTGCATAAGGTTCTGGCATAACAAAGGGTGCGAATCACGTGAGAATTTGGGGAAAGTCAGCCACATTTTGTATTGAGTAAGGGACATACAGTGGGTGGCAACAAGTATTGGCCTCTGTTAAGAGGTTTTATGCGGCAGCTGCTTAATGTAGACTTGACAACAGGTTTCCACGCGAATCTTGAGGTCTTGCATTAATGACCAAAACAGCCCTCGCGCCTCAAAAAAAGAAAAAAAAAAAAAAAAAACACTCAATGTCTGAACAAGTAACCGCGAAGCTTTATACTATGCAAAAAAACAGCCAAGAATTTCTGGGTGCCAACTTGGGCTTTTTTTTGTCTTTTGTACACTGTAAAAACTAAGCAATGTTATCAAGTCGGTGCAAATCAGTCGCCATCTTTGACCACCTCGAAGCGTGAACGCGTCCCGCCTTGATTGTTGCCAGCACGTGCTTGTCTGGCTCGTCCAGAATGGTAATGTCTTCCAGGGGGTTCTTGTTGAGAATCAGCAAATCAGCCGCAAAGTCTGGGGAGACCTGGCCCAAAAAGCTGTCCTGTCGGAGCATGCGGGCCGCATTAATGGTCGCGCTCTGCAGAATCTGCAGCGCACTCTGGACCTGGCTGCGCAGTCCGAATTCTCGGGGCTGCGCAAAGTGCAGCTCGCCGAGTAGATCTGTTCCGAAGCAAATGGTCACACCGGCTTCGGCGGCAATCTTGATGGCTTGCAGCCCCTTGTCCAACACCTCCTTGTTTTTCTTTGCAGAGGCTGGTGGTAGGAAACCGTCGTATTCTCCCATGGTGGCGTAGGTGATGAGGGTGGGTGTGAGAAAGGCGCCCTTCTCGGCCATGAGTTGCGCAGTCTTTTCGTCAATCAGGTTGCCGTGCTCGACGCCCATGACGCCTTGTGAGATGGCTTGCTGAATGGCCCTGGGCGTGTAGGCATGCGTGGTCACATAAGTGCCTGCATTTGTTGCGACGGTGACAATGGCGCGGATTTCCTCGTCTGAAAACTGAATGTTTTCAATCTTGTCTGTCGGACTGGCCACCCCTCCGCCACCCATGATCTTGATGAAGTCTGCTCCTTGGCGAATTTCCTCTCTGGCGTACTTGAGGCAATCAGGTACGCCGTCAATCACCCGCCCCACGCCCTCCGTTGTTCCGCCGCAACATTCGTGTTCATCCGAGATCCCCCTCATGTCTCCGTGACCGCCCGTCTGGGACAATGCGTGGCCGGCAATGAACAGTCGTGGCCCTGGATGCACATTCTCCTCAATGGCCTGTTTCAACGGATACAAGGCGCCTCCGCAATCCCTCACGGTGGTGAAGCCCCTCTCCAACATGGATCTGCATACCTGTGGTTGGCGCAAGAGTGAAGCAGACATGTTCATATCCTTGACCGCTTCCAGCCCCCCCTTTCCGGGAACCGCCACGAGGTGAACATGGCAATCGATCAAACCAGGACACACGAATTTCCCCCCCAGATCGATCTTTGTCGCGGAAGAATCGCTCTCCCATTCACTGGGATCGCCATTGACAGACTTGACCAGGCCGTTGTGAAGATGCACCGTCGCATTCTTCACTACCTTGCCTTGGACGGGATCAATGAGATTGGCGCCCGTCAGTATGTATCTGGGTGGAGGAGGAAGTGTCCAAGGAATGGTCACCTCGTTTGACAATGCAGCAGGGCTGGTCTTTTCCGTCATGGTGAAAAGATGACAACGGAGCCGTTCAAGAATTGGCAGCGAGGTTAGCAGAGGCAAAGAGAGGAGGAACTGTCAGTTGTGCCGAGTTTGAAGCTTGGAAAGATTTAGGGTAGGATGGAAAATAAAAATTGAGGCAAGAATTGGGGTTGATATAAGTTGAGCGGCCCATGATGTTGCCCGTCACCGAGAAGTAGAATGTAAAAGCTCTGCAAACGGGCTGTACACAGGCTAGGAAGAATAAGCTTTTTGTTCTGGGTACTTGTACCCGACTAGTTTGATGGAGATGATACAAACTTTGAATCGGCTTATTTGACATGATACTCATTCAAATGTATGCGAATGCCAATCGCATCTCGGGCAAAGATGAAAGTATTAGCGCTCGGGTACAAGTACCCGGCAAGTGGGTGTTTCTGAACACAGTGATATCATTGCTAATAAATAGATGGATGGATGGATGGATCTACAGTGGGTTGTAGGCGGGTACAAGTACCCGCGGGGGCTCAGGGCCGCCTGTACCCGCAGAGTCGCAGCATATAATATACCTATTTAGACCCTAATTCACATCAATGAAGGTGTGGATCCGCATTTTTACTACGACAACAGGCGCTGTACCAATTAAACTCGACCAGAGTTCAAAGGGGGGCAAAGGGGTTCTGGAAGACATGGCGTAAATAGAATTCAGTGCCATGGGCAAGTCGGGGTTTCTACAGGCGGATTACCACGGTTTTTTTTTTTTTTTTTTTTTTTTTTTTAAAACCGTCTCGGCCTCTCGAGCAGCAAAGCCCCTAGCAAGCAAGAGCTGTTCTAATGGCATTCAGCTTTATTTGACTCTAAAGTATTCGACGCGCCAAGTGTCTCGACGGTTTGACCACAGCATTGCATATTAACTAGGTAAATAAGGCTCTGCTGCCACTCGGCAGCCACAAGTTTACACTCACTCAAATTGGTCCGTCAAAGGCAGTGCCAAGTGGTTGGCTTGCTTGTCTAACCCACTTGCTTGACTGACTACCTTGACTTTGGCATTAGTCGATGTTATGCTTACAATAGTACGAAATCACTATAAAAAGATAAATCACGCCAATTTTCTTGCCGAGTGGCAACTTGCACTCTGCAATGCAACTATAAATTTGTTAAAAACCCTTAGTTACCCTTGGAGAAACATGCTCCCCGCAGCAATAACCCAGCGAAAGCGCACGTTGGCGGAGCCACTCTTCAAAACTACCCAACTATACAGTGGTGATAGCGCCCGCGGGATGAAGCAAAACACCACAACGCTCATCCAACTGTAAGCCCAATAGCGAGTTAACCGAAGGATTAGGCACACTTTGAAGAATCAAATCATGAATGAAGCACAATATGTATTTACCTAATAGTATATATATAGATTAGGGTACGGGAATGATCATTGTATTGTTGAAAACCAGTGACATCCTCCGCTGATCTTGATATAGCTTACAGCTAACAAGTTGATTGCGTGTAGCTTACTCGAGACTTGTCAACAAGTACGTCTCGAGCTGTAAACAGCCATGGTCCCTGCCTGCTGCACGTTACTTCTGATTGCATGCCTCAATGGCTTCAATCCCTCGCTGGTTGCACTCGCTGAATGATTCCACTTTCTCTTCTTGACATTTTCGAAAAGCCTTGGAGCCCTCGTCGGCGCAGTTAACAGGCTTCTCGGGAGCAGCAGAGGGCTTCTCGGGCGAGCTCTGCGCGTTCTGTGCCTTGGCCTTTTTGAGCTCCTCAACAACTTCTGACCACTTAATGACCTTGGGGTGGCCTCGACGGTTTGTGGTTGCAAGGCATCCAAGCTCTGAAGTCGTCGTCCAGCATTCGGACGGTTTTTCTCCGTCGCGGAGCGGGCGCTCGGTGTAGCCGTCTGGCAGTGTTGCTCCGGGGCACGCGTATGGATACCAGCGATCGTCAGTGCCGTCGTCGCGCACTCTGTGAATAATTTCTTCAATAGCGCAGTAGTAACCAGTCGCACTAAGGAAGACACCTTTGTGATGACAGTTGTCTGGGCAGAGTTGTAATCCGTCGCTGAGCGTGACTCCGGTCACTCCGCCACCGGCCAACGCATTGACGCCAGCGGCGGCGCCGAGTAGAAGGGACAGGGTGAGCATGGCGGTAGAGTGATGTGTCTGAGTTTGGCTTGAAAGTAATGCCCAAAATGTAGGCAACGTAGATGGAAAGATTGGAGGCTGATTCTTTTGATTGTCCTGGGAATAGGCCGCTGAGTACGTTCATCTAGGTGGTATCTATACGGCTTGATATAGAAACCAAGTGTAGCATTTGAACCCAATAAACCGCCCATGTAGAAAGCCAAATAACTTTTCGCCAATGACTCTTTAGCACCGGCGAATCCGATAGCTCCATGACATGGAAGATGCCGCTATGCCGTTGTTATGCACCTTATAATAATAGTCTAAATGTCGAGTATATTACAAGACAAAGATGCGTCACGAAACTACTATGGATAACTATTTGCTTAACCATCGCCCACTAAGTGAGCAGCAAATCGAGTCAGCAACTGGGTGGCAGGGCACAAGGTACGGAGGCAGTTCACTGACAAGTTAGGCATATGGAGGCCCAGCCCTGCCTTGAAGAGTTTATTCCGACGCGAGTTCCGGCACCTTGTTGAGCAACCTGGAATATTCCAATGGCCTTGGCAAATCTATCGTTCTAGACACTTTAGCCGCCTGACACAATCATAGGCGATTGGGGTATATCACAGCCAGCCATGACTCGAGCGTAGATTGGCACCTTGTGAACCGACCTGCCCGAAGCCGAAGCTTCCCAACGATTGCAATTGCTCTTGTCGGTTGAATGGCTGACTGGCTTAACGGGCTAATTAGCCAGCAGGCACTAAGTAAGATAGCTTCCCATGCGTGGGTACTTTGAATGTTGTCATGGAGATATATTCAATAGCAACCAGCAAGTGTATTTTAAGCGTTGATATATAATATAGCATTCATATAGGCCGTTCTGCGCATTATAGCGTCCTTTATATCCCACAGGGCAGAGGGTCCTGCCCTGACCTTCTTCACCGCTTTGTTCGGCATGAAGACGAGAGAATGGGGTTGAGTGACAACAATCTCTCCCTCACCGTTTGTACATGTCCATGAGCTGTTGCCCTAATAAAGCAAATGATATTACTTTCAGCCAGTATTCGAAGAAACGTCTTCTTCAGCTAGACACGTGGGCCAGCGATGGTCTCTGACATGCTCAGCCGTGCTACAATTAAATTTTTTTCAGGATATTATAACATGGTGAAGATGTTCAGACCAAGACAACGACATTGAAATAAAGATGAAACACATAGGCAGATGAGCATCAGCCCCATGACCTGTTAAAACACATCGGGGCTCCCACGCAGACATTTTATCGAGTCATTGGGCTAGTATCAGTCTGTCAGAGCTCGGATCGGAACCTCGGCGGGAAGTTTGTGCGAGAGTAACAATCGACTCACCGGCTGGCTTCTATAATGAAGGCTCTGATTAGCGGGGCACTTCGTTATAGATTGTAGAAGTGTACAGGTGTAGGGATGTAGGGTTATTGGGCCACCTCATCAACGTTGTTTCTCTTGAATCATGACCCCTCAAATTAAATGACCAGCAGAGTGTAGGACCAAAGATATACTGAACTTGGAAAGTCACTAGGATGGAACTGGTGGTATGTTTTGCAGTTTTACCCAAGAGGTAATCACACGTCCACATGAGGCTGTCGAATAATCAAGGTAGTCGACAATGCCCCTTGCTGCCTTTGAGTCAGGATCGAATCGCATGCTTTCATCTCCTAGGCTTTATGGCGCACGATCAAGTCAGTCAGGTCATGTGATTCCACTGCTGACTAGCAGACAACATGTCCCGAAAGTGATGGTATGCGCATGTAATAAATGTCGTAGTGTAGACTGTGTAGTAGACAACAAAAGCGCAGCTGACTCGCAACACCCGCGTGTACCGCTCGGCCACGCGGCTTCGGGCACGTCATGTGAGGGCATAAGGGCCGTCTCATACCCAACGCAGCGCCGTTGGCATGACTAAGTTTTGGACAATTTGACAACTGAGACGCAGCATAGTCATGAATAGGTTGCCCTGGTTGGTGGGAACCGGGTCATAACACAGACTCGGATCAAATGCGACAAAGGGGTGCCGCATGGCCACTGGTAATTTGAGGGAATGCTATTTGTTGGTTTAACAAATGATGATTATCGCCAAGGCAATTGGTCTTGATTCGTGTCGTTGATTGTTGTCCTACAACTACAAGTCAGTTTGTGTGGAGGCAGCCACACACAAGAGCCATCATCAAATTAAAGTGAGGCCTCCCTAGCTCCCAGCCAATGAGAATTAAGTGCCTCAATATGCACAACACTATTATTATATCCTTATTATATCCAAAACAAGGGTCGCAATGAGGGCGAGTGTCCGTGTTCGACAGCCCCAACTGATTGCTAATGAGATGGGCAGTGTGATGGGGTACCCTGTGGGCGTCGTGGCGCTTGGCAAGCCCAATACAAAGCGCGTGATCAAGCCGACGGCGTGATTAGATGGCCAGACTATATGCTACCCTGCATCAAATTCATGCTTAAAGAAAGCCGCTATTGTAAGCGGACCATGTCTCTTGCCGCGTTGAATACTACCCTCGTGAGGCATAGTCACAAATGAGGATGTACTTGGAGGTATACTTTACACCTTTTGACTAACGCCGATGCCATTGTGGACGAATCCATATTCTTCACAGAGCTGAAGATGCTGGAAAGATGTATATGTGATAAATATCTGCCTGCTGCATAACTTATTAGTTCCTAATGCACCCGTCCTCGCCAAGCACTCCATGACGGGATGGCGGAGCGTGTCTTGTGCAGACGACATCTGGTGACTGCTTTGCTCGGCATCAGTGGTAAAAGAGGGCGTGCAAACGCAACCTGCTAGGCCTCTGCGTAGATGGGCCTGCTGATATACGGACAGCTCACATTTGTAGGCTGCCTATACATGTCGACGATGGTGAGATGAGAAGGGGAAAAAAGACAAAAAAGGAAACTCGTCGCAGGCTATGGGTCGAGGGAGTAGCCATAGCGACCAGCATGACACCCCTTGACCAGAGCAGACGAGCTCGGCAACTGTTTTCCAGCAAATGCCAGAATGGGAGCCCTCGAGCCCTATTTTCCTAAAAAAAAAAAAAAAAAAGGGTTGCAGCGGCGGTACGCGCTGCAGTTCGCCGAGTCGCACTTGGTCGTTCGCTCGAGTGTGCGCCCCGGCACTGCTGATGCACTAGTTAGCGGGCACCTGGACGTCTGTGGTGCAATTGGCAATGGGCACTCTCTGGCTGCATCTCGCGGGGCAAGGGCGGTCTGTCCGCTCGACTTCCTTCTCGGCGACGGGCTCACAACCCCATGTGCATCTGCTGCGACCGGGGGGAGCGCTGTTTGACATTAGCCCGACGACTGCAAGCGGCGGCCGCGACACCCGTACAGATTCTGCTTCTGGAAACAAGTGCGGAGTTAGCATGTGACAATTAGGAGAGCGAGTGCGAGAGCAGCGTATTAGAAGACGTGGTATGACTTGTTGCCTAGTGTCGAGGTGGAACGAGGCTGAGTAAATAACCCTAACCCTAACCCTTGATGTACAAAATCCCTAGTCACTCAGCCCTCTTTCTTTTTCTCGTGTCGACAATGACTTGATGAGCTGGGGTTTTGGGTGAGATTTGGACCGTCGCCACTTTGACCGCGTCTTTTAGCCTTGATCGAACCTCGGGGCAAGGCCACGTTGACACGCCGCAGAGATATCTTTGCTCTGCCTTACATGATATCTGCTGTTACCACTGACCTACTAAACAGTGCCAATCTCGCCTTGCAACGACATTGTAGCACCTGCAGCCTTGTGTGACAACGGGGTCGTAGGACTGATTAGTCAGGTGAGCTCATTGCCCCTCTCGCTCCCCAAGATGACCCGTTCCACGTTGGCCAAATCCATCGCCCCCCAATAATCACCACCATGGCAGATGGTTGGAATCAAGTGCTTCCCCGTTCCTTGACTAACGAATGCAAGTTCATCGGCAAGGGCGCGACGGGATGGGTTTTCGAAGTCGCGCCGGGCATCACGCTCAAATACCTCTGCACGGGCCGGGACGACGAGTTTCGCCGCGAAAACGAAATGTACGAGCTGATTGAGCGAAGCAGCCCTCCCCCGTACTTTGTCCAGAGCTTTCTCCGGCTCCCCTACGCACACTTTATGCAGTCTTTCCCGGACTGTCTTGATCTTCGTCTGCGGAGCAATCGGCGTCAAGATCCCAAGACGCTTGAGTGCTTTGAGGTTTTGCGTCTGGAGCCGACGGCCAAGATTGAGCAGTGGGCTGCGGAATTGTCCAGCGCGCTCGCTTGGCTAGAATCCCTCGGACTAGTCCAGGGAGATTTGCGCCCGTCAAATATCCTCCTCGATCGCGACAACAACGACCATCTGAAGCTGGTCGATTTTGACAGCTGTGCCAAGATTGGCGATAGAGATCCTGGGCTTCCACCACCGTGGTCCCATTCAAAGCACCGATTCTACGGGGCTGTAACTGAGCAATTTTCATTCGGCTCGATCCTCTACAACATGACGCGTGGCCTTGAGCTATACGAAGACTTGGGCCCTGAAGTCCATCAGCTCTTTGATAATATGGAGTTTCCGGAACTGTCCGACTCCCGCTTAGATGTATTGACGCGTCGCTGTTGGTGGGGTGAATTTGCGACCTTGGCCGATCTGGCCAAGGAGTGCGCGACGCTTGAAGGTGCCAGTTCGGCGGCAACGGCCGACACGGCTAATGATGAGTATAAAACTAGAATGAAGAGGACTTGTGAAGAATTATTGCGTACTAAATTGGCAGATTTAGGTGATGAATCACCTCGAGATGTGTCTGCCTAGGCAGGCTGGCCGACGAGCGAAGCATTAGAGCAAGGGCGCTTGTGTTTGCTTAGTCGAGCTTTTATACCTCCCTAGACTTGACGTTGACCATGTGCCCACCTTTGTCAGCTGTGTGTGTCTAATAGAGTTGCCATGCTGCGCCGTAAAAATCGAAAATGAGAATGCAGCATTGGTAATTCAGCCTTTCTGGATGTCTTTACTAAAGAGCATTAGAAATTAGAAAGCCCTCAGCCACTGAAGGGGAAATCCAAAAAGCAACACAACTTTCATACCCACATTTTCCCATTCTCGGCCTACGACGCCGGCCGATCGGCCTCATCCCGGGCGCAGCCTTCTCCGCGGAGGTCCACCACATCGGCGACCGACCCGCCGATGATTATCACGGCTTATATACCGATACGAGAACCTGGCTGTCGCGCATGACGCAAAATTCCAAGACTATAAATGTTGTCTTGGTCCCTGCAAATTACCGCGCTTTTTTTTTTTTTCGTCACATAATGCAATTATTTACTACATCACGCAGAACGAGCCTACCTACTTACCAACACTGCCACCAACTAGTCAGTTCTTTTTACTTTTACAGACGCAAAAAAGCAGCATGTCAATAACCGACGTCCTCATCGTCGGCGCCGGACCAACCGGTCTCGCCCTCGCCATCTGGCTCACCAAACTCGGCGTCGCGGTGCGCATCATTGACAAGGCCGCCACACTCGCCACCACGACGCGCGCGCTCGCCGTACAAGCACGCACTCTCGAGCTATACTCGCAAATCGGCGGTGGTGTCGGCGAGGCCGTTGCCGCGCGCTCGGCCCACCTCACCGGCCCGAACCTCTGGGCCGGCGGCGCGCATCGCGCAAGACTCGACTTCGCAGACGTCGCCGTCGGCATGACGGCCTTTCCCTTCATCGCCATATTATCGCAGAATGAGCACGAGCAGCTGCTCATTGACCGTCTTGCCGCGCTTGGTGTCGAGGTGGAGCGCGGGACCGGTCTGGAGAGCTTTGTCGAGGACGTCGAGGCGGCGTCCGTCAGGGCCGTGTTGCAAAAAGGCCACGACGACGGGGGAGAAAAGAGGGAGATTTGCGAGGCGAGATATGTAGCTGGGTGCGATGGCGCGCACTCGGCAGTTCGACGTATTATTGGCATGGGCTTTCCGGGCGACACGTACGAGCAAGTGTTTTACGTGGCCGATATTGAAGCCACGGGGCCGGCCATGAACGGGGAATTACACCTCTGCCTCGACAGTCACGACTTTTTGGGCATAATCCCGCTCGCTGGGAAACAGTGCGCTCGGCTGATTGGCATTGTCACGCCGCCGAGCGAGTCAAGCCCTGCTGCTCCTGCTCCTGCTTCGACGACACCACCACCACCACCATCACCACCATCACCACCACCCCACGCCTCGACCTTTGAGCATGTGCGCGGCCGCGCCGTCGACCAGATGAAGCTCGAAAACATACACGTCAACTGGTTCACCACGTACCGGGCACACCACCGCGTCGCCGACCACTTCCGCAGAGGTCGCGCATTCTTGCTCGGCGACGCGGCGCACATTCACAGCCCGGCCGGCGGGCAGGGCATGAACACGGGCATCGGCGACGCCGTCAACCTGGCGTGGAAAATCGCCGCCGTGCTCGACAATAACGCCCCCGACAGCCTCCTGGACACGTACGAAGAAGAGCGCAGCAGGTTTGCCAAGACGCTCGTCGACACCACCGACCGGGCCTTTACCTTTATGACGAAGCGTGGCTGGCTGGCGGGCTTGATTCGGTCCACGTTTGTGGCTTACGTGATGCCGGTTCTCTTTTGCTTTCGCGCTATTCGGCATCGTGCATTTTGTGGTCTGTCGCAGTTTGTGCTCGACTATACCGGCACCGCGCTTGCGGGAGGCGGTGCGGCGGCCGGCGGCGGCGGTACTATAAGAGCGGGCGAGCGCGTTCCCTGGGTCAAGATTGGTGGGCAAGACAATCACGATTCGCTGCAACACATTGAATGGCAGCTTCACGTGTATGGGACGGCGAGCGAGCAGCTGGTTGCGTGGTGCAAGGGTGATAATAATGGCATGAGACTGACGGTGTTTGAGTGGGTGGCCGAGTATGGATCGGCAGGGTTTATAAAGGATGCTGCATATCTGCTGAGACCCGATACATATGTTGCGCTTATCGACGCCGAGGCTGATCCAAGAAATATCGAGCAGTACTTTTTAGAGCGACAGATGTGTCTGTCGTTCAAGTAAAGGAAGGGGGGCAGAATCATTGTATTTGTACACTAGCACTTTGCAATCCTTCATGACAAAGGTACACACAACTCTCGATACCAGTTTGCTTTTCAGGACTCATTTCTTCAGCAATTTTATGACATCTTTAAAATTCTTTTCCTCTGCAATATCGAGTGCAATCTCCCCAAACTTATTCGCCAATTCAGCATCCGCTCCATTCTCCAGCAGCACCTCTACGACCTTTTCGTGCTTGCCCGCGACAGCAATCATCAGCATAGTATCCCCATTCTCGCCACTCGTCATATTCGCATCCCCTCCCGCACGAATCAAGTCTCGCACGAGCAAATGGTGCCCGCCCGCCACGGCGGACGGCAGCGGTAAGCGTCCTTGCGCATCTGCAATGTCCTGCCGCGCTTTGCGGCGCACGAGAAACTGCGCCGTCCGCACATGGCTTTCTAGGATGGCAAGTAAAAGGCTCGTCGCGCCTGTGGGGGAATGGCCCTCATCCAGCCGGGCATCAATGTCGGCGCCTTGCTCGAGGAGCTGCAAGACAGCTCCGCGCTTGCCTATCCTAGCCGCAAATAGCAAAGCAGAGTCGATCCAGGCCGCCTTGCGCTTCTCTGCTTTGTGCATCTCTGTGTTTAACAGCACATTGACAATTTCCGGATGATCGTATTTGAGGGCGTACTGAAGGGGACAGTATCCAGCACCAATGATTGTCGGATCGGCATTGTGCTTCAGGAGCAGTTTGACAAAGTCTAGTTTACCCCGGACACAGGCCCGATGAAGCAGGCCATCTTGATAGCCAACCGGGTCGGGGTGTGCGCCATTCTCCAGCAGAAATTCCGCCAATTCAAGCGTCGTGGCGTTGTAGTCCGAGTCAGCTGCCAGTACCAGCGCAGTATCTCCGGACTCGCGACGAGCATTGACATTGACATTGCCTTTGCGGCAGAGTATTTTCACCGTGTCTAAATGTCCACGGGCCGCTGCCTTGATCAAAGCTTCCTCACCTGGCCTCTTATTGTCGCGGAGCGCGCCTTGACTAATCAAGAATTCCACCAAATCAACCTTGCCCTTGTCTGCTGCGCTCTCCAGCGCGGTTTCCTGATATCGATTGGGCGCGTGGATGCTGACATTGCGTCTCTGGAGCAGCATTCGTGCGACGTCCATGTGCCCGTTCTCAACAGCTGCGGTGAAGGCAGCTTGATGCGTAGCCGGAGAGTAAAAGACGAGTTGCTTGTCTTCGTAGTCGAGAAAAAGTCGAGTTGTACCTTCACTTCCATCAACAGCAGCCCAGTGCAGGGTCGGAGCAACTTGGGCATCAATTTGTAGATTGGCGCCATGGTCCACGAGATACTTGACGGCGTCTTCCATGCCAAAAAGGGCAAGGCGGTGTATACAAGGCCATTGATCCCAGATTTTGGTGTTGACGTCGGCTCCTTGCTCAACAGCCTCCCTGATGGCAGCAAAATCTTTGTTTTGAACTGCAGATTGCAGCAACGAGTCTACACGGCTTTGCTCATGGGGCCTCAAGTAGTTTGGTACGTAGAGGACCTTTCCAAGCCCGTTTTCCTCTTCCTCGGAAATCAGCAGTATCGCACCGGTACCCCGACTGGGTAAAAAGTCCATAATGTCGTTGTACAAGAGCGCAGAGTCGTAGTTGTCGAGGACCAGTAGCCAGGGGTGCCAGAGCTCTTCCAGGAAATTGCGCATAAAATTGATCTTATCTGCGCGAGCGCCCTGAATATTCTGGTTGACAGCGGCATACATGCGCTCAAATCCCAGACTCAGATTCTCGAGCGTAGAGGCGTCCAGCCAGAAGACAGTGCGAAACTGCTGCAGCTCGTGGGCGGCTCGGCAGTATCCAAGCGCAAGCTGCGTCTTGCCTGCGCCCTTGTTACCAGAGAGCAACAAAACCGTGGGCGAGGTGACTTGTGAGCGAGACGCGTCATAAAAGTGAGCGTCAAGCTGCTCGAGGAGACTTTTGCGCTCGACATAGGCGTCGGCCAGTTTCTCGCGCACGTCGTAATACGTCTCGTCGAGCAAGTCTTTGGGCGCATCCGCCGCATCAACAACGTGGTGCAGAATCAGGACAGAAATGTACGTGTCGAGGTTCCGCTCGATCCGCGACAGCTTCTCCTGGTACTTTACACTCGTCAAGACTTTTTTCAGCTTGGTTTTCAGAGAGTCGCCCGGCGTGCAGGCAATCTCTTGCAGCATGGCCTCGACTTCCTGGACCTGGGTCAGGCAGCCCGACACGATGCCCTTGAGGATGCATCGCGTGTCAAAGTCGAAAGCGCCCACGCGCGAGTCCGACTTGATAATCTTGGACAGCGAGTTGGCCAGCAGCGGCAGATGCATCGATATGCCTTGCAGCGCCCTGGGCACTTGTCCTGGGTGCTTGGCGGTCAGGTCTTGCAGGCGGTCGGCGATTTGGAAGCCAAACTGCACAAACTGTACAATGGACGACGCCAAGCTAATGGCGCTCAGGGGATCCATGACCTCCGATGTTGAGGTTTTTTGACAAGGACGAAGCTAAGAACATGCACGAAGCCAAGCAGAAAGACGAGGCTAACAAGGCAGAGTCATAAATCTTGTGGCTTTCGTGAGGCTGATTGCGCTGCGGCCATGTAGCGGGGCAACTGATTTCAAGATGGCGACGCTAGGAATTGGCAGCCAATTCCGAGATGAGACTCAACGCGATACTGCCCAGTGAAATGGTAGACCAACACAGATTTGATCGAATTCGGCTTGGGATCGATCTTGTTTCGAGACATCCATCTTCACAGCGTTTTGCGTCCCGGCTGAGAGACCCAGTGGCAGATACTCTCTTCTACCACTTTGTCTCTTTTTACAACCCTGGTTGTTACGACAGTATAAACTCTCTGATGAGGGTGGCAAGAACAATTGACTTACTAACATCTTTGGTCTAGCAGTACGTATTTATAATTGTAGGGGTAAAATGTAGACCTGTTCTTTTCGAACGCTGGCTACAGCACACAGCGAGACGCTTTTTTTAGCACGTCACCAGCGGTTCATGTGATGGTAAATAAAACGAAGACAGTGAACAATAATACTATTCATCAATCACTCCTTTACAGTTTTACAAATGTGGCCTCTGCGCTAAAAGGGTAGCACAAGTCGGGTATTGTGTGAGCGCAGTCTCTCCATTCTCGCCGTGCTGGCCATGAGCATATCCAAGCTCAACAAAGGCACAATTACGCTGCAGATTAAATAATGCTATATAAAAAACGAATACACGCTCTGTGGAAAATGTCTCTTTCCGGCCGACTCACCCAACAGTGCAGCAGCCCGCTCCAAATGCAATCTCGATAGGCGCTTATAAGAGTCCTCGTCGTCGTCGCAGCATTCGAGCGACACACATACCCCTGATTCAACTGGGAGACTTTTCTCGAAGCTCTTATCACTTCTTTCCTCACTGGTTTGACGTAGACTTCTGACCATCCGACGATATAGTAGCCAAGGCAGCAAGACGTCGACTGCGACGTGGCGAGGGTGCGGTCAATGGGCTGCTCGTTCCTTTGCGCTGCGGAGTGCGAGCCTGTTGACCTCCCGTTTTCGCCTTCTTCGAGGTAGGTTGCGACGTTTCTTCAGATTTTTCTCGCTTCATCCTGCCCTTGTGCTTGCCGCCGGGAGTAGGTCCAGACTCAGCTTCGTCGCCCTCCTCATCTTTTCGAGTGTGCTCCGTATCGGCTCTCGCATCTTCTTCTCCTGCCGACTCAGTCAACGCATTCTGCTCTCGAACCCATGTGCTTTTGGAAAACTGTAGTTAGCTACTGGGCTTTCCAAAGTCAGGTTCTGGGACCTTTCAAATCCAAAACCCACGTTATTTTGAGCTTGAGCTCGTAGTGCTCGAGAGTCGAAAGGCGGTCAACATCAGTCACCGCGTCGGAGAGTTCCAGATCGCGGCTGCCAGTGACGCGGCACGCTTTCAAGAAGGAATTCAGGCGGGACTCGTCCCAAGATAAAATATCTCGGGCGCATACAGGCTCATTTGGGCGCGACATTAGAACAACAACCCAGAACGCAATGCGTGTTGCAGAGGTTGTGAGTGTGCCGGCTGCCTGGAGCTTTTTCAGCTGCTTGATCAGTGACTCAGTTATCAGGCCGCGAAAAAGGCATCCATCAGATTTCGGATAATCTTGCTAGTCTTCTTGCAGGTAAAATGATGTCAAGGTTCATGCCGACGCTGTTCCTCGCAGTAACACTGTGTAGAGGACCTGATGTTGTGATAATAATGTGCTACCCCTACCTAGTGCGTCATCTCGGTGCGTACCATTGCATCTTGGCTTAAACGCCGCCAAATATACTCGTATAACAACATATTCGTGTAACAATGACCCGTCTTATAGCGCCCTGCTTCAAAAACCTGCCACCAAGGCTACACTCAAAAAGACAAGGCCGCCGCTGTACAAGACTACGCCTCTGCCGTGTAACTCAGCCCCGGCGGCTACTAAAAACCTGCATTATGGTAATAAACCCGATAATCCAAGTCTAGTTTACTACGCAAAGAAAAATATTTATTGTAAGGGCTAATGCTCCTTTGACAGAACGGACTGCCACTTGACTGCCAGGGCGAGCGATACGAATACATTCCTGCAAGTCCTGCTAGACAGTTACTCGTTGTGCCAGATCCTTCCCTACTTATTATCCCTTTTTCCAAAGTGTGCTAGGACCTTGAAGCTGCTTTTCCCGTCTTCCCTGAAACCAGCCGCGCGCTACGCCGTGTCGCGCCACTCTCGTCTTGCTCCTGCTTCTCTGCCGTTACCAAACCTCGATTCTGCTCCTCGGCGCTCTTCCTTGTCTTTTTGGATACCGACCGAGCCTCGTCATCTTCTCCACTCCGCTTCCGTTTGCCGTTTTCTTTTCTCTTGTCGTCGGGGGGACTAGCAGCAGTGGCAGCAACAGCAGCCCTCTCGTCGGCCGCTTTCTTTTCCTGTTCCGTCGCAATCGCCGCGATTTGCTCGCGTGCCCATGCTGCTCTCTTCTTTTGCTTCCTCCAATTTTTCAACGCGTCGATATTTTTTTTCATTGCCCGAAAATACTTGTCAATCGCATCCTCGGTGCCTTTCAACCTATTCCCGAGCTCTTCAATCCCAAACACAGCGGGCCTTGCCCAGGCAAGTTGTACGGATAGTTGGCCTCTAGCCTCCACAGAGATTTTTCAAAAAACTTGCCATGCTTTGGCATGCTCGTCTTCCATCCTGGCCATGATGCCTGCATAACGATATTGCCAGTAGTAGAGATGGCAGAGATACTCGACCTAGGTCGTCCAAACATCTTGCTCTCGTGAGTTTTGCGCAAGTTGAGACGATACATAAAATTTGTGTTCTATAAGCCGAGTTCGAACTGCCGACGCGTAGTCATCGAAGCTTTGACCATCATGACCCTCAATATCCTGGTGTTCTTGATCACGTTTCGATGAGTATCTTGCCCCCTCAACCGAGTGAGGGTTACAGCGCTTAGTCATCTCGTTTCTACTCATCCTCTATTTATAAATATCCAATCTGAAGTCTCACTCAAGGGGTGGTGTCACCAGAGATATCCCTTCACCCGCATCAATACCTAACAAGTGCGCCGCTGAATCGCAACCTTATAGCAAGCATCACTAGGCATCGTTGCAAATGGAGCGAGCTAGCGTATTTCTGGAATTCAAGCCAACTCCACACGGATCATCACTAGGCGATGTGAAGAGGCGGCTGGATGTTGCCGGCTGCCCCCTCAAAAGTGATTTCACTTGATAGTGTGTCTTGAGTGTTATAATGTGCTTTCTAGAACCTCTCATATCACTCTGTTTCGCTGAGTTTGTGTTTCGAGTGTTATACACGTGCGATTCCAAGACTTGCTCAAACAATTCTGCTTCGCTTCCTCGCCGGGGATTCCTGTTCTTCCGTCAACAATGGCAGGCTGGGCTCCCGATGAGGGGTTGCCAACCTTGGCCTCTTGAAATCAACATCGTTTTCGGTGACTTGGCTCACACTCAACCAACCGCCTCGTTCCAAACGTTTCATAGGAGCGTCAATCAAATCTACAACGCCACGGAGCTCCTGGACCCGCGGGTGTGAAGACCCTGAAGAAAATTCGTGTTTGCTAGGCGTGTCAATACCGTCCAGCATTTCCAGGCCAATGTAGACGTATTGGAGGCCCTCAATTACCACACACAGTCGTGCAGCCTTTCACTGTTGGACATGTCGTGTGACGTTGGACCACACCCAGGACGCTTCACTCGTGTGTTAAAAACGACCAAAACAGCCTTGGTGTGACAAAGCGACCTAGTAGTCATGCTTTTTGTCAAGTGGATTGACGCACCACTCAAAAGACTAACAGACTAAAGCGACTGGCCAGGCAGCAGCGGCGGGTTTTTGACACCTCAGGCTGATGTTTGGTGTGCTCAAAAGAGTTTCCCCCTGAGTGTGCAATACCGCTGTATCCACGGGGTTTTGGTCCGCTCATTCGTCACTCGAAGAAAACAAGCAAAGGCATCTAGCTCGGCCAAGCCATTCTCCTTTCCATGTCGATCGCCATCACGTCGCGGTACGCACCAGAATGGCACTTGGCCAACAGAAGCATGTGCTTCGCAGATGGTCGATACAGTTCGCATGGCCTTTTTCACAGTTTCTTGGAAGGGTTCCCGCGTACTGGCCAGCCCCGAGCCTCACGACATCGGCAAAAATGCTTCACCAGCGACGCAGTGCTCTTCGTTTCTCTGCGACAAAACGGCGTTGCAAAGGCCAAGCATGTTGTCGAGCGCCTCTTGATATTGGATAAGCTTAGCCTGTCAGAGCTGCTCACTTGATTTGACTTGGCTGCATCAGTAATTGTCGAGTCCGAGTATACTTGATTGTACAAGGCTAATGGCGAAGTAAGTACACTGAAATACGAAAACAAACTCCGTAGAAAGACGGGCTAAATCATGAAAAGAACTCTCCAGAAAAACGCCGATTTTCCAACCAAAGCAGGCTTTCCCAACCCACTATAACATTGAAAGGCTCTTGACCCTTTTCGACTCCCAGTCGATACCATCCACGCACAGGATAGAGAAAGAGACGTCAGTACCAAGAAAAAACACAAAGAAGAATGGACGATAGTCCAGGTATCATTCCACAACGACCAGACAAGGTTGTGATACTCCCAGCTAACAATAGCAGGCGTCAGGACAAGGTCCGTCGAGCTCGCAAAAGAAAATACATGAAGAAAAGTGATCCATCTGGATCGGCGCGATTCTCTTGAATCGGATAAATACCGGCTGTGGTGCGCGCCGTAAGACATCGAGGGGTGGCGGTATTTTGAGGTCGAGCCTGTTTTGGACTGATAGCCGACGAATCCGACAGTTTTCGTGTCCGTGTTTTCGCATGAGATATATCTCTTGTGTCGTGAACAAGTTCCTTACGTCTCATTGGTTGAAGGAGGCGTTCAACCCATCTTGACATCGGCGCTAGCAGGCTCTGTAGCAATAGCCAGCGCAACCTTTTCGTCGACAGTCATCGACTCATCGCCTGGTTCACGCTTCTTGCCCATACGCTCGCACCACTCTTCGGCGCTGACAATGGTCCCGTCGAGAACACCCGTGATTTGTGTCACCATATCCAGCCCCTCTTTGGCAAGAACGAGAACTTTTTGCGCGCCTTCACGGAGGGCAGGGCTATTGTCCTTGCTGGTCTCGCTGTCGGTAGCATTGCCAGAATTTTCGTTCATTGTGGCGAGGCGGAAACGCTGAGGCAGACTGGTGAGGTGACGACGGACAAGAATTCTCGCGTTCTCCGGGAGAGCACCGCCGGCATACTTGGAGACGGTGACGACAACTTCTTGTAGCGTCTTGAGGATATCCGTCTTGATGATCTGGATGCGGTTTGCGATTTCAGTGCGCGCTTCTTCGGGCGTCTTGGTACCGCTGTCACCTTCAGTTCCTTCCATGACCTGGTCCTTATCTTGAGTGTTGTTCTCCGCGAGTCTGGCCTGGGTGTTGCAGGCGCTCTCGTATTCCTCGAGAGCATCTTTGAGGGATCCAATGGCCTTGTCCATGCGGTCGTTGGTCCATCGCAGCCACTTGAGACAGTATTTGAGGCTCTTGAGGCTCTCGGCGCTCATGGCGACGCTGAGTCCAGAGGTGGACATGAAGAGGCGTGTTTGCCAGGCAGCCTGGTTCTGAGAGGTAGCGGGAGGGCCAGCCGTCTCGCTGTACGCTGGGGAGCGTAGCTCGTCATATGCGGGCAGGGTGTCGATGGTGCTGACAGAAGAGCGGCGAGCGCTCTTCGGCGTGGGAGGGGAGGTGTCGTTTGAGCCATTGGCGTCTTCGGATTCTGGAACATCCTGCTCGCCGACCTTGCGACGCTTTTTAGAACTGGAGGCAGCCTCAGGTTCAGAAGTGGGCGCAGCATGTCGGCGACCACCGAGAAACCAGCGTACACCACCCTCAACGCCAGTCCTTCTAGCGGTTCTGTTGACCGTCTTTGCAAGGGGCGTGAGGTAGCCTTCGACGTATTCGGCACCCGACTTGAAGCGGGGAGAGTAGTTCTTGGTGCTGTGGTAGTTGGAAACGGTGGAGGCAATTAAGGGATGGGCGGTAGTGAGAAGCTGAAGAAGCGGCTCAGGTCTGGGTGGTCGTGAAGGGCCAGCAGCGGATGAGGAGGGAGCAGCGACCTGCATGTTTTGAGGAGGCGGGCTCATGGGACCAGAAGTGTCGGGCGGGGAGGAGACGAAATCTAGACGATTATTATTAGCGGCGTTTGGGCAGAGACGAGAGCCTAGGGTGTCATACCGGCTCTGAGGTCGCCAAGGGCTTCAGCGGCTAGTCGGACGTCGGGATCATCGAGGGTGAGGCTGGTCGGGGTTCCTTCTTTTTGATGTTCGGGGGTGCTATCACTGGTGACGCTGTTTGTGCCGTCAAAGTCGGCGTTGGCAGGACTGTGGGCGCGCGAGGGCTGAGGAGGGGGTTGTCGGTAGGACATGTTGTTGGCTTGGGGAGTCCAATTGCTGGGGGCCATGGCGGAGTGATCGAGAGACAGGATGTGACGGTGATGCTGAGGTCCGGCGATGGAGCTCAACGAGGGCAGGGTCCTGCTGTTATCATGGTTGGCTAGAGGAGGCAGTTTGGCCGAGTAGTCTGGTGCTGGGGGAAGCGCCGGGCTGTCCATGGCGATTGCGGGTGCAGAGGCAGAGGCAGCCGCGGAAGGGGTGTAATTGGGGGGAGGCAGACTTAAAGTCGTAGATGGATGAGAAGAGCTAAAAGGGAGTGGATTGCGCGGGGAGGGATAATGATGGTGATTAAGGTGATGCAGTCCGTGAGCATGGGTGGACGCGGGCGTGGATGGCGTGGATGTGGGCGTGGCTGGTGATGGGGGGCGGAGGGCGGTGCTGCTGGAGTCGCTGTTGGCAGTCGAACCAGAAACAGCACCAGTGGTACGCATAAATGTCTGGTCGTTTGTATGGGCGCTCGCAGTGGCGAGCATGTGATTGTGTTGCATTAGTGGTTCGGTGTCCGGCTACTGGTAGCGTGGAAAGGATCAGCCTGACATGTGCGATGGTTGATGGTTGCGTTGAGCGAGCGAGGCCCGCTAAAACCAGGACAAGAGTGATGGGTGGCAAGGCAAATGGTGAGTTTCGGGTAGGATAAGCGCAAACGGTGGGTTCGAGCTGGATAAGCAATGAAGATTGTAAAAAGAAATCTTTTTGGAATTGTCTCCAAAGAGAATTCGATGGGAAAAAACCGTGCCAAAAAAAAAAGAAGGGGAGGGGCGGGGGAAGGGAAGGAAGAAAGCCAGTCAGTTGCTCAGCTGGGGTACATGTATCTGTGCGTACCAGGCCGTTCCAGCTCTCAAGGAAATATATGTTGCCGCGTATTTGAGCAACGGGATAATGAGTAGGTAATCGATCGTGAAACTTTTTTTTTTTTTCGGAAGGCAAGAAAAGGGAAAAAAAGAGATGAGACAGGATGTGTGGCCACCGAGTCCGCTGGGGGGTTCAAGTAAAGGTGGCGGCTGGCGGACTTGGCCTTTGGGTGTGTTGATGATTACCTACCTAGATGCGCCTCATGGACCTGGTGACTGAGAGTCTGGGGTGGTCCCCTAGTCTGGGGAAGACAGGGTTCTATGAAATATCTCTTAACGATTACTTGCTTGCTTGCTTGCTTGCTTGCGTGCTTAATTGTCTGTTCAATTTTCATCCATCCTTTCCGAAAGATCATGCTTTGATCAGGCCGTGTTCCAATGGCTTGTGAAAATGTCCTGTCACGGGCACACATATTTGTTGGGGCGGACCAAGACGACGTGGCTGGCAGGTGTTGTGCCGTGCGAACGGAGAGAAAGAGAGGCAATGAAGCGGCTGCGCTGCAAGCTCACGGGTTCGGCTTTTCACTTTTTTTCTTCTTTTTGCCTACCATTTGTCACCATAATATTTCAGCGGCCTTTGCATATTCCATCAAACAGGGCAAAATGCCATCTTTCTTGTAATAGCCGGGTGGCTAGGTAGGTAGTCTAGCGGGCTGCAGGCGGGTCAGCTCCGTCACAAGCGTCACAAGCTCGACCAAAGCGCTGCGGCGGCCACCTCTGCCCTCCACTGTTACACGTTTCACCCGTGCGCGATCGGGACAAGGCTCTTCCGTCACTTCAAGTGGTTCCTTGATAATGAAAAGCATGTTTTTAGCTAGATTCATCTCGGGCAGGAAAGATGAATCTGACCACCATTGACAACCCAGCGCAATTCCTTTCCTTGCCTCGCCATCCCCCGCAAGCACATGCTACCAGCGCCATCACAGGCTTCTCACGCTACGTTACGGGGGCCGACAGCGGGACCTTTTTGCGGGTACCGACTAACTAGCTACGGCTACGGCAATGGAAAAAGAAGCGGGCAAAAGAAGCTGAAAAAGAAGCAAAAAAGGAAGCAAAAAAACCCGTTGACTAACTTGTTAGAGATGTAATTGCAGCAAAGCTCTGGTAAAACAGATGCAGTGTATAGCCTAATTGTGTGTGGCAGGCGGTGTTGAGACTGATGAATGGTACCACCATTCAAGGAAAACTTGAGCAGTCAAGACAACTGGCAGTAAAAACTATAACCAAGTGCGCACATTCAATTGTCGTACCATGATGCTTATGCTACGTCATAAACACCGCTTTGAAAGATTGAAAAGCACCTTGCGACCAGATTACCAGATTGTCAGATTCGCCATGATCCATTTCGTCTGGTGTTGGCTTTGCAGTCAAGAGGCAGGTTGGTAGGCTCTGCCCACAGGCCTCAGTCATCAGTAAGGTAGAGGGAGTGGACTCATCAGTGGAGACGACTTCTTGCCTGGTCGGAATTGCATGTGACGCAATGCCTTGCAATTTTCTCCGTCTTGCCGCCCCAATTTGGCACTTTTCGAACTTTCCCTCCGTACTCTTCGCCGGCGCAATCACACACGCCCGATCCATCCAACATTCACAATGCTGGCGCTGTTGTTTGCTCTGGTGTCTGCCTCCGTAGTTATACCCGCAACGTGAGTTTCAGGCACGTTGCTTGCAAGTTGCATGAGACTCGACTCAGGGACTCTGAATCTGAAAGTTGGCAGTCATTAATGATAACCAATCTCGTAAACCAGCGCTGACCTCGGCGCCGACCATCATCTCACGCCTCGTATCAAGATACGACCATTGCCGTCATCCCGCTTCATCCCTATCGCAACATGTTCATCAAACTGAGATTCCTTATCCAAATCTTACAAAGTACACACGGATGCCTCTTGATTGCCCCCGTTCCCCGAAAGAGATGTAGCGCTGCAAATCAAAAGCTGGTCCTAGTGTACACACGGGGTCCCTTGATCTACCATCACATGATGGTGCGCCACTCTCGTGCGTCAGCAACAGCCAAGGCCAGAAACTGTTGAGATGCGCGCCGACAGATTCGGTCATGCCACTCGTCAAAGTCGTCACCAAGCCGGGCTTAGAGTTTCCCCAGACCGCGCCACACTTTGCCACTTCAATTGCCATGCGCACCGTTGAAGTATGGCGCGGCCAGTGGCTTTAATGCATCGCGCAAGTATCTACGACCCAAAAATGTTTCACGGGCAATGCTATCGGCATGCAGTAGTCCGAGGCAATGAAAAGCAACCGAGCTTATGCTGCCAGACTGACAAGTAGTCTGCGGCTGTGCAACCTTTCGCAGGATATCGGAATCAAGGAACAAGAATCAAGAAAAAAAAAGAATGTCCGGCTTCTCTGACACCGTCCAAGCAACGTAGTATATGCTCGGTCAGTTCTTATGAAACCACATGAGTCCATCTCCGCACCACGAAATCGCGACTTCATCCACGGCCTGAATACTGAAATGGCAGAATGCCCATCAGTATCGAGCTAGGCGATGAGCTGCACTGTCTAGAGGGTGCGTTGAGGAGAAGGAGTAAATTTGAAAAGCAAACGCGCTCTGCAGATTTTGTTCCCTCGACCCGCTCTCCAAATTTCAGTATGCACGTGACCTACTCGCCAACCCGTCAGCCTCTTGCCCCGCGGTTTTGCCGTTCAGTGATGCTACTGGCCGTCGCAAGCACAGCTTGACTGCTGTGTAGATGCCAAATCTCAACTTCATCCCACGCGCCCATTCGAACTCCCCGCCAAGCTACTCTAGGCGGCCCGTCTTTCTTCTCGCTGGGCCACAGTAGCTCTGCAGTATACGATACTGCATGAGGCCAGCTTTCCTTAATTTTAATTGATCCTCGATTTCTCGACAGTCGTCGTGTACACCGCAGCAGCTCCATCCCCGCTGCCCCTCGATCCGTCCATCCACACGCCGTAACAGATCTCACGCCACCATCACCATGGCGTCGGCGCTCTTCTTTCTCGACCTCAAGGGCAAGGTACGCGCACAATTGTACTCGACCGAGTTGATATTTACCCGGCCTACTAATTACGATGCCATGCTACTGTAGACCTTGCTTGCTCGCAACTACCGTGGTGACATTCCCATGTCGGCCGTCGAAAAGTTCCCCATTCTCCTCTCCGAAGCCGAAGAAGAATCCTCGGCCGTGCCGCCGTGCTTTTCCCACGAGGGCATCAACTACCTCTACATCCGCCACAACAACCTCTACCTGCTCGCCCTCACCAAGCGCAACACCAACGCCGCCGAAATAATCCTCTTCCTGCACAAGATTGTCGAGGTGTTTACCGAGTACTTCAAGGCCCTCGAGGAGGAGTCGATTCGCGACAACTTTGTCATCATTTACGAGCTGCTCGACGAGATGATGGACTTTGGCTACCCACAGACGACAGAGTCGAAGATCCTCCAAGAATACATCACGCAGGAGTCGCACAAGCTTGAGATTCAGGCGCGCCCGCCCATCGCCGTCACCAACGCCGTGTCGTGGCGCTCCGAGGGCATCCGCTACCGCAAAAACGAAGTCTTTCTCGACGTTGTCGAGAGCCTCAACTTGCTCATCGGCTCCAACGGCAACGTGCTACGCAGTGAAATCCTCGGCGCCATTAAGATGAAGTGCTACCTCTCAGGCATGCCCGAGCTGCGCCTTGGCCTCAATGACAAGGTCATGTTTGAAACGACGGGCCGCACCACCCGCGGCAAGGCCATTGAAATGGAGGACGTCAAGTTCCACCAGTGCGTCCGTCTCGCGCGCTTCGAAAACGACCGCACAATCTCCTTTATTCCCCCCGACGGCGAGTTTGAGCTCATGTCCTATCGCCTCAACACGCACGTTAAGCCCCTCATCTGGGTTGAGTGCGCCATTGAGTCCCACTCGGGCTCCCGTATTGAGTACATGCTCAAGGCTCGCGCTCAGTTCAAACGCCGCAGCACCGCCAACAATGTCGAGATCATCGTCCCCGTCCCCGACGACGCCGACTCGCCCCGCTTCCGCACGAATATTGGCTCCGTTCACTACGCGCCCGAGCAGAGCGCAATCATTTGGAAGATTAAGCAGTTTGGCGGCAACAAGGAGTTTCTCATGCGCGCCGAGCTCGGCCTGCCCAGTGTCCGCGGCGATGACGACTCGGGCGGCGGTATGACGGGCGGTTTTGGCGGCAGCATGGGCGGTGTCGGCGGCAAGGGCGCCAAGAGGCCGATTCAGGTCAAGTTTGAAATTCCCTACTTTACGACGAGTGGCATCCAGGTCCGCTATCTGAAGATCACAGAACCAAAGGTAAGCAAAGCACAAAGTATCTGCAAAGTCAAGTCTCAGTACTAACAAGCCCTAGCTGCAATATCCCTCGCTGCCCTGGGTTCGATACATAACACAGTCTGGCGACATTGCCGTGCGACTACCAGACGCCATCTAACGTGGCCCCCCATACCCGTACATATAGATGACTGAAATGCGTTTCAATCAAGGCACAAAAAAAAAGGATCTGAAAGCATGGTTTAACCTGTGCCAGTCGGGTCATGGCTGAAACATGAATAGACAACAAAACATTTATGATGATGCAAAAAGATGACTGTCCATTGATGTATATTCGTCTGGTACACTGCTTTTACTTTTCTTGCTCTGATCCAAGGGTATATAAATCGCCCCGTAATGTTTTTTGCAAATTCCCAACTCGGGAGAGCCCTGAGGTTAAGATTTTTAGATTTTTTACAGCCCGACTGTCCTCTGTGATGAGGAGAGGACTGCGGATCCTTTTTGAATAATCACCCAAAACACAATGCATCATTTTAAATCATCCGTAATCGTCATGGCCCGCTGAGAAGAGCAAAATCACTTTGTGCAGATTTTCGTTCTTCACTCCAGTCTCGGTTTCTTCACCGGACTCTCGCCGCCCTGATGCTGCTGCCCCTGCTGCTGCGCCTCGGCCTCCAAAAACGCCCTCGCCTCCCTCAGCAGCCTCTTTTCGCCCACGCGCACCACGACGGCCATGCGTTCCTTGTCGCTCAGCGGCGGCCCGCCGCCTGCGAGAAGCTGCTCGTCCTGCGCCAGCGTCGTCGGGTACTGCGCCTCGAGCGCGGCCAGCGCGCGCGCGACAATGGTCGTCTGCAGCTCGTCGCGCTTGCGCCGCCTGTCGGGGACGAGCTCGGCGTCGACGGCGCGGACGGCGCGCAGGAACTCGTGGAGCTGCTCTTGCAGGTCGCCGGGAAGGCCGGCGAAGTGGGCTGGGGGCGAAGGGGGGAAGAGGCCGGTGGGGAGAATGTCGGGGCACTCGCGCTCAAGGACAAAGGTGTCTTCCATCTCATCCTCGTCGAGCTGGCCACGCTGTTTTTTTTTCTTTTCGTTAGCATTGATAAAGCAATGTGGTAACACAACAGGAAAAAGGTAAACATGTAGAAGAAGGATGGGGTGCAAACGTACCACTTTGGCCCAGGCTTCTTGTGATAGACCCAGCTGCGACACGGTGGCGGCTTCGACCAGTTCCCAGGGAATCTCAACCACGTCGTACCGTGAGTGGCGCTCGGTCACGTAGCCGTAGCGGCGGAGGAGTTCCGAGTTGGGATGCGGGCCATAGTAGTTGAGAATCTCCTCGCCGGCCTTGATCGGGCGGAGCGCGGTGACGGTGAGCTCGTTGTCGCCGTGATTTACGTGTGCCTGTTTCTCATCATCAGTATCATGCTCCAGGCCCATCCAAAAACCAGGCCACGCACATTAAACTCTGCATCCGCATTCAGAATGTCCGCCATCGGCACCATGCCCATCATGGCCTTGCCATCGCGGTCCTCCACCCAGCCGTCTTCGTCCTCCTCATCCTCCCTCTCCTCGTCATTTTCCAAATCAAACGCGTACGCCATGATGGTGCTTCCCATGCGATGCGCGAGCGCAACGAGCGCCTCGTCGCTCAGCGCCGCGCTGCCCTGAAAGACGTCCGGGTGCGCGCGCACCACCGGCAGCAGGATCCCACGAAACGTGTCCTCGGCGCTCTCGCGGCCGACCTTGCCCGCCGTCGCGCCGGCCTGCAGCGCGCCCAGCTCCGCGCCCGTCCAGAACATGGGCGTCTCAAACGTCGCGGGCAGCACGTCGAGGTACGGCCGCCAGGCGGACGCGGCGCCGCGCAGGTGCTCGTAGAGCAGCACCAGGATGAGGGCACCCCAGGCGTCGAGCGGCGACGACGAGAGGGGGTCGTCGTCGGCAACGCCATGCTGCGGCGCGAGGCCCTCCTCGTCGGAGAAGAGCTGGGGTAGCTGGGAGCGCAGCCCAGACGTCTCGACGTTGATGATGCTTTGACGGGGAATGGTGAAGAGCACCGTCTCGGGAGCAATGTCGCGCAGGGCGACTATGAGTGTTGGATTAGTGTGAGGAGGGGTGGAAGCGCGGCATGGAGAGGATGCTGTTTACCGATGCCGCGGCCGGCTTTGCGGCCGCGTAGGTCCTGGATCGCAATGGCATCGGAAAAGGTGGCGCCGGGGAGCTGTTTGAACCAGCTCAAGAAGCGAGCTGTCAGCTCGTCAAACGAGTCTCCCATCGTGCCCGGTCCTGCAGTCACCAAGAAAAGATTTCAAAGAGTCTAGCGTGAGAGTTTCTCTCATAAAATGCCGTTCTCACTCTATAAAATGAGTCTTGCCGGTCTGAGTGACAAAGTGATGTCAATCGTGGTCCAGCTCGCAAGCGCAGAAAATTCACACAGTGCCGCAGGCCGCATCGCGATGTCATCTAGCAGGCAAGGTGCCCAACACACCATTTTCAAGCCGCTTTGTGCAATTTCTACTATATACTAGCAACTTAATTTCTGTTCATTTCTCGAGGATAATGTTTTGTTTCATTCATGTCCGCCATGAGTAGCACAGATACTTACGGCGAATCGTGGCTACCGTGTTCACACCGTATCTACACTGTATTCAGGGTAGCATCGCGGCCTTACCATTTCTGGCCCAGATTTCAGCCTTGAGCCAATGGCGGCACTTTGATTGTTGACGCAATCGCAGTGACCTGCTCAGACAGCGTGCGCTGATAGGTCGCACTGCAGGCTGCATACCTATACAAAGCCAGCTACATGCTGACACCGAACCGCACTCTGGGCTCTGTCTTTGAACTACGTTGGACACAGAGCGTGCATGCGCCGCCAAGCCTCTTTGTTTCTGGTGGCATCATGGCTGTCTGAGATTCGCGACTTGAGCCTCTGGGGGGCAATCGATGCGCACAGGGCGTGGTGGTGGTGGCTTGTTGATAAATCGGAAGCGCAACTGCCGCGGTTTATTTCTGAGCGTTTGTACTTCTCAGCTGACGATCTACGTTGCTTCCATTCAGCTGACGGTCTAGAACAAAGGCTGCTCAAGCTACAAACATCTTGCACCGCATATACGGCAAATCTTGCAACTATCGTTGCGCTGGAGCTGCAATACACATAGTACCTTGGCTGCCTTGTCTCGGCTTGCTCGGCACTGAGCTACATTGCGACAGCATGTTCCATGATCTTTTGACTGTTTGTGGTTGCAGCCTGTCTCGAATGACTTGGACAGGGCGTTTCAGCAACTGCATCCGTATAGTACCCAGCAGTAAGTCTGTCTTTAGACTTGGGGGCACAATTGGCTGCATATGACAGTCCATCAAGTCTACATGTAGACTCAGATGATTAGTTGGAAGTATGATAATAAGCTTGAGTTTGCTGGCTGCTTATCAGGAATTATTGCCACTATTCTGCCCTTGTTCCTCATTCCCCGAAATAATTCCTTTTTATTGCATGCCTTTTCTCTCTTTCTATGTTGAAATTCCCTTGTTAGGGCTGATCTCGCGTTGCAAGCGTATCGGCAGTTCTGTTTTGGTGCAAATAGGGCGGACATACCAAGGCGCTAGCAGCGACGTTGGCGCGCGGGCTCGCCAGTCGAGGCAATGTAGACAAACACGTGGGCAGAGACTAATAACATCAATATTGAGACTGTAAAATTTCCTCAATATTACAATCGGTATGGACAGCCTGCAAAATGATGTCAGCAAATTGGCAAAGCTGAGGATCGAGACACACGATCGATTGACAGCAACAAGGATAATTAAAAGTAATCAGAAAACACTGCTGTATAGGCGCTAAGCAGCTTCCTTGACCAGAACGTTGCTGATGGTGTACATGAATACGAGTTGCCCTGAAAATTTTCCTACCTTGATTCTTCCCTCTATTACATTCTGACTGGCACTAGTTGGCTTGAGATATGCTTCTTTGATTCGGTGATAGGAGATCCCACTCCCGCCGCATGCGCCAAGAAAGAAGCATAAGCCAAGACCAGTGCTGGACAGAAGCGGGGAACTGCCAAGAAGACGGCGGCATGCAGTCTTTGGGTCTTCTCGGCACAGCCTCCCTCTTCACAGTGCAAGGATTTTTGCCTCGTCATCGGACCAACAATTTTGGCAAAAATCGTCAGCTACAAAATCATGTTGGAATGATCGTGGTGCTCCCAGCACTCGGGCAGCAGTCGTCTAGTGTAGTTGACCGCCCTAGACGACACACGGCTCGCCTGAAGGGCTAAGTAGTTAGCGGAAACTGCAAAGGAAAAGCATCAAACAAAGCACAGAGGACCACTGGGGTGGCTAATCACTAATCCACCAACAAGATGACAAGTTAATACTGGGGCGTCGTATGGTGGCTGACAAAACCTTATCTCTGACGTTGAAGCGCTACAGCCAGGGCCGAGATGGCCGTTGTACCAGTAGCTACTCTACTTAGGCTCGCAAGTTGGTGGCTGAGATTCCAAAGAAAAATCTGGGAGAAAATTTCGAGATCTTGATCGACACTGCTGGTACAGTGGCTTGGGCAGGATTTTCCGCCGGATCATCGCCTCGGCCTTCATACTACAGATACAACTGTGACTAACTTGGTTATTACGCAGAGCCTTCTTATCACACGGCATCTTTCAATTATTTGCTCTGATGCACATAAATAGTATGTATAAATACAAACATTAGACGAATCCTAAGTTGTGAGCTACTGGCGTTGGGATTTGCATTCGAACGGCTGCCTTGTCTGCTTGTCAACGCAGCTGGTGTCTGCTGTGCAACATCCATGCTGCAATGTGTGTGGCGTTTCTCGACCCAGCCTGAAGTAGCTACGAAGTAAAGATGAAGTTCGAGGCAGAGGAGCAACCAAACTGCCGAAAACACATTGTTTTCACCGCAGACTGTTTGAAGAACGAGCAATTGCCGAGTATCACAAGACGCGACTGACGCATGCACAAGCTGTGCTGAGTTGACTTTTAAAATTATTCATGGCACCCTCTTCAATGTACACAGTGTCACACGGCCTCGGCTCGATGCTTTTGTGGCAAGCCCGCCAAGACTTGTACTTGTCTGGGCTTCCCCATCGACTCCATTGGCTCCACGCTCCGCGGTCCGGGGGCAACAAAAATTGATAGAGGATTCAATCGGTTGAGATGTGCCAGCGTTGCCTTTACCCCTGGTCTGAATACTGTGTGTTTCGAAATAATGAAAAGACAAAAGTATCTGACATGAAAATTCCCATGCCACCATGGCTGCCTTGAAACGTGGAGTGACAACTAGTTTGAACTAATATCTATAGCAAAGGCGCTAGATCCAATCTTGCACCCCAACTGCTCGCCACACTTCAAGCATATTTTCTTGCCCCAGCCAGCTGGTCCAAAAATACCCACAGTTGTACGGAGTACGTTGATTTAGAGCCGACAGATGGAAGTGGCTTATGTCGTCGTCTGTTGACGGGCTGGACTTCTTAAACTGGGCTCGCTCCCACCTTTCGATACAGATTCCTTCTTCTTTTCATTTTCACCATCTTAGATTCTCCTTGTTTCTCTGCTTGTTCCCCGTCATATTGCTTGCAACGGGCTTGGTAGCAAAACACTGAGAAAGTCGACGAATCTACACACCTGCACGACAAACAACAACACCTGACAAGAAACAAAAAGAAGAAAAGAAATACACACACTGACGAATCAATCCAAACAATTCGATTCAGCGACATTCAATTGCGTCCCGTTTCCCCTGCTATTGCGTTGCAATCCTAGGCCATGGGTCAAGGAAAGCAGCAGCAGGAGCAGCAGGAGCGCCTGCAGGCTCATGTCTCCGGGCAGGCTAACAAGCCCATGTCGGCACCTGCGCATGCCTTGAGCTATGCCGATGTTGAGAGAGAGCTGCAAGTCGACCATGAAGTTGGCCTGACTCCAGAGGAGGCCAAAACCCGTTTGGATGTCTACGGTCGCAACGAGTTTGGCAAGCAAGATGGTGTTCAGCCGTTCAAGATCTTTATTGGGCAAATTGCCAACGCATTGACTCTGGTAAGTTTTCTTCCACTGGCATGCATCGAGAGATGAACAACTTGATTGCCTTTGCTTTCATATTTTCCTTTTTCGTTCCTATTGGCTGCCATGGCGTGATGTTATGCCAATATGCACTTGGCGGAGCCCAAGTGGATTCCGTCAGCGTCACGGGTTGGTTCGCTCACCAGCACGGGAGGCGGCACGTCGAAACCCAACGGCTGCATGCAGCTGGGCGGGGAAAAGGATCCGACCCGGCGGCCATCAAATGCCTTGGGCTCTTGGCAGACAAAAAGCCGACAATGGACGAGATACAAGTTCGATGAAACGACGAGAATTTGCGAAGAAGGAGGCAGCGAAAAGTCGACAAAATGAAGCCGTGCTAACCACAACGCCAGGTCCTCATCCTCGCCATGGTTGCATCCTTTGCCATCAAGTCCTGGATCGAAGGCGGTGTCATTACCGCCGTCATTGTCCTCAACATTGTTGTCGGCTTCCTCCAGGAGTTCAAGGCTGCCAAGACCATGGACTCGCTGCGTTCGCTCAGCTCCCCCACCGCCCAAGCCGTCCGTTCCGGATCCAACCAGACTGTAGTTACCGCCGAGATTGTGCCCGGTGATGTCGTCGAGCTCAAGACCGGCGACACTATCCCCGCAGATATTCGTCTCGTCGAGGCCGTCAACTTTGAAACCAACGAGGCTCTGCTCACCGGCGAATCCCTACCCGTCCGCAAGGAGACGGCCACCATCTTTGCCCCCGACACTGGCCCCGGTGACCGTCTCAATGTTGCCTACTCGTCGTCTACCGTGACAAAGGGTCGCGCCATCGGTGTCGTCTTTGCCACTGGAATGTTTACTGAAATCGGTCAGATCGCCGTCGCTCTCCGTGGCAAGGCCTCTCGCCGTCGTGAGCCCAAGAAGAGGCGCGAGGATGGTTCTGCCAGCTTCCACCGCTGGCTCGAGGCCTGGGGTCTTACCTTTTCCGATGCTGTCGGTCGCTTCCTCGGTGTCAACGTCGGAACGCCTCTGCAGCGCAAACTCTCCAAGCTCGCCCTTCTGCTTCTCGGTACCGCTATAATCTGCGCCATCATCGTTCTCGGCGCCAACAGTTTCAGCAACAGCCAGGAGGTCATCATCTACGCCGTCGCCACTGGTCTTTCCATGATCCCGGCCTCGCTCATCGTTGTTCTCACCATTACCATGGCCGCTGGTACCAAGCGCATGGTTCAGCGTCACGTCATTGTCCGCAACCTCAAGTCTCTCGAGGCCCTGGGCGCGGTTTCTAGTAAGCGTATCATAACCCCCTCATCTCAGAACAACGGCTTAACTTGCCATCAGATATATGCTCGGACAAGACTGGAACCCTCACTCAGGGTAACATGATTGTCAAAAAGGCCTGGATTCCCGGCCGGGGCACCCTCTCGGTCGGCACTACCAGCGAGCCTTTCAACCCTACGGTTGGCGATATTGGCTTGAAGCCTGAGCAGCCCAAGGACATTAAATTCAGCACCGAGGACTCTGAAGGTGACTCCATCAACACTGCCGAACTGCCCACCAAAGATGAGACTATCCGTGAATACCTCAATGCCGCCTCTCTTGCCAACCTTGCTGCCGTCCAGCAGGTCGAGGGCGAGTGGCAGGTCCGTGGTGACCCCACTGAAATTGCTATCCAGGTCTTTGCCTCGCGCTTCAACTGGAACCGTTTTCGCCTCTCCCATGGCAAGGATGCCGAGTGGGCCGAGGTTGCTGAATTTCCCTTTGACTCTGATGTCAAGAAAATGTCCGTAATTGTTGAGCACAAGCCCACTGGCAAGCAGCACCTTTATACCAAGGGCGCTGTTGAGCGTGTTCTCACCTCTTGCCTGCACTACGTTGACGGCGACAAGATGACGGAGCTTACCAACGAAGTCAAGGAAGACACTCTCCGGAACATGGAAGCCCTCGCTCGTCTCGGCCTGCGTGTTCTCGCTCTCGCTAGCCGAAGCGACATCCCCCACGTCAAACACAACGAGGCCGAGCTCGAGCGCGGCGACTTTGAGCAGGATCTTGTCTTCCGCGGCCTCATTGGTCTCTATGATCCCCCTCGTCCCGAGTCTGCACCGTCTGTCCGCCAATGTCATGAGGCTGGAATCAGCGTCCACATGCTCACTGGTGACCATCCTGAGACTGCTCGTGCCATTGCTCTGGAAGTCGGTATTCTGCCCTCGCGCATCTCTCAAGTCGCTGCTGATGTGGCCCGTACCATGGTCATGGCTGCCTCCGACTTTGACAAACTAACTGATCAGGAAATTGACAACCTCCCCATTCTGCCACTCGTTGTTGCTCGCTGCGCTCCCCAGACCAAAGTTCGCATGATCGAGGCGCTTCATCGTCGCAAGGCCTTTGTTGCCATGACTGGCGATGGCGTCAACGACTCGCCTTCCCTCAAGCGTGCTGATGTTGGTATTGCGATGGGTCAGGCTGGCTCTGACGTGGCCAAGGAAGCTTCTGATATCGTTCTCACCGACGATAACTTTGCTTCTATTCTCAACGCCGTCGAGGAAGGTCGCCGCATGTTTGACAATATTCAAAAGTTTATTCTGCATGTCCTGGCTGAGAATATTGCCCAGGCTTGTACTCTTCTCATCGGTCTTGCCTTTAAGGATTCTCGCGGTATCTCGGTCTTTCCCCTTGCCCCCGTGCAAATCCTTTGGATCATCATGATTACCTCTGGTATGCCTGACATGGGTCTTGGCTTTGAGATTGCGGCGCCCGACATCATGCAGCGTCCTCCTCAAAACCTCAAGCAGGGAGTGTTCACGCCCGAGCTACTTGTTGACATGGTCGTCTATGGTCTATGGATGGCCGCGCTCTGCATCTGCTCGTTCATCGTTGTCCTCTATGGCTTCGGCCGCGGCGCCGCCGATCTGGGCGACGACTGCAACAACACCTACCACGAGAGTTGCAAGGTCGTCTTCCGGGCCCGCGCGACCACCTTTGCCTGCCTGACTTGGTTTGCTCTCTTTCTCGCCTGGGAAATGGTCAACCTGCGCCGCAGCTTTTTCCGCATGCAACCCAAGAGCAAGCGCTACTTTACGCAGTGGATCCTGGATGTCTGGCGCAACAAGTTCCTCTTCTGGTCCATCATTGCCGGCTTCGTCACCATGTTTCCCATCATCTACATCCCCGTGATCAACACCGTGGTCTTCAAGCACGCTCCCATTTCTTGGGAGTGGGCTGTCGTCTTCATCGAGGCCATCCTCTTCTTCCTCGGCATCGAGACTTGGAAGTGGGCCAAGCGCATCTACTTTCGCCGCCAGGCGCGCAAGCACATGACCGACCGAAAGGGCGATATTGAGGAGCGCGTCTTTGGGCACTACTTCCGCACCAACACACAGAGCAGCAGCGGCGACGAGGCCTTGCTCGAAAAGAACCAGCGCAAGACTGCCGGAGCTCAATAACACAAGGCCCCCATCTTCCATCTCACGGTTGAGATGTGGTGGCGGAGGTTGTCAGTTTCTTTTGACGTGTGACCAAAAGAATCGTGCATAAGTATGTGTTATTGTCTCAGCGTTTTGCTCCCAAATTTGCCATGTATCTTTTTCCTATTGTTTGACATTGCACACTCTGTGCCGTTTTGGCAACAGAGTCCGCCATTCGCCTTTCATAGTTGGCTGGTGTAGCACAGCTATGACACGGGTCGTTTGACAAGTAAAGTGCGTTTGAGGCAAAAGGTTTTTTGCATTGACGTTTCTGTAGAACTCTGCAGTGGTGAGTCGCAAGTATACATAGATTAGCTAGTTATGATATGAGACGTCGTCGTTTCAACGATGAGCCACGTAGAATATATGGCCAATTATCAGAAATCCTGGACTTGCAATGATGTCTTTGTGAGCTTTGAGCAGTGAGCTGTGAAAGAATAATTAAGTCATGATCGCCTTTGATGATACAGCCATAAGCGAAAGGGCCTGCCACTTTCGAAAAAGATACTGGGACCAAAACTTGATCCCACACAGAGTGAGCTGTACATTCATGTGCACTGTATTGGATCTCTTTGAAAATCAAATATGCCGGATTAGAGCAGGTGATTATCAGTAAACTACAGTCACAGACGAATCCAACGGCGGCACTGTGGTTTCCTCTTCTACGAAGACAGTGTAAAACGCACAATCTACTATCTTTGGCAGACGACTTTCCCGAGCGGCGATCGAGATATCGCATCGACTCCCCATTATTATCCTAATGCCGTAGATGCCCCCCCACGTTGGCGAAAAGGTGCTTGACGTGGGGAAGGGGTTAAAAAAGGAAGCACTCTTTATAAACCGTCCACAGTCACAGAGGTCACATTTTTTACTTGACTTACTTCTACCCAACTATTCCAAAACAAAGACCGCAAAGATGGAAACAAGCAATCCGCAGAAGATTTCCCGGCGACTTTACGTTGGGTACGGGACAATCCATCAATCACTTTGAATGCTCAGCATTGCTAATTTTCCTTTGATTTTCATAAAAGTGGCCTGAGTTATTCCGTCGACGATGAAGAGCTTCGAGCTTTGTTTGAACCATTCGGTAAAGTCGACTCTGTGGTAAGACATGAAAGGCCCTACCTAGGTGATGAAGATGGGATAGATATTCCAATGCACACGGGGCTAGTCTAAAAAATTGTTTCAAACAAATGTAAAAACAGAAAGTCATACGTGATTTCCATTCAGGCCAGTCCAAAGGATCCAATTGGATACGTCGAAATGGCAACCATGGAAGATGCGAAAGAGGCCATTGAAAAGCTTAATGGATCTAGGTGAGTGGGCATGGTTGGGAAAAAAAATTATCACAATCCAAGCTGAGAAAGACCACAGCCTTGAAAAACGTACGATAACTGTTTCTTTTGTACCATTCGGAGGGTTCCAGGCAGGGGTAGACGGATTACTCTCCCAATCGATTGATAAATAACCGGGTGTTGCGGTCAAGGAAAAGCAGGGACCACGGGCTTGTTGATATGCTGACTGGTTAAATATCACCTTTGTTCATGCGAGACTTGTCATTCCTGATGGGCATTTTGGGGCCATCAAGTCGATAATACAGAAGAGCAAATATTCATTCATGTTTGTTTCTCTCCTTGCCATTATCTAGCATTACAGCCATCCAACACTATCGCATCTATGAAACAGACTCGTTTTTTCAGATTCCATTTTCCTTTGTCTCTTTCTCAGTCTGTCTTATTATTCTCTTTTTTAAATTAGTCTTTATAATGCCAGTGTCACATTGGAAAGGGGCAACTTACCGAGCATACTTGGCATCTGTTAGTGCTGGTGTGAAGGGGACTCAAGCTCACCAAGAGTCACCCGCGACAACTCATTTCGGGTAGGTTCGGTAGATTGCAATCAAGAGAAGCATAACTTGGCCAAAAAATAACTTGATAAATGTTGTTTTTTTGCTGTTTCCTTGTGATCTTTTTTTAGCTCGAAGTATTCCGTTCGCCATAATACGTCCATGGTAGAAGGGGCCTTGCTGGTAAGTGCCTAGTGGTGTTGTGACGGGTACCCTAGAAAAACATGACGACTTGTAGTTACAGGTGTCAAAATCAGCCGATGAAAACAGAGCCGAGGCGAAATCTTCTCAAGTGAGGAGTAGAAATGATATTGACAAGGATAAAAGTTGGAAACTATCTTGCACGCACTTTTTACTTTTATAAAAAAATTCATCAAGACAATGAATGAGAAAGCAACAAGTTGCCTTGCGATGCTGGCTATTTTTACAAGGTCATTTCTACTAAATTTTATAATTCAAGTTTATCCATCTTCCAAAAAAAAAAAAAAAAGCGTCATTTAAAGTGCTTTTTCAATGATGAGAGAAATGAAATCTTTTCCTCTCTAATCTTGGTAAGCCGCTGGGAGGCCATCAGCCCTTGCGCAGTATTCTGTACCTGGAGCGGCCATACCCCAGATCGGGCTCCGGGTGTCGATGACTCTCAAAAGAAAGATGCATTCAAAAGACTCGCCAAGGCCTTGAACTACCCGCTTACTTTAACTCTGGAGTTTCCCTCCCCATTCACACGGCTGAAATTGGAAAATGTCACGCCGGGATAGGTTCCCAGAGCTGAAGTCGAAGCGACGCGGCGTGAGTCACTTGTCAACTAACTAGTTGTCGCCCATTGATGCACTTACACCAACTACTTGCCTGCTTGGGGATTCGAAAAGACGGTTATATCTAACCGAGTGGCTTACTTTTTATGACAGTCTCCTACAAGTTGCTCCTCGCTTTGATTTTCTCTATGCACTTTTGTGTCCGAGCAATTTAATTCGTTTTCGTTGACTGCTCCCTTCATCGTGTATCAGCTTCATTTCACCGAGTAAATTACATGTACAAACTTTGCCCCCCAAGAAAAAAAAAGAAAAAGATTTACCATGACCACCACCCCCTCAGAACAGCCTCGGCCAGCCCCTACAGCCAGCTCCCCCATCTCCCTCCGCGAAATCACTGCGCAAAACTTTCGCGCCGTCATTGACCTGGACATGCGCGACGGCCAGCGCGGCAACGTCTCGTCCAACGCGCGCTCCCTCTGCGAGGCGCACTACTCGCCCGACGCGTGGGTGCGCGCCGTCTACGCCGACGACGCCCCCGGCACGCCCGTCGGCTTTCTCATGATGTCCATCTGGGACCCGGACGCGTGGTGCAGCATCTGGCGCTTCATGATTGACAGCCGCTACCAAGGTTTAGGGTTTGGTGCGCGGGCGGTGCGCTTGGCGGTCGAGCACGTGCGGGAGAATCATCCGGGGACACAGATGCTAAGGCTGCTGTCGGCGAGTCCGGAAGGAAAGGCGGCGCGGGGTGGGAAGCCGCCGGTGGAGGCTCGGTATTCGCCGTATCGGTTTTACTATAAGCTTGGGTTTCGAGATGTTGAGCCGATGGATGAATATGGCGAGATTGAGATGGGACTGGACTTGCAGAAACAATGATTTCTGCCAACTTGGGGCCAGCTACTTTCAATCATGCATCAATTGCAATTTTGTTGCAGCATCAAAGGTCTATCTAATGTAGTACTTTTTTTGTCATTACACCAAAAATCAAAAGACCCTCTCATTTTCACTGCCACACACACACATTTACTGCCTCGTCTCCCGACCAGCCTCCACCGCACTCTCCGGCTGAATGTAACCCTGCGCCGAATTGCGATCCGGAACGCTCTCCGGGTCGTGCTGCCTGCCCTTGTAGATACTTCCCCCAGGTCCCGGCGGATTCGTGCCAACGTTGGAGACTTGGGCCTTTTGGCCCTTGGTGGCAATGTCGTCCTGACCGCCACGGCCACTCACGGGCGAAACTCCGGCGTCCGGGACAACGTCATTGTCATTGGTGGCCGTGTGTTTGGAAGGTTGATTGAGCTTGTCCAGCGACCTTTCCGTGTCGTCAAACTGCTCGCCTTTGGATTGTCTAAGATACACAGAAAAGTTGTTAATCAAATCATGACTTATACAAGTCGGTGATGCATTTTCAATTTTTTTTTTGGCCTCACCTTCCTCTGTCGTCTAGCACGCCACCTTCACTAGGAGGGATGCGCTTGTTGAAACTGCCGCTGGTGCTGAGCTCATCGCCGTAGTTGACCTGAGCACCGCGGCCCTCAAACTTCTTCTCGGCCATGGAGTTTACACCAGCCTCATCCAGACCTTGGGATCGTGCGGCGCCCGTCTTGGACTGGTAGGTGTTGAGGTCGGCCTCGGCCTGGTTGGCGATTGCTGTAAAGTCGGAAGCCATTGTTGTAAAGTATATCCTAATGTATAACGTAATATAATTTAATTTGTCGGTAAATCTTGATTTATTGCAGGCTATTCCCGGTTCCTTTATATCTCTATGATAGAACCCAATTTAGTACAATTCAATGGAGAGTCATTGGAAGCGTCATAAAGTACGCAAGAATGATGAAAGACCTAGCATCTCCAGTCGCCGGAGCTTTTGGTCAGACGTATCGCGGGTTGCACTGGTCCAGTATTGAAAACCGGGGACAATTATGGAACGTTGCAAGAATTTTGCAGTCAAACTTGCCTTTGCCCATTCGTTGAGTCATCAGTCTTTGCCAGAGCTTATCTTTTGTATCTGCGGTGTATCAACTTGAGAGCGCAGTAAAGCTAGGGCGCGACACACAAGACAAGTCTTCAAAAGACGCAAGAAGAAAACAGTTTTAAGCAGGTATCGATCGGCGTGTATTATTACATGTACTGAGTGGGTTATCAACTTGAGTGCTATTTTACTTCATAGAAGCCTACACTAGTAGGCGACAAGATCAATCAGCCCGTCCAGCTCGCGGTCCCAGCATCTGTGCTCGCTGACCGCATACACAAACTGGTCCAAAAACGTCTTTGCATTCTTGACCGCCTGCACGACCTGGCCCAGACTCTCCGGCGTCGGCTTCCGCAAGGACACGACGCCGTAGCTAGAGACGGACTCGGCGCCGTCCGAGAGCCTGACCTGGTCCAGCTGAATCGCCTTTTCCAGCATCCGCACGCCCTCGCCCGTCGCGGCGACGGTCTTGAGGTGGCCAAACGCCTCGCGCACGTACTGCACCGCGCGTCCTTTGCTGGTGAGCTGCTTGATGGCGTTTTCGCCGCCGGGGATGAAGAGCGCGTCAAAGAGGGTGCTGCGCTGGCCCTCAAAGTGGTGGTCGGGCACGACGCCCTTGCTGGAGCCGTGGTCCTCGCCGGCGGCGTAGATGGCGGAGCGGCGCGGGCCGATGATGACGGGAATGGCCTTGGCGCCTTTGAGGGCGCCCAGCATGGCGGCAAAGGCGGTGGCGTCGTAGCCATCCGCAATGAGAATGGCCACCTTGCGCGACTCAATCGTGACGTTTTTGGGCACGTACTCGAGTTGGCTCAGCCCAGAGGCCTTTTTTCCGTGGTTCTTCTTGGCCGGCTGCGGCGGCGCAGGGCCGCCCACCATTTGCGCAACCGTCTCGCCCAGCTGAGGGTCAATCTCGGCGAGCCTCTTGGTCATGCGCGTGTACACGACGGCGTCGTCGCAGTGGTCCAGCTCAAAGGCGAGCGCCGCCTGCAGGTGCTTGCGCTCAATCGGCGCGAGCGAGTTGTAAAAGAGCTGCGCCTGCGAGACGTGCTCCTTGAACTTTTTGCTCTTGCCGCGCACCTTGATCCCGCCGACCTGCTGGGCGTGGTCGTGGTAGCCGCCCTCGGACGTGGCCGCCGGCGGCTGGACCTCGCCGCGGTTGGGCCAGTAGTTGAACTTGCCCTTGGAGATGCGGTGGCGCATCGCGCCGTCGCGGTTGAAATTCATCATGGGGCAGACGGGCTTGTTGATGGGCAGCTCTTCCCAGTTGATGCCCAGACGGCTCAGCTGCGTGTCTTGGTAGGAAAAGTTGCGGCCTTGCAGGAGGGGGTCGTCAGAGAAGCCGATGCCAGGCACAATGTGGCTAGTGCAAAACGCAACCTGCTCCGTCTCCGTGAAATACTCATCGACGTTGCGGTTGAGCTCGAGCTCGCCAATATATCGGATTGGCACCAGGTCCTCGGGCCAGACCTTGGTCGCATCCAAAACGTCAAACTCAAACTTGTCTTCTTCGCCTTCAGGAATGGTCTGGATGCCAAACTTCCACTTGGGATATGCGCCGTTCTCAATAGCTTCCATCAAATCCTTTCGGTGAAAGTCGGGATCCTGGCCACCAATTTTGAGGGCCTCGTCCCAAACAAGTGAGTGCACGCCTAGCTCTGGTGTAAAGTGAAACTTTACGAAATGGCGCTTGCCTTGGGCATTCACCAGGGTAAATGTATTGACACCAAATCCCTGCATCATGCGATAGGATCTAGGAATGGCACGATCCGACATGGCCCACATGAACATGTGCGTAGCTTCCGAGTGCATATACATAAAGTCCCAGAAGTTGTTGTGTGCCGACTGTGCCTGGGGAATTTCGCCGTCTGGTTCTGGTTTTCCCGCATGAATAATGTCGGGGAATTTCATAGCGTCCTGAATGAAGAAGACGGGGATGTTGTTGCCGACAATGTCCCAGTTGCCTTCATCAGTGTACATCTTGACAGCGAATCCGCGAACATCACGGACCGTGTCGGCTGAGCCTCTGCTTCCGAGCACCGTGGAGAATCTGACAAATAAAGGAGTCTCTCGTGATGTGTCGGTCAAGACGCCCGCATGTGTTACATCTTCGGCAGACTCGAACAGTCGAAATGTGCCAAAAGCTCCGGCGCCACGAGCATGAACTACACGCTCGGGGATGCGCTCATGATCGAATCTGTGGATCTAGAAAATGGTGAGTATTTCACGTTATTTTTTTTTTTTCTAGTACAACGGTTGGGCATACCTTTTCTCTGGCAAAGACATCCTCAAGAAGCGAGGGGCCTGTCTTGTCGCCATTGGCGACACGGAGCCAGTCATCGGTATTTGACTGCTTTGTGCCAAAATCGCTCGTGATTCTTGACTCTTGCGATGGCTCCACGGTGTTGGAGCTCAGCTGCTCGGCTTTCACTTGCGCGGCTTTCATAATGAATTTCTGATTCTACGTGAAAGGTTGCTGCGGTAGTAGAAGCATGCATTCAGCCAGAACACAAATACGTCGGTATTTATACAGAGGTAGCGGAGCACTCGATAGATTGAGCGGCCAATCCCAGACAGGTTATTAGACAGTGATTTGATATATCATGACATCAATGATTGCCACTACGTGTATATATCACTTTCGTATTAGGCGACCGTTATGTGGGGAAATACAGCAATTGCATGACGGATCGTAGACGCAACGGTGATGCAAGAATCCGGCCAAGTGCTGGTTACACACTAAAGCCGCTCTAATTCCGTTCCCACGTTAATTATCTCGACATATCCTTCTACAACCACGTTCTTTTATTTCCCAGCATAAGGTACGCTAGGTCAGAAGAATGTCATGATGTCAAAGGCAGGCGAGAACTACACGGCACATATATGTTTCGCCGCTTTAGCGACATAAAAGCCGAAAAAGAAAACACAAGCTTAGAGGAGTAAAGTAGAAGAAAACCATGGTACGCATAGAGTGTTCGAAACCCCGAGACGGAAAAAAAATACTTTAAATATGATTTTATCACGATCGGCAAAAAAATAACTTGGTTGATTTCTCCTTCTCACACAACCAGCCCAAAATTCCCCTCCGGGTCGTAATCCAGCCCGCCACGCGACGGGGGAGAGTTCTCTGCAGAGTGAAGCCTCCCTCAAGGGTCATCTCCAGTGCTGAGGGCCGCGGGCAGGTTTGACGCTGCCTGTGTACCGGCAAATCGCAGGTTGCCCATGCGAGCGGGCGGCCACCGCGGCGTTCGGGCTGGGCGCCGCAGAGGGGGATCTGACGGTATTTGGTGCGGTTGCAAGATGAGAAAAGTACGAGAAGTTTCCCAGTTGAGCCACTACAGCCGGAAAAAGAGCCAGCTATTGTGCACTATATACCCCCCCCCCTCCCTTTCTTCGGTTTGTGGGGTCCTGAGCTCCCCACTTTATTTTGCTGCCAAACCATCCAGGAGCTTTGATATGCTTCATCGATGCAGCTTCAACTTATCTTTACAACAAGCCATGGCTTGACGCTTCTTACAAAAGAACAAAAACCCTCTACCGAGCTGAGCCATCATTATGCTCACCACACCACCCCGTCTCCAAATCCGGCGGCCCTCACCCACCACCACCGAATTCACCGTCACCACGCAGCCCCCGCCCACGCTCGCCCTTCGTCTCCTGGGCCTTGTGCTCGTCCTCCTGCGCCTCGCCCTCTCGCTCCTCACCGTGCTCCTTCTCGAAGCGCGCTGGTCCTGTTCCCCCTACGCCGCGCCGCTCCCCGCCCTGCCGCTCGCCCTCCCGCAGGAGGACCTCTTCACCCCGGCCACGCTCGTCTGGGCGCTCGACGCGCTGCACCGCTCCCCGGCGGGCCAGTCCCTGCGCCGACTCGCCGCCGCCGTGCCGCTGCCGGTGCTGCTCCCGGGCGCCGCGCTGGTGCTGCGCACGCTGTCGCGGCGCGTGCACGCCGAGGAGAGCTTGCTGGTGATGCGCGGGCTTGGTGTGCAGACGCGCGAGAGCGCGGCGAGCTACTTTGCGGGCGCGGCGACGAGGTTCATTCCGACGGAAAAGATTCGCGATATTCTGGTGAATGAGGCGTTTCGCGGGTTCGAGGTCCGGTATTACCTGATTGTGGTGGTCGAGGGCGAGGAGGACTTGGTGGTGGTGTTTCCGGGGCTGCTGCCGAGGAGGCGCATCGTCGAGGCGGTTTGGCGCGGGGCGAGGGAGTGCCTGTGGGAACAGAGGGATGACAAGACGCCGGTTCTGTGAAGAGAAAGGGAAGGGAAGGGTTTCATGTATAATATCACGCCGATCACGACACGTTCATAGAGTTACACAGCTCAAACAAGCTGTAATGTTTCATACCATACCGGCAACACACTCTCTTTGTCTGGTATCTGAGTTTTCTATAAAATCTACTCGCCCTCTTGCATGACAGCATCTTTGGCCTCGTTGCGTCTGGCGCGCATATCCGCCGCATCCACAAATCCCTTGCGCCGCGCATACTTGTCGTTCAACTCATCCGGCGACTCGAGCTTATCCTTGTTCTTCATCGGCACGTACTTGCCCGCTGGGCGTCCCGTGTTGCCGCCCTCGTACAGCCGGACACTCTGCGCCGATTTTTTATTCGACTGCGGCTTCTCGGACAGCTTCTTTGTAGCATCTGCCCCATCACCGTCGCTCGAGGCTTGCTCCGCCATGAGCTGGAGCAGCCGGCTCGACAGCAGCTCGTCCATTTTATGCCCACGCCACACCTTCCACATGCCATCGAGCGCGCCAAACGGTCCAAACTGGCCGGTGCGCATCTTGGACGAAGTCTCCGCCCCCGCGTAGATCCACTGCATCGTGTCAACATGCCTGTTGCTCGCCGACAGCGGCGCCTCGTCCGCTCTTGCGAGATCCGGAAACACGCAGTCCCACAGCACGAGCGGCACCTCGTCGGCCATGGCGTATCCCGGTTTCCGCGGGTACTTGTCCACATCAAGAAGCTCCGTGACGATGGACGGCTTCTCGAGGCCCTGCCCGACGAGGAACAGCACCGCAACCATGTGCCGGATCTGGTGCCACAAAAACGCCGACCCGCGCACGTGAAAGTAGTAGACCCGAGGAAACTTGCCGCCTTTCTCAAGGTGAGCAGGCGAGAAACCAGCGCCGGTGACGTAGGGCAGCGCAGTGGCCGCGTCCTGAACCTCGACAATGTCCGACTCGAAAATGGTGCGCGACCAGTTGGTGATGAGCTTGGCGGGGTCGACCTTGCACACGTTGCGAAAGTCTTGCTCGCCCTCGAAGCGCTTCGCCGCGTCGCGCATTGCAGCAATGTCCAGCCAGCCAGACTTGGCGCCGCCGCCACCGTCGTCAGAAGGCTCGGGGGCAAAGGCGGGCTGCGTGAAGAAGTAGCGGTACTGACGCTCGCGGCAGGAGAAGCGGGCAGAGAAATCGGGTGGCGGCGAGGGGCACCACGCCAAGATCCTTATTTCAGGAGGTAGTAGTCTGTTGAGAACCATGGGATAGGGTATCTCGTCTGCGATGGGGTCAAACGGCCTCTCCTTTGCTTCCTGTTCTTGGCCTTCTGTCTGGTCTTCCGTTGCGACTCCGTCTACTGTCTGCTTGGCCTCTTTGGGCAGCGGCTTGTTGCTCCTTACGCGAATGCCAATGACCTGCCCGAATGCGCTCACTCCTCTATCGGTGCGCCCGCACTTGGAGTATTCGCAAATGTTAAAGTCAACAATCTTTTCGTCCTCTGGGAAGATGAGGCACGCCTTTGTCAAGGCGTTCCAAAGCTCCTCCTCGATAGTCGGCTGGTTTCCCACGGCCTGAAATTCGAACCCTCCATAGTTCTTACCGAGATAGGCCAACTTCAGGGCGATGAAGCGAGTCGAGTACTTTGAGGGGTCCATCTTGCGCTTGACCTTGGGCTTTGTCGACCCAGGGGCCTCCGCCGCCTCTGCATCGCCATGCGGCGAAGCTGTAGGCTTTGGTTCTGGTGCCGCTGGTCTCCTTTGCAGTTCGGCCTCTAGCTGTCGTACCCTTTCAACCAGACCGAGTTTAGTCCAGCTGTTGTAGTTTGAGGGATCCATCTTCTTCTGCGACTTGGCTTCGCCTTTGGGGTACGCTGCTGGCGGGGTGCTTGAAAAGCCTGCGCAGGGCCGCGGCGTGCGTGTAACTGGAGCGAGAGCTTCGGCGCAGCAACTCGGCCTTCTTGCCCGCAGAAACGCCTTCATAAAATCATGTATAAATTTTAAAGAAACGTCTTCCTTTTAGTGTGCTGCTCTCATTGGAAAGAAACTTGCGGCAGAGCCCCAGAGGGTAAAACTGGGGCTTCGAGTTGTGAGTCTTGGACTCTTGGGTGGCACTGCCAGATGGTCAGTGGCCAGGTGGGTGAACTGTTCAAAGTCTAGCGCGACGCGAAAAGCCACTATCAGCGGGCAGCCGGCCTTATCTCTCAACAGGCCGCTGTCAAGTTGGGATGCCAAACTCTACACAATGCGCCAAAATGGCAATCGACGTAGAAACAATCAAGCTACTGCTAGTGGGCGACGAGAAATGCGGCAAGACGACGTTTTTATCGTATGTATCTCGCTATCTATCTATACATTGGGGTCTGGCGTATGTGACTGACAGCCGAGATAGGCGGCTCAGCGCGGGTGAGAATGTGAATCCGATCCCGCTGCTGCGCGACATTGATCAGCCATTCATCTTCAATGTGAATTTGTCTCGGAAAAGCTATCGGCTAGAATTTCAAGACACGTCGAGTCCTGAAAATTGGCGTGTGCTGGATCCGGATGTGGTTGTCATTTGTTTTGATATTAGCCAGCGTCTGAGTCTGCTCAACATGAAGCGTTATGTGAGTAATCCGGACCTCCTGCGGCAACTGCCGAGGGTAATGTACTGATGTGACATGTAGTGGATTGACGAAGTAAAGAGGGCCTTTCCTCGCATCGACGGTCTGCCGATTGTCATCCTGGGCTTGAAGCGAGACCTGCGGTCGGAGACGGACCCTAACGGCATCATCTATCCACAAGAAGCCTATCAGATGGCGCAGAGTCTAAGAGCTGATCGCTATGTGGAGTGTTCGGCTTTGACAGGCGAGCTCATCAAACTCACGTTTGAGGATATTTGTGCAACGGCCGTAAAGACTACCACAGCAGCTGGCGGGCAGAGCGAAGCTGGCTGCATCATTATGTAAAGAAACAGCGCGCAGTTGGCGTCACGGTTGACTTTGCAATATTGTGGCTTCAAGAGGCTGCGTCCGGGTCTTGCATAGATGTGTCGCCGTCGGCAGCCTCTTGGGGCTCAGGCTCGTCAAATTGGCCAAGAACCTCGGAGATGATGGTGACTAGCTGTTCCTGTTCGTCCTCGGTATATCGCTCACCCATATCTTCTATGACGGTGTTGAGAGCTGCGACGGAGGAAGGTCTCAGGTTGAGTATCATGACGACTTCGCCTTTGGACAGCTCAAAGGGCTGCAGGCGCTCAATGAGAGTCTTGATGCACGAGGGCGTGTAGGTAATGGGCGTTTGGCTGAGAGGACTGGGCGCGGTGCGAAGGTACTGGAGCAGCTGTAGCAGGTTAGAGAGGGAAATCAGAGAGAGGAGCTGTACTTTTCTCCGATTCAACAGAATCATACTTCACGAGCAACGGTTTCCATGTTGGGGGGTCCACGACGCTTGGTCTTTTTGTACTGGTCCTTTTGAGCAGCTACATGCTGGTACACCTCGTAGTTGGAGAGGACGGCAGACTGGGCCTCGATAATCTTCATGGCGGCGGATGCTAGCTGTTGACATGTGTTATGGGAGCTTAGGCGGGGAATTTGGCAAACAGTTTGAAATGCCAGTAATTGTCTGTTGATCAGCCTCGCGTGGTGGAATGGAGCTTGCCCAACTTTTTCTTTTTTTTTTGTGGCAGAACAGAGGCTCGAACTGCCCGCCCTGGCAGAGCCAATCACAGCCTGGCAGGTCAGTGTACGTGATGCGCTGCACCTGCTAGCGTGCTTTAGCGTTGTTCTGATCGCCCAAAACTCGTAGATGCTATTAGATATTTGTCGACCGTTATGTCCATTCTTCTTGATTAGAGTTTCATTGAGTCTTTATAAGAACTGACAGGAAACTTCGATTTCTTCCGATACACGGCAGATAGTTTTTACTCCGAAGAGCCATGGACGTTTGACCGCAAGAAAGAGTTGGTGCCAAACCCACCGTCACAAGGCTCCTCGCAACTGCGCGGGGCACATTTCCAACTATAAGATCGAGTCATCACCTGCGTACCTTGAACAAGAACTGCAATTGATGTTGGCACTCAAAGACAGAAGTCTCTATCATCTTAATACACATGACATTGCATCAGGCTGGGAATTGACATCATCATGTATACAGTCCATGGATTCATATTCGCTGCCGGATTACATAAGCAACCGTAAACGGCTGCATCGTTACAGCGCAAACGGGCAATGACGAAATATCAATCCGCAGCCGAGACATTGACAAGTTAGTCTGCAGCCTGTGTTCTGAAACCCGTATGGTATTAGTTCAGCTGCCACCTGAGTCGTGCAGGTAACGAAGCTCATAACTCGTACCGGCAAATCGGTTATAAAGAACCATTTCAAAGGCTCAACACCAAGGCTGCGCGCGCAAACAGCCAATGACGTCCCATGTAATAAAAAAAGTCGCTGTCAATTAATCCGTATTATCCAGGGCAATGTAACCAATTTACCCCACTAAACAAACGTGTAGGCAGCTTCCTGCAGCCTCTTCTCTTTTTTTTCCTCTACAGTGGAGAGGCGGGGGACGGAAGCTGCACTGCGTGCGCCAAAAACTTGACTCAGGCCGCCCTCTTCAGCTTTTCGGCCCTCTTATTTTTTCCCGTTTCTTTTTACTTTATCCATCACAATGCTGCTTTAATCAACGCCCTCCATCCTCTCTACGCTTTCCGTCATCTCCTGCGCCTGCTGGTCTTGACCAAGCTCGCCAGCTGTTGAGATTTTCCGCATTTTTTTTCCCTTCTGCCATCTCTCGCCTCGCGTGTCTGGTCCGTCCTGGTCCGCATTCGGTGTGACGCAGCCCGGAAAAAAAAAAGCTGTCCCTCGGCATAGCGAAGTTGCTCGCCACTGGACGTTGCGCGGATATCACCCCGCATTCTTCTTCTTTTCTTTTCAATTGGGAAAAGAGGAGCATTGACTGAAAGCCCTTGGGCTTCATTCGTCAATTTTTCTAGTGCCTTGTTACATCAACGAGCGATCGACAGACGACTCGCCGGCCGATTCCGCCCTTCAGAGCCATGGTCCGCAACATCGTCCTACTTGGCGGCAACTCCCACCCCGAGCTCACCGATAACATTGGCAATATTCTCTGCATACCGCCAGGCAATCGTGTTCTCAGCAAATTCTCGGGTGGTGAAAGCCGCTGCGAGATTCAGGACTCGGTTCGTGGCAAGGATGTCTACATCGTCCAGTCCGGTTCCGGCAACGTCAATGACAACCTCATTGACCTCTGCATAATGATCTCAGCTTGCAAAACTGGTTCCGCTAAACGTGTCACTGCCGTCGTGCCTCTGTTTCCCTACTCTCGCCAGCCTGACTGGCCCTACAACAAGGCCGGTGCCCCTCTCTCGCGCTCCCACGAGAATGGCCCTAAGCAGGACTACACGTTCGAGAGCGTGCCTGCTACACCGCGACCGGGAGGTCCCAAGAGCAGCGGCCTCAATAATGGCGTTCACAGCCTTGCCGAGAAGCTTGCCAAGAACAGCATCTCGCAGGAAAAGCCTGATAACGTGGACAGCTTCACCCCCTCCAAGCGCGCCGACAGCGCTGCCAGCTTGACCTCCCATGCCCGCGGACACACCGCCGAGGGCTCCGTCTCCTCGCAGCGTAGTTTCACCACCCATGACTACGAGAAGCCTAGCAATGTCCCGTCTTTTCACGCCAAGCCCGGGTATAAGCAATGGGTTGCCCAGGCTGGTACGCTTGTCGCCGACCTGCTTACCTGCGCTGGCGCTGATCACATCATCACCATGGATCTCCACGATCCTCAATATCAGGGGTTCTTCGATATACCTGTCGACAACCTTTACGGAAAGCCCCTACTGCAAAATTACATCCGCCAGCACATACCCGGCTATAAGGAGGCCGTGGTCGTCTCCCCGGATGCCGGCGGTGCCAAGCGTGCCACCGCCATTGCCGACAGTCTCGACATGGACTTTGCCCTCATTCACAAGGTAACATGAACCGCCGCTACTTGCCGCGATCAAAACTCACACTCCACCCTAGGAACGCCGACCGATCAAGTTCACCGAGCAACGCAACGCCAGCATGATGCTGGTTGGAGACGTTGCCAACCGCATTTGTATCCTGGTTGACGATCTTGGTGACACGGCCAATACCATCACTCGCGCTGCCAAGCTGCTCAAGCGCGAAGGCGCCGTCAAGGTATATGCCTTGCTGACCCACGGTGTCTTCAGCGGCGATGCCATTGCGCGCATCAACGCCTCGGCCATTGACAAGATTCTCGTCACCAACTCGGTGCCTCAATCTGAGCACTGCCGTCTCTGCCCTAAGCTCGAGGTATTGGACATTAGCGCCGTGTTCGCCGAAGCTATTCGCCGTGTCCACCACGGCGAGTCCATCAGCGTTTTATTCCAGCACGACTAAACGCACCATATCGAGCCGATTTTGTTATCAACCAAGGTGCAGCATTATTGTCTTCGTTTTCCTTCTGTCAATCCTCAATCAGAAAGTTTACGACTTTTACGTTACGCGCGGCAGTTCCCGCGAGGTTTGTTTGAAACATGACATCAGCCCAAGTCTTACGAGACAAGATTTGAGACCAAAAAAAAGGGGATGGCGTGACGGTTGAGCGTCAGTAATGAAAGTATCAAGTGAAAGTGAAGGTTTCTATCCGACTTTTGCAGTCTCTTCTGGGCTTTTTCACGCAGTATCTTTATCACATCTTCTTCGTCGTTCTTTGCGAGATATACAAAGAGATTTCCTTGCATACACAGGACGCCCACCCACCTTGGCGCAACTAGAGATTCGTAAAGCCTATATACTCAGACTCCGTCACTCAGAACCTGCGATTGCGCCAGCGGCATGGAAACGCGTAGGCGTGAAAGGTTGCTGTACCGTTATGCTGCGCGATTTTCATTGTTGAGCGGGACGCTTCCTTGAGGAGGCCGTCTAGTCTAGCATGTAGACGGCCACACGACTTGGAGTGTAGTTTGCAATATAGGTCACAATCATCATGCAGAATGAAGCTATTCATAATGCAAAGTACAAAATGATAAAAACAATAATATATTAATAAAATTCAAATATTGAAAATGGTATTTATAATTGTGCTCGACTAACTAAAAAGTGACTATGAGCTAGTCTTTGTAACACTTTTGGGTCGCTATCGTTTCGTTTGCTAATGACATGGAGAAACGACTTGTAAAACGTCATTTTGTGAAAAAAGTAGAAACGCCTCGTTACAGAATCGCCCAGAATTCAGCAATGCTGCCATCTCTCCCCATCAAGCTAGTTTCGGCCCGAGAGCACAAAATCACTCGCCATCTCTACTCCTTCACAGAGCCGCAGTCTGATCAAAGTCCTCGGGCACCGGCCAGCCGTGCGCTCTTGCGAGCCTTTTAAACGCCATGACGGCCTCGTGAATTCCATAGTCAATGCCGACGCAGCTTTCTTGGATGCGTGCGGGCGGGTCCGTGTCGCTGATGGCGGCGCGAATCTGCAGTATGACATTCTCAATGTGTATGGCCGGGTTCCAGCCCGAGCTCGTCAGGAGCTCGAGGCAGACGGCGCCGCCGACGGTGACGTGACCCCCGCCGCCTTCGGCGAAGGGCAAAAACTGCGGGCGTATGACGCGTACGAAGGGCGGCGACATGGGGTAGTTGGGACCGAATCGAAACTCCATGACGATGCTTGCGCAACCAAACGCGCGCATGTCGCGGGCGAGCGGGAGCATCTCTTCAAAATTAAACAGCTCCACAATCCACTGAAACATGTTATAGCTCTTATCCGTGTGCACGTAATACCCCGAGGAAAAGTCAGACGCCATGGTTTGCCGGCGGTGCAAGTCCTTTAGATCCATCGTCAGTCGGCGAACGGCCTGCTTTGATGTGGACGCCCAGATTGGGGGCTCGATGAGGCGGAGCGATTCCATCTTGAGACCTTCTGGGTCAAAGCTATGGGCATTACGCGGCTCATCGAGTACTACCTGGCCCTTCGTGGCGGATGACTCTGTAATGCTCTTTGCTCGTTTCCTAAAGTACTGCGAGCTGCAGGAAGACTCTGATGAGCCTCGTCGCTTTATCCTGGCGGGATTTAAGTCGTCGTCAGACCCATCAACACCAAGATATAGCGCCACATCGTCCGTCTCGTAGTTGCAATTCAATGGCATTTGGCTTTCCGCTAGAGGTGCCTCTGCCATGCAAGTCGAAAATTGTGGCGACCATTTAATCTGTACAGCGCGCCGATCAAATGGAATGGCCGTGATGGGTATTTCGACAGCCTTGTCGCCAGCTGTGATGGGATGTGTTGAATCTTGTAACACATACGCATGTATCTCGTCTTTCAGTGGCTGGTATGACGGAAATGCAATCGCGTCTGCTGATGGATTGACCGACACCAGCAAATAACGACACTGGATCCAGTCTAACTTATCCACGACATAATGCGGACATGTATTGACGAATTCTTCCGGTAAGTTGATGAGTTCGCATACCGCAATAGCGGAGTCAATATGAAGGGCGGATTTCGGCCAGTTAAACGTCTATTTTTCACGTTAGTTCTCGCCACGAAATGCGTTTGTGAGTTAGTTAGGGCAAAGGAGAGCTAAGAGATATGAGGGAAATGAAATGATGTGGAGCATTTTAGAGGAATAAAGACGAATAAAGACAAATATACTCACTTGACTGGGTACGTCTGTTCGCTCCAACAAGTTTCCGCTGTAGCGGAGGCTTGTCAACATGTCATTGCTAAAGTAGACTCCGTGGCCGCAAGCCCGGCCATTTTCAACCTTGGCAAAGTCTAACCCCGATCGAATGATGCTGTGCCAATTCTTCAAGTGGCTTCCATGCCAGGCGAATATTGTAGGCGTCTGTGTCGTCTCGAGCAACTGGCTTGTCTTGTGCTCAAACTTTTGCTCCATCTCGGGCGAGCCTTGAAGAAATCGAAACTGCATCCACCGCCGCTGTTCATACGATCCTCTTATCTTGCTAGAGCCGATCTTTAGGGCATTCGATGTCTCAATCTTGTTCCAGGCCTTCTGAAGGTGCATTTCCGGCAAGTCTTCAGGTGGAACAGCATCGTCTTGCACAATCAACGATCGATTCGAGGCCACTGTCCAGTTCACTACTGCGAGCTCGGAGGCGTTGAGGCGGTTCCACATCGCTAGTCGTCTTCCAGGCTGGGCCATCAAATAATCACGCATGTCGTGGACCGAGGGCATTCCTTCGAGAATGTGTAGCCATGCGGAGACTCTCCGGAAATGTTCCAAGTCGTCCACATCTTGCCAGTAACCAAATAACTGCACTCGCCGCCATTTTCCGACGAGTGCATTTTCAGTAGAGTTTGCCCAGTGATGATCTCGAAAACATCTTGACTCAACGAAGTGATAGCGCTCAAAAGTCCACTGTCCACCGACTGATGCTATCAGCCGACACCATGATTTTACAACCAAGTCCGTGTTAGAGCCAGGTAGCGGGTCAGACTCCCGATGGACAATCAGAATACGTTCGCCTACTCGAAAAGTCTCCCTAGTGCGCTGCTCTATGCTTCTATCCAGCCGTGTTGAATAGTCGATATCACGGATTGTCATGGCCTCCATGTCTGCCATCGCAGCAACGTAGGACTCCCGGGCCCATGATTCGTCAACGTAGGCTGTTTTTATGTTGAGGCCGTCTGGGAGCTCACGGGTGGTATGATGTGTCAGTGCGGCGTAGAGAAAGCAAATCAGCATGTCGACGACGCAGGGAGCATTGATGATTTCGTACTCGATACTTGATCCAAGTCCAAGTGACAAGTATTGAAACATGCAAAGTGACCTAGAACAGACGTATGGCTTCAAGGCTGCATAGCTTCGATTCAAACATGCGTTACATACCATGCAGTAGCGCGTGCAGTTTGCCAACCGGTGAAGGGCGAACTGCATGGCGACGAGAGGGAGGCTGAACGACTCCGAGTCGTCCAGTGCACCGTCCTGAGATAAAGGTCCGTTGAGACTCTGCCAGGAGGGACTGTCAGCCTGCATAGCCGGAGCCTCGATGTTGATGTCCTCCGCAGAAGGCATGTGAACCGCATCTTGTAGCTCTAGCTTCGATACGAGCAGTTGTGCAGAGGGCCAGGAAAGCTTATAGCGCCTTCTGGCTCCTAATAGGCTCGAGAAGCCCGAGTTCAGTAAGCTGTCAATTACAGTGGACATGTTGGTAAGCTCGAAGGGGAATGAGGCGTTGTTGTCGACGTCAACTTTGATCTCGTCTTTTTTGGAAGAACTCGGATCGCGGTAGGCGGACTGAACAGAGGCCAGCGAAGGTTTCTCACCCAAACATTTTCCAAACCGAAACTGCAAGACGGTTTGCCGGCTTGAAAAGTTACAAATTTCGGCTATGTCCGGGTATAATGTGCCGAATTTTATAAGTAGAATCAAGTTGTCTGTCTCCTTCAAACCCCAGGCTTCTAAGATGCCTGCGGCGACGCCGAGGCATGCTGCTGGTGCAGAAAGGGAGATAATTTGGGGTAAGTTGCTGCGCGTCTCAGGGTATATCCCGACAGTTATCCCTGAATTTTGGGCCTTTCGCAGAGCACTTCTCAGACTGGCCAATTTCTGGGCATCAAGCGGCTGGGTGTCATGGTCGTACTGATCGGGCGCGAGTGGACGGTCGCCATCGGTGCTGGAGATCTCTACAGAGTCCAGCTCCTCATATTCGCTTCCGCAATCCCAAGATGGGCTCTCTGAATTATTTGAGACACAGTCGCTGCGCTTGTCGATCATGGAGGTGATTGCTTCCGAAATTGCGCGGACGGCTTCTTCAATGCTGGACCATTCTCTCTTCTGACAAACAGCGTCGAGACACAGAGTGAGGTCATACCTGGCGTGTTCAAATTCAGAAAATGCAATAAAAGCAGAATTCTGGGGGTAAGCCATGCAGTCTAGAGGTATCGTCAGCAGAGCGACAACGTTAGTGAGGGGTTGGCTGAGTGCACCTACCATGGGCAATCATGTGAACAGTGACGGGCTCCGAAAGACTGTCATGACGATAGGTGAATTTGAGAGCGCCCGAGTCATCGCCTCGGACTAGATCAGAGACTCTGCTGATTTGCTTGCTCTGGGCCTCGAGCAAGTCTTGGTTGAAGCGCAGAGGTGGCATCTTGGGCGCGTAGTAACCATATAAGCCAGCTGTGGCAGGCTTGAAAGTCAAGATTGTAGAGTGGGTGCAGGGAGCAACTCAGCCATGGCCGTTTGACAAAATATACGGCCGGAACCATGCAGCTGCAAGGGAGACAAAAGGCAACGGCTAAGCGGGCGGACGCTTGTATTGACGGCTGCCTGGTAGCAGTGACTGGGGGCCAACGAGGATTAACTTGCATTAACCTAGTAGGAGGTGGCAGGTGGCAGGTGGCAGGTAGTTGTGCAAACAAACAGGCAGCCAGTATCCGTAGAAGCGCCAAATCAGGTTTTTTGCTTCAATCTTTCAGGATGTAGGTAGAGGTTGGCTGTGTAACATCTCGAATACCTACTTGACAAACGAAATCAGATCCAGGTAGCTTTGAGGCTTCAAGATGGGCAGTCCGTACCTAGCATTCCAGTCTACCCCAGCCCAGCCCAGCCACGAGCAGAAATTCCCAAAGGTATCTACGTATTCATCACCACTAACTAAAGGCCCGATGGCATCGTCCAACTTTTGGTTGCTATTTGATCTTATGCGGTGGGCGCATAAAAATGTGACAATGCAGCGGGTTGAGCTGGGGCGCGCACCCCCTGTTCCGCCCACCAAACGCGGGGAGCCAGCTTTAGATAGCGCGAGTGCCTTTCCAAGAACCTCTGTACGATTTTTATTACATCTTCTTGCAGCTATCAGTGCAGTCAGAATTCCAGAAATCCTAAATACCCATGTCATATCAGAGACGAATTTTGTGGGAATCACTGGTCTAACGGAGACCCTACTCCGACAGGTACCAAGTTATCTTGCCTGAACATAGCAGGCGGAATTCGGTTAGCCGCCGGGTTCCTCTCCCCTTGCTTGCATAACCAATCCCAACCAAATACTCGCATCAGCTCGTCACAACCTACCACTCTGGGGCGCTTTTGCTCTGCGTCTGCTCTTTGCCGTCATGGAATTGTCGTATCCTCGAGTAATGCAGTCCCCCAAATCTGTCGCCTGCTGAATTCCGACGCTTCTCAATCACGCGCCTCAAGCCCTAGCCTTGTTGTAGCCTCGCCGCCCCGCCATCACCATGCTTCGACAATTGCCCTACTCTGGCTTCCCAATGCCTCGTTTAACAACCCGACGCTTGACTATCCTTCTGGTCGCTGTCTCTGTTTCTTCTTTTCTTTTCGTCACTCTTCTTACTTCCGCGGTGCCGTCGTCCCCGAGCCTGTCCCACCCCGAGCGAAAGACGTCAACAGAACCCCGAGTTCCCGACGCAGCCGCCAAGAACGCGCAACAGCCAGTCACCCCTCTATCGCAACCGCCGCCCCGTCAGAGCGACGATGCATATGCAAGATCGTCGTGGCTCACAGACCCTCGGGCTCTGTCTCAGGTCTTTTCTAGTGAAAGAACAATTGACAATAGCAGAGTGCTCCTACCGATTCTGGAGATTCGCCAACCAATATACTGCTACTACGATGCGCTTGATAAAACATCCGCCGCCGAAAATGATACAGACACTGAGCTGCTGCTCATGTGGCGACGTGCCTGGTGGGCGCGCGGTTTCAGACCATTGATTCTCGGCCCAGATGAGGCAAAGAGCAATCCCCTCTATTCGAAGCTCGAAACCTTGAATGTCAGGGGCGAGCTAAAGAACGAACTGTTGCGCTGGCTCGCATGGGATACAATGGACGGAGGCCTGCTTTCCCAGCCTGTACTATTCCCAATGGGCACCGACTACGAATTTCTGCCCTCTCTTCGCCGCGGCCAATACAACATCTTGTCCAGGGCGGGCAACATGTCCAGCGCGCTGTTCTGGGGCTCCAGAGAACAGGTGCATGCTGCCGTTCGGACAGCGATGGACTCGGCCAACCTTGACTCTGCCAGCTCTCTGCTAGACATTCTGACTGCCGATGTAATACGGGAGCAAGAGACTCCGCCTGTGCTGGCTTTTTACAATGCCACCACAATCGCCAAAAAGTACCCCAAGCTTGTCCTCGATAAGAACAAGCACCGATTCGGTTCATTACGCAACGAGCTTATCAATGCGCATCTACAGTCTTCCTGGCAAAACTCTTTCGCATTGGGTATCGATGTCATCAAGCCGTTTCCCGAACATATGAATACCATGGTACGCAATGCGACAGATCTAGCCAACGCTCTGGCATCGTGTCCGCCAACACCTCTTGCCGGCTCGTGTCCTCCCAACATACCTAAATGCGGTCCTTGCGGCGCTACAACGCCGTTAGTTATCAATACTCCAAAGACATTCATGAACGAAAGCAACGTATTTACCATTGGTATGGTTCCCCATCCATGGACACGCACCGCTCTGGCCAACATGCAGAACGGCTTCAACGCAACCATCATCCATGAGGATGTGCGCGACAGTTGGTTGTCTTCCGTGACCGAGGGCTTGGTGGGCAGCCACCGATCCCGGTACTCGCAAGTCCTGCAATTCAAAAAGGCCGTGTCGGGCGACACCGCCGATACGCGCTCACTCTGGTTCACCGTCGAGGATCCGTTTCCCACCGAGCTTGACTGGTACTTTGGCTTTTCCATTCCGCAAAAGATTATTGACGACGGCCGCTCCGAGAGCCCAGTGCCCTCGGATCACATCAACGACAAGGATCGCCCCGACCTCGCCTTTGGGCCCAAGGCCACCACCGAGCTGGACAGGGAGCGAGAGCTCGTTGTCCTCGAACGCGCCAAGGACGTCGTGGCCCTGCCGCGCGCCACCACCGACACGCGCCGCCGCGCCTCGCTCGAGGCCTGGCACATGGCCGACACGGAAGCTTGGCGGTTCGCGCGCGCCACCCACGACCGCCGCACGCTCGAGCGCAAGCAGTGGGAGGATGGGGCCAAGTACACGGGAAAGCAGCGCCTCATCAGCGACGCTGGGTGGACGCCCGGCATGAATGTGACGCGCGGGAACCAGCGCAAGGAAGCGGAGAGAAAGGCCAAGGCACGAGACTAACCGCACATGAATCGGACTCTGGTTGGCGCGGCACATTCTAGGCATTTTCAACGACGATTTGTATTTCTACAACACGGCCTCTAAACCTTTCTTCTTTTCCTCTTCTGGCCCCCACCCCCTTTTTTCTTCTTCTTTTGAATATGTTGTTATTTGAGTATATAGCGATTTAGCATCTTGCTTTTGCACAAATCCAATCAAAGTTTTTGTATCATTTTCGAGCTCAAAAAGTCTTCTATAAAATGCGTGAGATGTTGAATTCTCAGCCTTGAGTATTCAGAATGTATAAACGTTTTCCTGCTGCCGTCTTTCTCATCTTTTCTTTCTCCTCTTTCTTTCTGTCTTTCATTTGCAAGAGGCACACCAGTTGAATGACGCGGGGCTCAAATCTTGCCGTCATCACACCACCAAAACAAGGGGGCACCCCCATGTTCCACCTGTAGCGAAAAAGAAAAAAGAACGCCAAAACATGAAACTTGGTTCTTCCCCTCCCCCCAAACTATCAAGGTGCATGTCTTCCCCCAGCTTACACGCGAATCGCCGTGTCGCCGCCCATTTCCCCGCTCAGTTCGCGCGAGGTCGGGCCGGCGCGCCGACCCGCGCCATTGCCTTTCACATCGTCGGCGCTATTGCTGAGGAACTTGTTGCTGCCGGTAGCAGTGCTGGTATACGACAAGAGGGCGGAGCGCGCAGCCTCGACCACTTTCTCTGCCTGGTCAATAGCTTGTTGCAGGGCATATGCCGTCGGGTCGGAGGAAGAGGCTGGGGTTGCGGGCAGAGAGCCGCTGGCTTGCTCGGCGCGCAGCTCACGAATGTGCTTGGCCAGCCAGAGGCCGTCGAGCTGGGCCGACGTCATCTTCTTGGCGCCGTCAATGGTGCCCCGGCAGGTGGGTGTGCCGCAGAGACACTGGAAGGGCTGCGCCATTTCCCATTCCGTAGAGGGGTAGAAGAACTTTGCAGCGACGCGAATTGACAGTTAGAACCTTTTTACCCTTGTTCTTATCTTTGTTCACCCTCATGTGGTGTGTATGACAGGGACATCCGGGGGGAGGGGGGGTATAGCGGGGTAACTAACAGTAAGTTCATCGCCAGGTTGGAGGCCGTTGGGTCCAGCAATGATAATCTTGTTACCAGTGTCAAAAATCTAGGTCGTTTCGCTTTTCGTTAACCTGGCATTTCTACTTCGCATTGGGTGTAATACAACGCCTTTCTTCAACTTCTGAGCGCGTCCCCTTCTCCACGTGCATCAACTCCAATGCGGGGGAACTGTCGACGCTAGCAACCGGGAGCGGGCATTCACTGACAAGGGACGGTTCACAAGAGTGGTTAATGTACAGCAGATCACTGTTGAGATTGAGATGCCTATTGCGTCCCATTTGCACCGTAGCATACGTTGGCTCCGCGGCTTCCGTGCATGGCGGAAAGTCGAGGCGCGCAAAGAGGGCAAAAGGTGGAAGAGCAACGCGCGAGAGGCTCTTAGTAGTGAATTCGGTCTCGTTAACGATGACGACTTCTTGAATGTCGGGGTGGGAGGGCTGCTGCCAGTGAGGAGTTAGGGGAGCCATGATGATGCGTTGCTTGGTAAGAATATGCAGCGAGGTTCACCAATGTGACAAGGTATCGTTTCAGATCAATTGGTGTGGCGTGAGTTGTCGATAGACTGCCTGTTTGGGTGCCGACTTAATCCGGTAGAATGTCGTGAAGGTCGGGATTTTTGTTATGCAAGTTGATGTAGATGCAAGGTCGAGGAATTGTAGTAGCTGGGAATCAAAAGCCCTAAATAAACTTTGCGTCAATTTTCCGGACCGTTCCTAACAGCCGTCATCCAATTGAACTAGGTTTCCCCAGTGAGGGGAGCATATGGATCAACGGGCTCAACAGCCGGTGGAGATGATGACCTAGTAGCCGAGGCCATCAACAGCCGGTCAAATAAAACGCGTACAACGAGCTCGATTTCCAGCTCAGTGGCTGGAATGCATCATTTCATGCCACCCCGACCTACTCAAAGGCTCCGCTCGGCTCCGTTGGGGCAGGTACATGGAACCAGCACTCAGACGCAGCTGGAAAGGGCGATCTTGTAGCCTTGCATTTTACTGCAGACAAAGCTGGTATGCAATTCAGGCCGTGGCGTACCGGATGAAGATTGGCCCCGATCAAGAACGTGCTTCGTGCATGTGCCAACGGCTGTCGTGTTGACTCCACACCAACATGGGAATTCGGCGAGTTGGTAACTTTTATTAGACTTATTAGACTCTCGCCTCCCGGCCAGGGCAGTGACACCAAAATAGAGACTAACCAATCATTGCGCGTATAGTTCAACCCTTTCGGGTCATGTTCCTACTCAAACATAGCAATATGCCCGCGTACACACGTATGCGCCATCGGTATCGGGTAGCTACTCACCCGCGTGCGCAGTCTTTAGAAGCATAACTCAAGATAGGACGGCGTCGTACGAGACTACCGAAAGAGCAACATGGTCATCAGACTCTGTATGTGATGATTGCCTGCATGTACCGCGGCGCGTGGACTGGTTTGCATAAACAAGACGTCAGCTCCGGTCGCGAGTTACACAAATCACATCACGGCCCTACCGTTGGGGCTGCCGGCTTGGTGCCATGCATCCATTGTCTGTGCGCATGATTTCCAGTGTACCAGAGGTCCACCAGCCTCCGTTGACTTCCCGATTCTGCACTCTCTGAGACAGTCTGAATAACAGGCGCAGTTGCTCATTCGACAAGGGAGTTGTGTGGAGGCGGCCCGCCGCGGCGGAGGCAATGATAAACCCATGTTCGAAACGAAGGCGTCTGAGCACTGGAAGGAGGGTGGCAAGGTGGCTTGCAAGTCAGACATCGCTCGCCTGAGCACATTGCAAGTTTCGGGTGCGCCTCTGAATGGCGGGGGATACTGCACCAACGTGTAATATATAAAACGCTCAGCACGTCCGTTGTTTCTCGCAAAGCGCTGCCTTGCAACGGTCGCATCCGCACTAGTAAACAAAATGGTTAGCTCGCGCGGTCTTGCAAGATATTGTCTTGCAGGAGATTGTCTTGCGTTTGCAGCTGGAAATACTGCAGGCAACTCGCCTCGACCGAAACCAGATCCGCCGCGGCCAAAACCGGAGAACCCAAAACCATCAGCAAAATGAGAAGCTTGGGCCATGGCCAAGTAACGACATGCAAGATGGTTTCGCGTTGATGTTCATCGCAAAAGGTGTTGCCCGAGGTATGTGCAAATTTGACTGTTGCCTTGGGCACTTTCCTGACAGCTGGCAGCCAACTGCCTCGCAGCTGCGAGACCAGACTCGGTAGCCGCATTTGCCATGAAAAAGTAAAGACTTCGACTTTTCAGATCAGGAAATTTAATGGTTATCACTCTTCGCTTTCTTCTTTGAGATATTCTTCTATGCAGATACACAATTTAAGCATCACACTTGCGTTTGTCATGGTACTCTCTAGTGGCTTACACGCTTCCTACGAGCCGGAAGAAAGCTCTTTCCAGCCTCACCGGCGGAGCTTGCTGACAGAGGTAGCTACCATATCGACAGGCTCCTTCCTAAATACAACCGTTCTGTACTCTGCCCTCGGTCACCTCGTCTCGTCTTGTTTCTCTTGACCATCTTGTCTTCCTTCGACATCTTCAACCGCTCTCACCCATCACTCCGTCTGCCACAATTTCCTATCTCGATTTCTCACAACGACCGTTTCTACTTCGCCACTTTGACTGATCTTTGTATGCATACACGTGCGGTCGCGAATTGCTCTCGCTGGCAACTGTTGGGTAAGTTTGACATCTTTTCACTTTGTCTTCACCACCCCTCACGCACTCGTCATCCCCTCAAGCCTCGCCTTCTGCCAGCTTGTTGCCAAGTCAACTCCAGTTTGCCTCTTGATCTAATCTCCACTGAGCCACTCCCATCTCCCAACATTCTCGTTGCCGCCGTCGACATTGTCTCGCCTACCAGCCTCGCTTGAGCAGCTTGTCGTCTCGATCTCCCGTTCTTGTTTCAACAATTGCACTGGCTTTTCTTTACATATCTTTGCCAACTCTCTAAAATGGAGGAAAGCTTCGATTAGCATTATTTCAGAAACGTTATCAATATTTCTCACCACGGCTCGGCATGACCCTGACGCGTTCGAAAAAGTCGAAGCGATTACTTCGCTGGCTGTCGGTGCTCCAGAATGAGGACCAGACTTTGGGACCCTCGACGGCGCTTCTCATCAAATATTTATTGCTTCATAATCATCACCGTTGCATTCAAGTCACAATTCGGTTGGCTGGCACTTTGACATTTCTGCATCACCTTTCGCCTTGCACCGACTTGCCATATTTTCTTCAGTCACAATTGGAGGCCCAGAAAATTACTGACGGATCCAGACTTTGGACGCAGATTGCCCCCATCCTGACCTTTATCCGTGCCAACATCCGTTCTACTGGATCTTCTCGAGGTTATCCGACCCTGTTTGTCTGGTATTCGAAAGAGAACCATCGTTCATACCTGTTTTTCGCCTTTCTCAGTACCAAAATGGCCCCAGTCACATACTCTGCGCAGGATCTGCTTCGAATGAAAGCTGTTCCGGCCACAAAAGAGATATACGATGATCTCTGTCAGAAACTTCAAAAAGATATCTCTATCGGTGCGTCCGTGTTGCTGTGCTTAGTTGCCACAGCCTGCTAACACAATGAGTTGCAGAAGACATTCTCCGCTTCCCCGTCAATCGACCCTTACCTTTGATCCCGGAGGAAGAGACTGAAAAGGTGGCCACTGTTGTCAATGGCATTTCCGCGCCCGTTCAACAGCTTGATGGCACCGATTCAGAGTGGAGATATCGCGGTCGAACAGAACAAGAATGCGGTGAGGCGCAGCCCATTTCAGCGCCGCCAGGTCTCGTAGCACAGAAAGACGAAGGCTTTCAACGCTTTTACAAGGCTGTAGTCTCACCCACTCATGTCAGAGTGACAGCAGGTGGTCGGATTGTTCCAAATACTAGGGCCTCATCGTCTCCCACTGGTAAGTGGACAAAGGAAAAGTCTTCGTCTGGCATCCTTTTCCCCGCGCGCCCATTGGAGCGGGAAGCAGCCGATATTGCGGTAGCAAATGGTACCCAGTACCCCTTCGGTGCTTTCCCTCCCATCTATCCAGGATATGCTCCTGCCATGCACGGATCGGCGTACCCCATGTTCCCATGGCAGATCTATAACACTTTTTGTCTGCCCGCATCTATGCCGCAAACAGCATTTGCAAAACCCGGCGACAAAGATAGCTCACGACACCAGCAGGATGGTGTCGATGATCGCCAAGAGGGAACAGATTCTTCTGTACACCAACCCTCTACTCCTACGGATGGTAGCCGAAACTTTTACTTCAATGGCCAGTGGACTATGCCTCACAATCCATCCCTTTTTGCCTATGGCATGCCTGCATTTTCTGGCTTTCCTCACCCGTCGATGGTTGGGTCTGTTGCGGTACCAGCAGCTCTACAGCCCGCTACTTCTGCTCCAACCTCAGCTCCGGCTTCTATACCTGCACTTGTTGCCCCCAAGTCAGAAAAGTCTGCTGCCGAGACTGCTAAGCCAATCACTGCGACGGCGACATCACCAGCGACGCAAACTACAGCCTCGTTGCCAAATCCTCCCATTTCGTCAATTCGACCAAGTGAAATCACCAAGAAGCAGATTGATGTTCTCAAGGGGTCTTTGAAATATCTGGAAGATCAGCTTCTATACAACAAACATCAAATTGATGAGAAGTGGATGGAGTATCAGGCACACATGGTTCGTCAGCAAGTTGAGCAGTTCGAGAAGAACCTCCAGAACCAAAAAAGCTTCGAAGAAACCTATTATCCAAAGTCCAAGGAAAACTCTTCAGCATCCTCAGTTTCAGCTGCAGTCGCAAATTCTTCTGTTGAGGAGGTATCTGCGGCTGCCCACCCAATTCCAACCTCTCTTCCGGATGTCGCAAGCACCTTTGGACAGAAGCCATGGCGAGAGAAAGACCGTGATTATTTTCAAACCCACCAAGGCATCAATTCCACCAAGTCGGTCAGTCTTTTTGCCCCAAAAAGGCTGGGTAATGCCGCAGAACCTACCAAAAAAGCTTCCACGCTACCAGTCCATGCGGCTCTTGCACCCCCCTTTCAGCCGCAGAATGACGGCTCCGGTCGATCTTCATTATTCCAATCGCGCAAGCCAGAGGTTCCATATCTCATTGGCATGATACCCACGGGAAGCAACCAAGACAAGGCGCGGGAGAGTGGCTATCATTATGTTCGAGATCTCACTGACGATGAGCTTCGTGCACGCCACATGTATTGGGGTAAAGCTCCGCATCACCTACAGCGTGGTCTTCCCAAGTTTGATGGCAAAGACTTTTATCCGCCCTCCCCTACAAGAGATCGGCTGCCAGATTCGAATGATTCATCAGCGGACATTCAGTCAGAAAGCGACGGTCCACGAAGTGCTCATGCATCTGTTTATGATCCATTTCGGTCTTTGGGCAGACCAAGGCAGCGAGTTCCGCGCGGCGCCCTCGGCCAGACAACACAATCCGAGATGTTGGCCCGGAACTCAAGCTGTGGCAGCTCAATCATAGAGCGCGGTGCATCCTGCACTGCCAAAATCGGTCAGCAGTATGAAGACGCTCACAAGACCATAGAGCCGTCAGTTACTACTGCCACTGTCTCTTCAAAACTCAACTCGGATTCTGAGGAAGGCGAAGATGGTCGAAACATTCTCTTCAAAGGTCGCAGACCAGCAGCCTCGACCGGGTGCGGCACATACTCTTTCCCTCTTTGCTGATTCAACATTAATCATGTCATAGGACCAAAACCCGCAATGAACTCTGGCAGAGCATGCTCAACAAGGGAAAGTCCAGCGGGCAGCTCGTTCCTAGCACGATTTCATCCGCGACAGCACAGGGTGTTCTTCCACAATACCGAGGCCATGCAGCAGCATATTTAGCTCCGACCATGGCAAACTCTTCTACGTCTGCACGTTCTCCTGTTGCCAAGATCATTGAAGGTGGCGATTTGATACAGCTCAAAACGACAGAACCTGTACAAACCGAGAACATGCCACCGACAGACAATGAATCAATCCGCCAAGGCAGCCTTCACAAATTTAACCCGCAGGGAATATTGTCGCAGTAATTACGCCGTTATGATCAGATTCAACTTCACCAAATCAAAAAGTTTTAGCTTGGGCATGAATTACACCAGCCATACTTACAACACTTGTATGAATAGCATCGCATCAGAGTTAGCTGTCCAAAGTTTGCACCACTTTGCTTTTTCATCCTCGGGCTGGTTCTTGGGCTGCAACTGAAGATTGCAACAATATAGATATGCCAGTGGAGTCCGAAGCCTCTTATTTTGGGCGAGTATGGTGGTATTTGCAGCAATGCCGCGAGCCCAACTTTGCCATCTCGTGGCTTGCGTGCATTTTGAGAGTATCTATGCGGCCGCGGATTGGAGGATCATAGTTATGGGGTCGTCTTTTGACATTGGCCAACATATGCGTTAGGCAATGGAGCATTCTATTAGATGAAGCAACAGGTGCTAGTTTTAATTGATGAATTAGGTTCTAATCGGTTGCCAGCACTTGTTCACCGTTGTGACATGCTGAAGCCGTTGGTGAAACATGCTGAAGCCGTTGGTGAAACATGCTGACCAAGAAACGAGTACTACGATTGGCTACTATGTTTCTCGCCATCAAATTTCCATAGTCATAAACATTACTCTCGATGAAAATCTTCGGGCCAGAAGTAGGGGTCGATGATAGTAAGTGACCAGCTACTTTGTTTCCTCTTCGCCAGTCGTATACCTCGAAGACCATGAATAAAAACAGGTCAACGCGGAGATATTCTAGCGGTGAATGGGTTGCCCGGAGGCAACGGTCTACGGAGACGGAAAAAACTACGTCTACGCAGGGGAGTTGTTTTCTGGCGCGAGCGTCCTTAGCCAAGACTCGCCGAAAGGGAAAAATGTGTCACGCTCAGCAATGAATCGGACGAGGAGCAGGACAGACTTCGGGAAACGCCTCCCATGGAGCACTTCACAGAATAATGTGAAATGGCCATTGAGAACCATGAAAATCTCAATTCATCTACCCTGCTGGGTTCCTCATCTTCTCTCGAGAAAAGAGAAAGAGGGAAATTCCTATCGCAAAACATTAAAACGCCGGAGTATCATGCCCATTTCCCTTAATTTTTGTCGTTCATCCCGTTTGGTGATTCAAATTGGTTGATTCGTTTCCACCAATAGAAACGTGTCATTGAAATTTTTTGTTTTGTTTCAGTCGTTGCGGAAGCAGAAACGCCTAAGCAGTGACCTTGTTGGTGGCAGCGAGCTCGCGGCCGCGCTTGGAGCGGGCCAGGATGTCCTCACGGTCCTTGTCGAGCTTGAGCTTGGTGATGACGACGTTGGAGGGGTGAATGCCCAGGGGAACCGACTGGCCAGAGGCCTTGTCGCGGGTGACGCGCTCGATGTGGATGACGTATTTGAGGCGGTAGACGGAGGTGACCTTGCCCTCGGAGCCCTTGTTGGAGCCGCGGACAATGGTGACCTCGTCGTCCTTGCGGATGGGGATGGAGCGAACCTGTAGGGGGGAGGTCTGTCAGAAGGACAACTCAAAAGGTGGAAAGCCGGAGCCAGAGAGGAAGAGGCAAAAGAGACGTACATTGTACTTTTCGCGGAGCTCCTTGGAGAGGGGAGCGCTCATGATGACACGGCGCTCGCTGGAGGGAGCCTTGAAGTGAGCGGCGCGGCTCTTGCGGCGGGAAGCCGAGATGTCTGTAGTTTGGCAAAGTCAGCGCATGGCTTCCAATGACTGTTTTATCCGGTAAGATGGGTTGAACTGACTGGTGTTGACCTTGACCATTTTGTCGGTATTGTCGAAAAAGAAGTTTTCGGCGTGGGAGAAGTTGTCGGCGTTGGGTGATGGGGTAGGAAAAAAAGGGAAGAGCAAAGGTCATAGCAAACTGGCACCGAAATCTTTTTGCTGTGGTTGTGTGGGTGGGCAGCTGTGGGCGAAATTTAGACGAATGTGTGGGACACACGTGATTCGGAGGGTATTTTTGTGAGACTGGGGGTTTGGATTCTGGTTCCTGTGGAGCAGCGCAGCATCGTTGCAGCTGGGCTGGACTTCCAGCAAGCCTCGTTTCTTGGACAATGGACTATGATTATGTCAGCAACAATGCTGGGTGAAAAGTACATCGAGACAAAAATCAGCACTGTCATGGCCCGAAAAGACTATGGAGAATGTAGGTGGGTTTTCATGTCATTCCAATCGTGATTCTAAGTGTTTTGGGGAAGTTGTAGGCCTTGCAAGCTACAGAAAAGGCTGTCACATCACGCCACACTGTCCAGGTGCCTGCACATCATCCTAGGCTTTACGGGAAAACATTCTTTTGCTTTTGTTTTTACAGATATTCTATGTGCGGGGGATGAAAGGTTATGATACAAGTGATGAAACATGTCGCTTCGTCTATTTTACAGTGTGGCAGGAGGAGTGAATCTACCATTGTCGTCGTAGCGGGCCTCTGCAGCACGTATTAGCATTCGCATCCTTTTACAGGGAACGTGCGGCGCAAAATTCTGGGGAAAACATACTAAAAAAGGTGTAATTGAGCGTCACCGTCTCGACGCCCTTCATGTTGAGGTCATTGAGCAGGTCCGGGTCGAGGTAGAAGAAGACGGGCATGTCGACCGTCTCGCCCGCGTTGAGCCGCTGCTCCTCGAAGCAGAAGCACTGAATCTTGCTAAAGTACGGCGCGCACTGCGCCGGCGTCACGCTGTACGTCGCGACGCCGATGATGTCCTTGTCGCCATGGTTCGTGGCCGTGTAGAAGGCGAGCGCCGTCTCGCCGGGCAGCACCCGCACCTCGCGCTGCTGCGGTACAAACTTCCACGGCAGCACATCGGACACGGAGGCGTTAAAGGTGACGCGGATTCGCTTGGCCGTCGTCACGGGCACGACGCGCGCGGAAATGTCCTGCTCGGCGGAGCCCGGGCCGCCGTGGACGCGGATCGGCTGCCCGCCCCAGCCGGTTTGCGAGCAGATCTGGTAAAAAAATGTCAGCGCGTTGCGTCCTCGTGCGGTCCTAGACAAACCAGACGGAATCTTTCGTACCATCTTGTACAGCGGCACTGAGCCGTATGACAGGGCCACGGTGCCCAATATCGCGCTCATGGTGTAGTTCCTGGTCCCGTCTGTTAGCCTCAGGCCATCGTATCCCGGCGTCCAATGGACCGCATCTGGGTGGCACGAGCTAGGCTCCGATTTCCATACATGACGGTCCGGTTCTTTTTCTTGTAGTGCGCGCGAATTCGCTCCATCGACAGTGTGTTGTCGTGCTGCTGAGGCTGCGCCCGGCGGGCTGTCGTGCTGGAAAGCTTGCGGCGAAGGCTCGACGTGTCAAGGCGCCGTGTCTGCTGACGGGCATTCTGACAGAAGAAGCAGGCCCATGGCGAGGAACCTGCCTGCGCTACGGACTGCGCCAGCTGCCGAGGGTGATTCATGGCGGCGCTAAAGAAATTGGGCAATTGTCGTGTGAGGTCAAGAGATGGGCAACCGACAGCTTGAGGCAAAACCGCTGTTGAGGTTGAGCAATCAATTTTTAGTGGGTCATGGCCCGACGTTTATACCTAGGCTTGCGTCCGGAGAAGCTCGGGATTTCAAATTGGAAATTGCCAATTGTCAGAGAGATGGGCAGGTAATTCCTATTACGCAGATAAACCAAATATGAATGCAGGGAAAAAATATCACGCTAATGCTATTACACAAAATACTAGAGCTGGAGACGAGATGGGGCGCTTTAGTTGAGCTTCTTCCGGTAGGCCTTGGGCGTGCCGTTTAGCACGCTCCGTCTTTTGCGCACAGCGGAGAATCGGTCAAAAGTCAATACAATGAAGAGCTGGATGAGCAGAATGAAGAATCGCAGAATGTAGTCCGTCAAGCCGAGCTGCGGCTTTCTGCCTCTGCTGTACGTCGAGTCCTTGAACTCAAAGGGCAGCTTGGCGCCGAGATGGTTCTGCGCGACGGCCAGGCCGCTGCTGAAGCCGTCCTCGTGGAAGCCATAGTTAGTCCAGGCGCCGACATAGCTGATGCCGCGCTTGTTCTGGATTTGCGGGAGCTCCCTCTGCGCACGGAAGGCGCCGGGCGTGTATAACGGATGTGAGTAAAAGAAACGGCCCTGGACAGTCGACTGGCGCGGACGCTGGAGCGGGTTCAGGGTGACGAGGACGTCGCCAAAGGGATCTTGCGGGATGTGCTGCAGAATGTTCATGTTATAGGTGAGAGAGACCTTGTCAATATTGGCCTTGCCGGTCGAGGGCGAGGATAGGGTCAGGTAGTTCCAGGCGGCCCACGCACGGGTATTGCGCGGCATAAAATTAGTATCAGAGTGCAGCACGGCCTCGTTCTGGGACGTCTGGAAGCATGAGAGAACGGCACGTTCCTTCTCAGTGGCGGAGGGTCCGAGAAGCGCAAGCGCTTGGTCGCCGTGGGTCGCGAGGATGACGTGGTCGAATACTTCGGTGTTGCCATCTTCCAGGCTCAACAGTACGCGGCCGTCGGCGCTGTTGTTGATTTGCCGCACGGCCGTATTGAGGTGCAGGTGATTTGGCGGAAAGCCTCTCATGACGGCTTGAATGTATGCTTGCGCGCCCTCCTTGATGGTCAGCCATTCGGGTCGCGCGGAGACGGTTGATAGCAGATGATGGTTCCACATGAATCGGACGAGCGCAATGGCGGGAAAGTCAAGGCCGCACTTGTCCGGACCGGTACTCCAGACGGCCGCGGCCATGGGAAGCAGGTAGTCGTCGCGAAATGCGTCAGAGTAGCCTTCGCGGGTCAGGTAGGCGCCAATAGTCTCGTTTGGGTCCACGCGCTTGGCGGAGTACCTGCTGCGACCGTCAAATGCGTCTTGGTCGCCGTCGATGAGGAGATCGAGTGCAAACTGGTTGAAGCGGACAAAATCGAAAATCATGCGCCACATGCGAGGGGAGAAGATACGCCGTCGCTGGGCAAAGACGGCGCTGAGACTTGTGCCAGCCCATTCAAAGGCGCCGTGGTCGCGCGAGACGCCAAAGGTCATGTCTGTCGGTTCCGTCTCTACTCCGACCTTGCTGAGAAAGTTGATGAAATTGGCTGTCACATGCTTTTTTAGCGCTGGGGAACATCGAAAGATGAACTGCGACGGCGAAACTCACGGTACGTGGCTGTGTTTAAAACGATGAAGCCAGTGTCAACGGCCGTCTTGAACTTTCCGGCGCTCCATTGCACAGTGTTTGTGTGGCCGCCGAGGCGATCGGCCGCCTCGTACAGGTGGACATCGTGATATGTACGGTTGAGCGCCCACAAGGCGGCGATGCCAGAGCAGCCGCTGCCGACGATGGCGACTCTCTTTCTATTGAACCGGTTAACCGGCGCGCTCATGGTGAGAAAAGGCAGGGTGTGCAAATCACGATGAGGAAATGGTAATTAATGGGCAATTAGGCGAAGCAATGGAAGGCTGTGGCAGAGTGGTGAAGGCGGAGAGAGTGTCTCGATGACGAGCTATAGCCTAGCAGAGGTACGCCTTTGTTGAGCTCGATCTGCAAGCCGCTGTGGCGTGTCCCGTCTGTAGCAAAAAGAGGAGCGATGGCAACAGGGCATCCGAGGCAATAAAAAGCAAGAGGATGGTCATGGCTAGCTAGGCCGAGCTGCGAGTGCGTCGCCGCAAGCGTTTCTGGCGTGGTATAATATGCATGACGATGCGGGTCAAAACGTACATGTGGTTTGAGTCTCCCATTGGGCGGGAGGAGAATGCTGAGGGCATTGGTGACGGAGCGTAGGAGTAGCAGACAGAATGAAGTGGAAGGTGAGCTGGAGATGATGCGGCGCGACGGAGAAATTGTACAAAAAAATTGAAACAAGGTCACAACGGCAAAACTGGCCAAAAATCAAAGAGAAGGTAGGGTAGCTCGTCCGGGAATGGCAATGGTAACGGCAAACCTGCGACCAGCGAGGTCCTCCGGTTTTATCTCTGCGACGCCGTCGTCGACGTAATGCGGCTACCAGCAGCGCCCAGCCTAGCAACGAGCACGTCCTGGGAAAGGTTGAGGGAAACCTTGTGGAGGCTTTGTTTGGGTCATTCGGGCACTTGTATGCGTAGCCTCAGGTAGGTAACAGCGGGTGACTCCGTGAGGAGAGAGGGTCCAACCCCAACACTCAACAACCAGTAAGCTGACGATGAAGGGGCTCACTTGATCGGGCTGTGCATGCCTGTGCTCAAAGCGCTTCCCGAAACGGGTGCCTTAGCGCAAAAGGCTGGATCGAGCGGAAAAGAGTTGCTGAGATGCGCTGTCAAAAAACAGGCCGGCTTCGGATGGTGTTTTAAAGCGGCCACGCACGACCTTTCTACAAAGACCTCGTGCTTTGCCCGAGTATTACGGTAGGGAGTATCGAGGAATTCCCTTCGCATCTTCTCTTCCATTCGAACAACAATGGAAAAACATCGCAATTGCTGAAATGTCGAGCACTCAACGGGATCGGGAAACGTCGGTTCGAATCACCAATTCTTAGAAGCGTCGTGCAGAATTTCTCCTGCGATCCTTCTCCCCGGCTTATATCAACTTGACGCCAGTTTGACAAGTAAATGTCAGCACGTCAAGCCTATTATCTTCATTCGCCGGGTGATCAACTTTGAGAAGAAAAGAAGAGAAAAGACAAAAATTCTGAGGCATTGAGGAACTCCATAATTTTTTTTTTTTTTGGCAGGGTGCCACTCAATTCCATCACGTGTGGACGAACTTTCAATGTGGCTGAAGGACCCGCTCTGGCCAAGGCAACAGAGGAGCTACAGCGGAGTGGCTAGGCCGCAATCAACTGGAACGACTGCTGTAACCTCCTGCTTCGAGCTGTGACATAACCATCAGCGCCGACTCACGCAAATACAACGGCTGACGCAAGACCCTCTTGGCCTCTTCAACTCCATCCAGCCTTGTACATCTCTCTCGCCATCGTGACCCGTTGCATCTTGTCGCGTCCCTGAATACTTCTGTTCTGCTCATCCGTCATCTGGATTGCCGTCGTATTTTTCTGGCTACTCGACGTCGAAACACCAGACCTCCTTTCTCCGTTGCCTCGGCCGACGAACCCATCATCAGCCGCACCTCTCCTCTTCCACAGCGGCAGTCGCCACCATGTCGAACCCTCTGGACAGCGATGCCGGCTCCGAGCTCTTCAACTCGTACGAGGCCGAGCTCAAGCTTGTCCAGGCCGACCTGTCGCAAAAGATGGAGCAGATTCCCGAGCTCGCAGGCGAGCCGCGCAAGGCCGCCATCACCCAAGCCGAGCGTGCGCTAGAAGAGGCCGACGAACTGGTACGAATAGCATCCGCGTTTCACCTCCAATGCTCTCCCACTAACATGCGATTTCCTCTTCTCATCAGCTTGGCCAGATGCGCCTCGAAAAGTCCAACATCCCCACCTCGTCCCGCGGCAAGGTCAACCAGCGCTTCCGCAACTACGAATCCGACGTCGACACCAGCCGTCGCAAGCTCGCCGACCTCTCCTCGGACCGCTCCGCCCTCTTTGGCTCTCGCTACACCGATGACCCCTCCGGACCCTCCGATATTCACCTTGAGCAGCGCCAGCAGCTGCTCTCCGGCACCGACCGCCTCGACCGAAGCACCCAGCGCCTCAAGGCCAGCCAGGCCCTCGCCAACGAGACCGAGGACATTGGCGCCGGCACCCTGGCCGACCTGCATAGGCAGCGCGAGACGATTCAGCACACCCATGACCGGCTCATGGAGAGTGAGGGCTACGTTGACCGCAGCGTCAAGACTTTGAGGGGCATGGCCCGTAGGTAAAGTCACCCGGCAATGTGCTCGAATGGGCTTCGTACTGACCTTACTGTGCAACAGAATGGCTACGAACAGGATAATCACAATTTCCATCATCACAGTTCTTGTTCTGTTGATTGTGCTCGTTATTTTTAGCAAGTTTAGGTAATGTCTTTCACGCTGGAGTTTTGGGTTTACCATGGTTGCATCTGCGCTGTGAATAGAAGTCCTTCGGATAGCAGTGTATGATTTAGAGAGCTCGTAAACTTTCTTTTACTGCGCAATCAATACAGTATGTAGAAATCTGGCTCTCGTGAAAGCTCTCCTGGTGCTTCTCGATCTTGATTCCCTAGCAGTGGGGTGCTGTGCAAGGCAGCACATAAACCACACCACATCGAGTGTTATGCGCTCAATGAGCTCCCAGACCCGAGAAAAGTAACCTCCTAGGTGTTGTTTTATTGACTTGAGTTCTCAGTCGCGTATTCCTGGCCTGAATTGGCCGGATCGCAAATCCGATACTACAACCGGTTACCGGGTAGGGTAGCACACAGTATTGGGCGCTTGGTCAATGAGCTTGTGCGGGGCGCTCCGCACATCCGAACATCAGCCGCTAAGCAAACCACCTCTTGCACACATCCAACTTGTCCAACCTGACAAAACTTTGCCTCATAAAACACCGCCTTGCTCTTCCAACTCTCCCTTGCACTCCACCAACCACCTTCTTCTTCCCCTCCCTCCCTCCGCCTTGTACTTTCGGCGCTTTTCCTTAATTCATACAACGCATCTCTTTCTTTTACTTCGCAGCCAGTTTGCTACGTACTCAACGTAGTGCTGCGCCTGCGCCATGTCGGAATTTCTTGGGTTAGCAGCTTACGCATTTCTGCTCCTGGACTCCGTCGCTGACCGGACATCACAGATCCCGCATCTCTTTGATTTCAAAAAGTGATATTCGGTATGATCGCTGCACACCCAGCTCTAGGGACCTCCAATCGCTGACAATGACATTAGCTACGTCGGCACTCTGCACGAAATCAACTCTGAAGAGTCCACAGTTTCGCTCGAAAATGTGCGATCGTTCGGTACAGAGGGACGCAAAGGTAGACCTGAGGACGAGATCTCTCCGTCTGACCAGGTATATGAATATATTGTATTCCGCGGCAGTGATGTAAAGGACCTCCGCATCGAGGAGCACCCTAGCATCAAAGAAAACAAGCCTCCCGCAATCCCCGACGACCCTGCTATCCTAGGTGTAAGTACTTCACTACCCACAAACAACCTTTCTGGTTACATGATGAACTATTACGGATGTAAACCTTTTGTCACAACTGATAGCGCAAACCATGTGGAAATTTTCCGTTGCCTTCCTTCTGATCCCAACCTTATAACACCTTATTTGATACTTGCAAAACCGAAGCAACAATTTGCTAACCCCTCTCAAGGCTCGCCCTCGCGGCGTACAGGGCGGCAGTCATCATGCACCCCCGCCAGGACCTCCTCAAGGACCTCAGGGACAACAATATCCTCCAAACCCGAACTTCCAGGGTGGTCCTCCTGGCCAATGGGGTCGTGGTGGCCCTGGTCCCATGCCTGGTCCTGGCTTTGGCAACATGCCATACTCTTATCCTCCTCCTCCGGGTTGGTTCCCTGGCCAAAGCTTCCCTCCTGGCGGACCTGGTGCTCCCGGTCCTTGGCAAAACCAGCCTTTTCCCCCGGGTGCTCCCCCAGGCGGCCCTGGACCTCAAGGTCCACCCCAGGCCGGAAAGCCTGAGTCGAAGCCTGCTGAGGTCCCTGCTGGTCAAGAAGCGAAGCCTGCCCCTACACCTCCTGTCGAATCCAAGCCATCCACTGCTGCCGTCAAAGCCGCCGCCTCAAATCTCGGTGCCAACGGAGCCTCTGGTCCTAACCAAAGAAGTAACAAGGTCAACCCTGTCATCCCTTTGACCGGAGCCAGCGCCAAACCATTTTCTCTGCCCAATGCTGAACAGCGTGTGGCTCAGCCTGCGTCTGCCCCGACTGCGGCGCCGAGCAGCGTTCAAGATGCCACTAGCGCAGCTCGAGCTGCTGTTGCCGTCGCCATGTCTCAACTTGGCAATGGCGGTGGCAATGCCATGGACAATTTGACAAACAAAGTCAACGAGATGAAGTTCAATGCCGGACGTCCACCCACTACCCCTCGCGGTCGAGGCCGTGGTGGCAGGGTCCATGCTGCGGTAGTCAAGGTCGAAGTCCCGGATTCGGACTTTGACTTTGCCGAAGCAAACAAGAAGTTCAACAAGGACGAAATCAAGCAGCCCGGCGAAGAAGTTGAAGGCGCCGAGGTTGAGGAAGTCGAGGCCAGTGATTCTCCCACGGCCAATGTATACAACAAGTCCACCTCATTTTTTGACAACATCTCGAGCGAGGCCAAGGATAGAGCCGCCAACAACGGCCAGAAGCCCGGAGGTCGCGAATGGCGTGGCGAGGAGCAGCGCAAAAATATGGAGACCTTTGGGCAAGGCAGTGTTGATGGAGGATACCGCAACTACCGCGGTCGTGGTCGTGGACGTGGTGGCAGAGGCCGTGGTGGCCGTAGTCGTGGCGGCCGACCTCAGCACCAGGCTGGTGGTGGCGACCTATAGCATAGGCGCTAAAGCCTAATGCCGTGCTTTTTTTTTTCTGTTTTGTAACGTTTACTCAGGTTCGGGGGCCAGCGATATGACTGTTTGAAAAGATTTCTTATGCAATGGTTCGTCATGGAAACTTCGCAGCATTGGACATACAGGGCCACGATAGGCTTACATGGAGTTCGGATTGCATTGGTGCAATAACAAAGGTATTATAACAAGTGCAGATGGGGAATGATTTTGGCTGGATTGAGCGAACCAGGTTTGAGCGAGGCGACTTTCGCCAACATGACATTATTTGACAGATTTACGACATTGGGGATGCAATGAAGCTACGACGATACCCGTTGTACAGATGGGGCAGCTGCGCCTTCCTAAGGCTGGAGCAGACTGCTGTGGTATAGGACCGGAGGCATATCAGAAGATCTGACTACTGTCCGGTAGCGAATCAACCTAAGATAGTAAATATCTAAATAACACGCAATATTGTGTTCAATTGGAGAAGGTTTTTTCACATGTGTCTGCAGGCCGATGCTTCACAATATTGATGATGGGATCTGTTGCATGATCCACGTGACTGTCAGCGAATGACAGGCATCCGGTCTCAGTAGGCTGATTGTATATTTGTGGCTGCATTTACCTGCACGCCTGCCGATTGCTGTTTTGACACCTAAGACGAAGTTTACTGATCTCGCATATCTTATGCGCAAGGGCATCCGTTTCTTCCGTGAAACGCACTGCATCGGATCATTGCGTAGCTTAGAGCTAAGAGCTCAGCATTCCTATGAACGAAGCTCTCTTTGAGCAGCTGCGGTCTATTGACAGCCGATTCAGCGAGGACGTTTTGGCTACGTTCGACTAACTAGTGACGAGACGAGCGTGGAGCTGCGGCAAGAGCCGTGCCCGAGATTGACGACTCACCATGCTGATGCATGATCTTGAATTTGACTGGCGATGAAAATGCATTTGCGAGACAGGAGTTCTGATTGATGATCCTATATGACTGTCTAGAAATCATTTACTGTTCTTAGTGTGATGGATGTTGCATGTTCTTATCGAGTGATAGGGTTGTGACCCGCCGTAAAACGTCATGCTTCTCGGGCGGCGTGACTCCAAGTTAGCTTGGTGCTTTCAACATCCCGTTGGTGAATCAATCCTGTGGCGGGGGCTCTTCTACCATTGCTTTGAGCTGCACACCAGATCATGATTGACTTTACTCCGTGGTAATCTTATTTCGGCGCTTACGGGGCACCTCGACTTGTACCGGGTACAGCTCTGCAAATCAATTAAAATTCGCGACCCCGCCATCGACCTCTCCGCCGCGCGACACAGAGCAAGAACAGAATGTCCAGCCGCCAATTGCGCAAGCTGCAGAAGCAGCGCGAGCTGGAGCAAGCCGCGAAGAAGCAAAACGACCAATCGGATCAAGACGAAGAAAGTGATGACGAGCCAGCGCCCGCGGCGCGACCTAAACCCAACCTCTTTGCTGCCCTTGGTGGCGACGGTGATGACGCAGACGCTGAAGCGGACGAGGATGACGACAGTGAGGGCGACGCCATAATCGAGACAGCAGTCAGTGAGCCGATAGGACCAGGAAGCGCTAAAAAGAGTAAAAAGAAGAAGAAGAAGAAGAGCAAGAAAAAGGCGGCCACGGCGGCCGACGCCAGCGAGGAAGATGAGATTGACAAGGCCATCAAGTCGCTCAAAATGGCCAAATTGGACAAGGGCGCGCCCGCACAAGACGAAGAGAAGCAGCGCCGCGCCATGGCTTTCAACAGCATTTTCCAGATTAACACGTACCACCTGCGGGCCATCAACGAGATGCGTAACCTCTTTGGCCGCGAGATTATTGAGTCAGCCAACGCCGAGGAGGAGCGACAGCAGCAGGAACAGCAGCAGCAGATCCGGCGCGGACAGCAGCTCGACCTGGAGACGTTTCTGCGCGCGCAAGCGCCCAACGCCAAAAAGCTACCCGAGGTTTCGCTGCGGCGCAATGTCTTTGTTCAAGGCCGCGACCACTGGCCCGCCCAATCTGCGGCTGGCCTGACCATGAAGGAGGTGGCAGCTAGAGACGGGGACGGATCGTCGACCGAGTATGCGTACCTGCACGAGGGCGAATACGACGGCTTGCAGACGCTGTTCTTTGCGTGCGTCCAGATTGGCGACCCAATGCGCATGGTTAGCCTCCTCAAGCGCGCGCCGTATCACGTGTCGACGCTGCTGCAAGTCAGCGCCGTGGCCCGGCAGGATCAAAACATGGCGCTGGCGTCGGAGCTGTGCGAGCGCGCGCTCTTTACGTTTGGCCGTGTGACGACATCAGCATTTCGGCGGGATGTTGAGCAGGGCCGCGCGCGGCTCGACTCGCGGCGGCCCGAGAACCGACAGTTTTGGCTCGCGGGCTACCACTACCTACGAAGCCTGCTGCGGAAGGGCACGTACCGCACGGCGCTTGAGTGGGCTAAGCTCTTGTACGCGCTGGATCCCGCGGATCCGTACGCGATGCGGCACTACCTGCACTTTCTCGCCGTGCGCGCGTATGAGGCCAAGTGGCTGCTGGAATTTCTGCAGGACGTGGAGGAGAATGCGGGGTCTGTCGCGCACGAGGATTTCATCTACGTGAGGCAGAGCGGGATTCTGGCGCGGCTACAGATGGGTGAGACAGAGGCGGCGAAGAAGGAGCTTGCAGAGGGCATACGGAGAGTGCCGTGGCTGTACTGCGCGCTGTTCCAGGAGCTCGGCCTCGACGCGCCGCCGTCTGTCTGGGGCGTCCACGCAGAGTCGGATGCGCGTCAGTTTTGGGTCAAGCTCTACCTGCACTTTGCCAAGGATCTCTGGAACAATACACAAGCGACCTCGCTGCTTACGCAAGTCGCCAAAAGCATGGAAAAGGTCGACGTCGTGAGCCTGCCCGTTGACGACGCGCCGCCCGACCTGGGCGCCACGCGCCTCGTCTTCCTCGAGGGCCAGACGAGCCTTATCGCGCTGGCGCCGCGCGCGCTGCTCGACCGCCAGCCCAACTACGATTTCGACCCGCTGCCGCCCGCGGAAGAGGACAACATCTTTACGTACCAGGGCACGCGGCTGCCGTGGACTGAGAAGCACCGCCGCGACGGCGGAGGCGTCGGGCATGCCGCCAACGACGATCCACAAATTCAAGAAGCGCTGGCGCGCATGCAACACATGCTCGCTGCGCAAGGGGGCGCCGCCGGCGGTCGACGCGTTCAAGGGTTCGGCATCGCTGGGCAGCAAGAGGACTCAGACTACGATGATGAGACGGACGAGGAGCTGCGCAGGGATCTGGAGGAGCACGCACGCAGGAGCAGAGAGCCCGGCTTCCTGGGACAGCTGATGCAGATGCTGGGTGTCGCGGGCGGCGGCGGCGGCGGTGCTGCGGCGGCAGCGGCACCTGCGGAGGACCAGGACGGGGACGATGTTGAAGAGGAGGACGAGGACGTGCCGGAGGCGTGGCCGGGGCAAGGCGAACACAGATGAAAGTGGGTTTCTTGTCGTGCGTGTGTATCAAGGGATATCACCAGTTGTCGATGGATGCATAGCATGCAAGTTGATATTATAAAAGTGGCGATGGGGAGATTAGTCGACAGGGCTGAGTGGAACCAAAAAAACAACAACAACAAACCAAAAACAAATCGAATGAAAAAAAAAAAGTTTAAATGACGAGGTGCTCCGTACGGATACCGGTGGGAGTATATGTATATTGGACGTTTAGTATGCCCTAATCGAGATGAGATGAAAGACGGGAAATGCCGTCCGTAATGACCACCAGTATTGGTACCATCCTTGGCCGTTGTGGACTATGATTTTGAAATATGACAAGACAAAGGACACTCGTCGATTTCTTCAAAACGCACCTGCCGCACTAATGGTTTCCCTTTTATCAGGGCGAGAATCTGATATTTGATTTCGAGATCTTGGCGGTCTAATACATACGTGATGATGCCGCCCCCCCGGCTCCGAAGGATGTGCCGGCAGCGGCGGAGGGCGGTGGGAGGTCGGCGGCTCTCGGTAGGTTTCGCCGACTTTTTTAAGTTCGCCGTGCTATGAAAGAGGCCTTTTCTTGCATTCCCTCTCCCTCCCTTCTTTTGCGCTCCCTGCAGCTTTTTCTCCCACCTCTTTTTTTTTTTTCTTTTCTTCACGATCTTTCGGAGGACGGGTTTCACACCCCTCCCCTTTTCCCCGCACATGTTGCCTGATTCTGCACGATAGCGGACTCTTGCTTTGCGACAATTGCCTTCGGCAGTCGTCGACGTGCTGCATGAATGAAGTTACGCCCGCCTTCGGCTCCGTGAGATGCATGCTTTGAGTCCTGACTCGTCACCTGCCGTGGGGGGACGGGAGTTGGGGGGTTATGATGCTCAGTTTGATACATGCGCGTATATACGGGCAAGGCCCCCATTCTGCGATGAGGTCCCGCCGGCTATTGGTACGAGATTAAGTAGCGGATCCGGGGGCTCCTATAAAATAAAACGTAATGCAAGGGAGCACGCCGCGGCTATTGACGTTATTGAACGTGTTGCGTCCATATCAGTTGGCTTGCTGGGGAGGTCCGCCCGGAATGGCTCCCGGTGCAAAAGGAGACTGAATGCCAAGATAAACATGTTACGGAGTAATCCGTACGGATATCAGATACTAGAAGTCGTGAGCTTGAAAGGTTTGCAGCGGACAGCAAAACAGAAATGATTTTGGCGAGAAAGCCTTGGGTGATTAGCACCGACGGCCCCTCGTGGCTTTTGGTGGCGTGATGCCGCGCAAACAGACCCTTGCTTTGTCGGGCAACGACCGAGATGCACACCACCAAGACCCCTGCCGGGAAGGCGTTTGATGGCGCTGCCCACTCGGCCGGAAGGATGAGGAGGTGGGCGACGCCAGCTGATCCCGCCCATCACCCGCCGCCTTATTGTTTTCCCTACAAGGCCGTCTTGCAGCAGCATGTCTCGAGGGCGGTACAGCACAGCACAGCGCAGACGTAAGGTCTCATATTCAGCGCTGCAAGTTCAGCGCTGTTGCTGTTCTGGCCTGGGTCAAGTAGAATCGGTCTCGGAGCTGTCCAGATTGCTGCGGCCGGCGTCGCGACTTTTCCCTTGCTCCTGCGTTGTTGCAGCGACTTGTGCATGTACATGGCGAATTGTGGCACCACTCCGAGACAAAAGGAACTGGCTGCGCGCGGTACCTGAGACGGGGCGGACAGTTGAACAGTACGGAATTCCGCGACAAGAAACCAGTGCAGGTCAAGTCGCCTAGCCGTTGCCGCGTTCTACATCACTGTTGGCCCGTCCGTCCTCGTCTGACATGATTCCACTCATAGCGTATACAGCCGCAAGCTAACTTGATTACTCTCTCTCGTCAGCCTCGCCGCATGTAACTCTTGGCTGCAACCACGACGAGGTCGAGGGAAACGGCGGTGCGGAGCTTGCATGCCGCGCAAATGGTTGCGCCGGCCCGGAGTGACTACGCGCAAAAACCATCCAGCCCTGCCAGCGAAACGAGCAAGACTGAGAGAGAAGATGAACAGTCGCCGCCCGCTCGTGCCCTCGCATCGGCCGGCTGTCGAGTCATTGTCGCTGTCTATGCGCCGGGGCTCAGGAAATTATCCCCTCTCGGCCGAACCCGCTCTTTGCTCCCACCACCTTCTCTCTTGGGTGTCGTGCTTTGTTGGAGGGGCTTCTGACGGGTGGGTGTCTGACGATTAACTCAAACTCTAAACAGCAGGGTCAAGAGGTCGTCCCCATGTCGCCTACAGGGCCTTCAGGGAGGAAGATGGATATTCGCCGACCGTCTTTATTAATTTCTGGAGACAACTATTGTTTTTGCTTATCAGTTTCAAATACCATCAATTGCATTGATTAAAAACAGAGTGGGAGCTGCCTAATTACCCGTTGCGAGATGGAGCCGTTGTGGGAGAAGTTGATATCGACTGCATTGCCAGTATGCATACAACCTGTGGCGTACTGTACCTAGGCACTTGGCACGTAGGGCGGACCCCGCGCTGAACCCATTGCAGGCGGCCGCCTGCAGTTGGCATCTGCCGGCCTGGACAAAATTTCATGTCGCGACATTTGACGATGATGCATCACTGGAGTAAATCCGAAGTATGTAGTTGTAAACGATAGGTACCCCGCAAGGCGTCTGTTTGCAGTTATCGGATCCGCCAGCTGCCAGCTGTGGCCCTGTCCGCGGCGGCGTAACCCTCCGCAACATTTGGCTGTTTGCTCCTTCATTGAGGTATAATGTACATTGCAGAAGCTACATCATTATCCCTTCAAATCTCCGTCGCCTTTTCTTCATCGACCCACGCTTTATTTGCATCAATAGCATTGCTTGCGCTTCCACTTAGCCACCAATGTCAGCCAGCAGACAGCAGCATTACACAGCTTCTCAAGACTGGCCACGTCCTTGACATTAGTTCTCTCGTTTCCCCTTCTCCTTACCCGCGTCAGAAGGATCCGACAAACCCTCAGCTTACACAACCTGGTCGCCGACGATTGCGCTCAGGCCCGGCTACCGGCTTCGGTCCTTTTCTACGTTGGATCAGTTGAGACGCTGACCGATTGCAATCTGTTGCGCTCCCCAAGCCCACGTTCCACTCCGACCTCCGACCACGCCCACACACTTCACTTGACGACACACAAAGTTGAACTAGCAACGGACTTGTTAGTTAGCTCAACACCCCCCTGTTTCTGCTGTATTTCTCGTATCGCTAACTTCGGCCGAGTCGTGCGGACTGCCGCCCGCCGTCTGACCCAGCCCTGCCCAACCAAAAGACAAACCCGAACAGGGCACTGACAGCTTTCAATTCCCAGTGACCGACTCATCGCTGCCTTTTTCCCACATTCAACTCTCTTGCCGCCGCCCTTGCGCCTACTGAGCTTTACGCAGAAGCGTCTGCTGCGGATAGCTGTCGGGCATTGCTCCATTTACTTTGCGACAGCTTGGCAGCCGGGCAGCAAAGTTTCCCGCCCACCCAGCCATCATCTGACGGAATCGAGCCAATCGCCGGCAGGCCCCCCATAGCCTACAGAGCTCCCGCCTCCGCCGCTCCGTCGAAAAACACCGGCTCCTCGCGCGATTCGCATAGCTTCTTTCACAACGCCCTATTGTGCCAGAAATTACTCGCAAGTTATATCATTTCCCATCGCCGGTATACCAGCTACCTGCGGTTTGATCATTTGCGCATTACGTGCCTTGCGCGTCATTGCGGCATGTCCCATCTCTGTCTGACGAGTCTGGTGTCAATCACTTCCAAATAACCTTTTGCGCCAAGCAGCCCGATAATTTCGCAAATTCGCCTCCGACCGTTCTTCTTCACTCAACCACCGCCGGGGCAATCACAATCATGGGTGCTGCGGACCAGTTTGACGGTCTCCAGCAGCCCAAGCAGCAACCCGGGCCACCGCTGCAGATACTCTCTGTTCCTGCGCATGGCGCCCCGTCTCAGTCGCCGCATCCGCAGCAGCAGCTGCCCCAGCAGTCCCATCAGCGCAGCGTCAAGCGCCCCCGACCTGTCAAGTCTTGTACAGAATGCCGTAAAAGAAAGCTTCGATGCGACCGACTTTGCCCTTGCTCGCAGTGCCAAAAATCGAATCGCGCCTGCCGATATGCAGCTGATGCAGATGGACAGCCTGACTCTGATGCTTCCGATGTCGAAGTACCTGAGCCTGGACGCCCTCCCAAGCGCAATTGTCCTCCGGGCAACACGCCTTCGGCCACTTCAATAGCCGGCGATCCGAGCACTATTGCCACCGCTATTGCAGCTGCCAAGAATGGCGATGCTTCTGGGCTGCCGCTTCTGGAGGAGCTCTCCCTGCGAATGGAGCGCCTGGAGAAGCAAGTGATGCGGAGTCCAGCGGCTACAGATTTGAGTGTCAGCCGTGTGAATGCAGCGACGGCAGATACAATTCGCGGCCTCAGTGTCAAAAATAGTGCAAAGCGGACTCGATTCTTTGGCCAGGGAAGTTCCAGGGTCATGCTCAACTTGTTTGACGACGCCAAAGCTTTTATTCGTCAACATCAAAGCATCGCTGGTGGTCGAGAAGTCTTGTCTGATTTTCGAGCTGCCCATCATTTCATACACGAAAACTGGACCAAGGCTCTGGCCCCCATTTCGGTCTACGTGGATTCTATGATGCCAATTCAGAAGCGCATGTCTGATATACTACCCCCCAAAGACGTTTGCGATCGCCTGGTTGCTTCTTATGTGGATTCATCAGAAACCATCTACCGTATCCTTCACATACCCTCATTTATGGACCAATATAACTTGTACTGGAGTGGCCGACAGCAATTCCCACACTTTTTGCCCCAGCTCTTGGCAGTCCTGTCGACAGCCTCCCGGTTCGAAACGAAATCTAAGGGGATTCTGCACGAGAGAACCGATGGAGTGCACAACCCCACTAGCTGTGCATTGGTTCGCAGTTGGCTGGACAGTTTGAAAGGCAAGCAGCGTGTCGAGTTTGAATCTTTGCAGGTCGAAGTTCTACTGTTGCACGCTCAGCGGATGGTGACGCAACGCACCAACGAGTTATGGGCTCAAGTTGGTTATATTGTACGAAATGCCATGTCCATGGGACTACATCGCGACCCTCTGGAGTTTGGCCCTCGCATGACTGTTTTCCAAGGCGAGCTTCGCAGGCGACTTTGGTTTACTATTATGGATATCGACGTGCATCTATCTATTGCCCTAAACATGCCTACATCAATGCGGGAAGGAGATTTTACTTGTCGACCACCACGAAATTTGGATGATGCGGAGCTGTTTGAGGGCATGGGAGAACTACCGCCTTCCAAGCCGATCGACCAAATCACAGACAATCAGCTGCAGGTCTATGGCGCAATGACACTACCAGTGCGCATGAAAGTAGCTTACTTGGTGAACAATATTGATTCCATTCGGGACTATCAAGAAGTGCTGGATGTAGGTATGAAGCTGGATAGGTTTCTCGAAGACATCAACTACCTATTTCCACGGCAAGGCATACTCAACGACACGCAAAAGAGCAAGATGTGGAGATCGCGCGTCATTCTCGACATGCATGCAAGACGACCCCTTCTTGCATTATATCGCAGCCTGGCCATGGGAACACCTGACGCCCCTTCGCAGATCACACGCGCGCACCTACGTTCATCGATGGTGATTTTAAAGTACCTTGACGAAATCGATCCGCGACAGCCATACTTTGAGATTATCACTGCCATGTACCACCAAATGCTCAAGCATGATATTACGCAGGCGGCGCTGAGCGTCTGTTACTATATACAGGCGGCGCACCGATCTTCCGAGAATATGATGGGAAGCTATCAGCGTCAATCGCCAGAATGGGGTGGAGACGACTATCCGCTGTACAAGCCAGAATCATTATCTATATGGTCACCGGAGCGAATGATTGGGACGGTGGAAAAAGCACTCGAAATCCTGACCAGACATGCCAGTGGCAACGACACCAAGGATCTCTTGACCCTGACTCTCGTATTGGAAACGGTGAGGAAACCAGAGCCGCGGACGGATGATATTGTACACGGTCTGTATAGTGTGCTGGATCTACTGCTTCGCTCGTCACATACGACGCTGGAGAAGGTGCGCGCTGCCCCGCAAAGCACCTTCAGGCCGGACGGGTTCATGCATGGCCATGCGCAAATGAGCAACCCGGCTGCGGCGGCGCAACAATACGGCGGCTGGCTCATCTGGGATGGGTGGGATTAGCTGGGACAAGTGATGTATATTTGTATTTGATTTTGAAGACTTGAGGCGATTTATTGCACTTGGATGTGCTGGGGCGTTGGGACATGAATTCTGCTGATGAACGTTGATGATATTCCGGGACGATGGTGACGTACCGAGTTCCCTCGCACTGCATATTGCTATCTATCGACTCTTCTATGCGTATGGAAAAAGTTCTGTCATGACTGATTTTATTTGCCGAGAATGACTCTGCACATAAGAATTGAGGCTGTGCTGGAGAAGGACTGAACCATGATGCGTCTTGGCCCAAACTATTAAACTGGGGTAGTCGTATACAAACGCATTGATGCATGCTGAATGTGACCATGCGCTAATTGAAGACGAATATGCTCATTAGATCACGCAATGCGAAAGCAGTGATGACCCGGTGGCCGATTCTCCGGCCTCCAGGTACGAGAAGCTCGGCAAGTCACCGAACCCGCAACAAACGGCACGTGGCTATTTCATGATAACAACTCATTTCCCCAGAGTGCGGGCGCTTCTTATCTGAAGCGGGCCGGATGATGCATCCGTGCGCCACCGACAAATCATCGGAACGTGCTAGTTAGGTACTGCGCTCATGGTCAAGGGCGGGTATCCATTCACGAGGGACAAGTCGGCATTGGATTGGCTCAGATGTTTAAGCAAGAACCGGGACTAGGCTATTGAATGACCTAGTTACGTGGCGAGCGCCCAAGAAAGGAGACGGACGCTAGGTGGTGGCTGGGGAGTCGAATCGGATGAATTTGGGGATGCCTTCACCATGTCGAATGCAGCGGCTTGCTCGGCAACCCGATCCACCCAACAAACTCAACACATTGCCGCAGACTAGTTGAAAAAGTATGATTGCCAAGGACTAGTTGAAACGTTCCACGTTCCATGAACTACGAAAAGAAACCTAGTTTTAACTCAGTCGAAGCTCCTGGTGTCGGCAAAGAAAGCTGTTGGTTGAGGGCCTGGCTGGGCTGCTCTGCGGAACTTGAAAGCTCCCTACAGAATGATGCGTATGTATGATCTTTGTCTCTCCTGCGACCTGCTTAATCAGCGGATGGGAGTTCCCGACGGCTGCTTGAGGGGATCTTTCCCGCGGCCTAAGTTCGTGGACTGGATCCTGGAACTCGGCCCTTTTCGAGGCTGTGCCAGCTAGCCAAAAAGCGCAGGAGCGAAACTTCACTGCAGCATCATCTTGGCGGTGTGTACTGCGCAGACTCACGAACGGATTATCTGCATCCTGGCTCGGGGACTTCGGATGCATTGCTCGGAGGCCGGCAGTTGGCAGTAGAGTAAGCAGCTAATGAGGCCGAAAGCTTGACCGCATTTGCAACATCAGTCAGTTTGCACTCTCTAGTCTCTGATCAAACTCTCGGTGATGGCCATTACTATTTAATAGCTTATGGACTCGCCTCTTCTTTGTCTCCATCCGCAAACTATACAAGAAGCCACAGATTGGCTCCTTTGAAATCGAAATTGGTTATATTCGCCTTTGTTATTTTGTTCCTTCTTTGCTCATTGCAAAGGGCATCCTTCTACCAAAGATGGGATTCGACGTTGAGCTTGCCACACAATTGGCTACAAAGGCCCTCGGCGCTTCCACCACCGGCATCAAACTTGACACGGGCGATGTTAATGCCGTGGCTCAGTATGTCATGGCTGTCATTTCGATCGGACTCGATTTTGTGCCCGTGATTGGGCCCTTGCTGTCATCGTTGGTCGTGCTCATTGGCGCAGCTGTTTTCCCACTGCACTCGAAAGACATATGGAATGCGCTGCACGAACGCGTTGAACATCTCGTCGACTCCAAGATTGCACAATACCATCTGAAAACACTAGAAGGTCGTATCAGCGGTCTCGAAAGCAACATGGAAGCATTTACCTCGGTTGTGAATAGCTACAATAAGGCCAGCGCCAGCGAGAAGGATCGCCAACGCGAGATATTGCGCCAGCACCACATTGCTTTTCTGGCTGTTGTTCGATCTGCCGTGCCGGACTTTCAGCTAGACGACTATGCTGTACAGGCGCTTCCGATGTTTGCGCATGTCGCCAACATACACTTGAGTCTATTGGCGGATGGTATCAAGCATGGTATTGATTGGGGCTACACGAAAGCTTTTATTGACGACACTTTGAGACCTGAGTTTAAGAAACTCACAGCCTCCAAGGCAGCTTTGGAAAAGAAGTCAAGACTCTTCGTTAGGAGCAGTGAACATGGTGGATACGAACTTGAGACACTGCATCAAGCCATTCAGGACGGAGAAGCGGCTGGTTGGTCACCGGAGTTACTGGCTACTTGGAAAGAGGCTTTCGCGGACATGGTCGCACAGCCGGCTGCACTCAGTAGACGCGCCAACTCGGATTATCCTGGCTACGTCAAAAACATCTATCTTCGGGGTCGAGGAAAGGTGCAGGCAAATCCCAATGATTATCCCGCCTGGTCTACTCAGACAGGTGGTGAAGAGGCGGGCAAGTCTGCAGCAGTGGCTCAATACGACACGACAATGGTGCTTAGTGCTTTGAACTTTGCTGAGCTGTGGCCCTATCTCACCGGAGAGGTCAAAGCCAGCTCTGAAGCCTTGAAGAATGTCGACCGTGAAGTGTTCGTGGGACCGATAGGACGATATGCGGATGCGGTTCCGTGGTCAGCTACGTCCCCGCCGCCAGTCACTCCGCGCGGTGGCCCGATCACTGGAATTCGCGTGCGAGCGTATGATGCTCTTGATGGCATTCAGCTTAAATACGGCAACTCTTGGGGACGCTTTTTTGGATCCCAGACTGGCGGTAAAGAGTACGTGGTAGATCTACAGGCTCACGAGGTCGTTGACGGTGTCAAGCTGGGGGCTGGGCAGAAACTGAGCCAGTTGTCGTTTCACACAAACAAGACAACGTATGGGCCGTATGGTGGAGGGAATTACAGGTCGTTGGACTCGGCCAATATTACCGGTTATGGGCTGACTAGCCTATACATTACGAGGTGGTCGGGCGCTATTCCGCCTGGCTGTGAGGGTGTATTTTTGGGCTTTAGGCCGTTGCTTTTCGCTTAGAAAAACCACTGATAGCGGCTGTTGGCCGAGAACTATACACTGATCTACAGTAGAAGTGCGTGATAAGCATGAATAATCACAAAGTCCTCTAAAGCAATCATTGTGGCCACTTTGAATGATAGATGCTTGGCTAGAACTTTCAATAGTGAGATGATTGTTTTGACCATTGATCCGTCTATCAATCCCTCATCTGCAATCGATGGTCGATCCATCCAATCATAAGGACAGTGGCTCGTTACAGTCCGGCCCTGCGTCTTGTGCAGCAGCGCGAGATTCTACCAAAGTCTGAAAAGAAAACAAAAAAAGAAATCTTGCCGTCTTTGACGAATCTCGAAACCAAGTCATCATTTGAAAAGCAATAGGCATTTGACCGATGCACCTGTGCAAATGTGCCATGACCGCATCAGGCCATGCTCACGAGGCATGTAGCCTGTGCGGGTGCCAATTGGTGGGTTGCTGTGGCGGCCGATGGGCCGGACCTCGGTATGAAGTACCGGAGCGCTGACTGAGCAAAAGACCGTCTGTTTTGGGTACGTCACAACGGGTCGCCACTGCGGCTATATAGACGGAACAATTGACGATTTCTTTGTTTCGAAAGCAGAAACAAAAATGGGAACATTGCTACAGATAGCAAGTAAAAAAAACAAAAATGAAGAATTAGCCACTGAGGACGAGGGAGCGACGCATTCACATAAGGACCATTTATCAACAGCGCGTTGTGATAAGTCTTTGCCTCCGTCGGTCCACCTTGGGCCATTCGGTTACTAGGTATATTAAAAGCGGCTATATGCTCCCCCAGAGTTTTGGCCTTGCGGCGCCTTCCCTCGGCCAAAGCCCCCCCTAACCCAGTCAATTCTGGCCACTAATAATCAGTGACAACTAGAGCAAGTGCGGGGAGGCGACGTGGAAACTCCATGGGCAAACATGATGTCTTGGCTGATTTTATTGCACAGTCAACATGTCGGAACGGCTTCAGCACAACTGTTGGTCACTGAGAAAATCTGGCCTCGTCCTGGTTGCCACTTCAAAATCGGTTCGCGCAAAAGAAAACTTTTAACATGTGTCACCGGAAAAATAACACAAGCATAAAACCTGTACTCAAATTTCTTCCCCAAATTCACATCTGAAAGTCTCCACAACTTGTCGTCGTTCCGGGGCCCCGCCTAACTAGTTGCAGGTTCGTACAGCCAGCCAGCCAGCCATTGCTGCTACTTGCCATAGCCATTCATCGGTTCCGAGGCTAAAGCCCACTCGGCTTCATATATATCTCCATCCTAACCCTGCCTCGTCTCACTTTCTCTCATCCCCCAACAACGTCTTTCTGTCTATACCTCTGTGATATCCCTTCCCTCCACCTCATCTCCGTATACCCCCCTTCATCCCTATACAACCGCCCACCACTACCAACCAACCACATTTCATCCACCATGGTTCGCCAACTCGCCCCCGTCTACATCCTCGGTGTGGGCATGACCAAGTTCATCAAGCCCCGCGGTAATGTCGACTACACGGAGCTGGGCTTCGAGGCCGGCGTCAAAGCCTTGCTCGACGCGCAAATCAACTACGACGACGTCGACCAGGGCGTGGCCTGCTACTGCTACGGCGACTCGACCTGCGGCCAGCGCGTCTTTTACCAGTTTGGCATGACAAAGGTGCCCATCTACAACGTCAACAACAACTGCGCGACCGGCAGCACCGGCCTCGCCATGGGCCGCACCTTTGTCGCCTCGGGCGCCGCCGACTGCGTCCTCGTCGTCGGCTTTGAGAAGATGATGGCCGGCTCGCTCCAGTCCTTCTTCAACGACCGCGAGAACCCGCTCGGCACCACCGTCAACATGATGGCCGAGACGCGCGGATTCGAGCCCGCTCCCGGCGCGCCGCAAATGTTTGGCAACGGCGGCCGCGAGTACCGCGAAAAGTTTGGCGCCACAAACGAAGACTTTGCCGAGATTGCCCGCGTCAACCACGCCCACTCCCCCAACAACCCCTACTCGCAGTTCCAGCAGGTCTACACCCAGGAGCAGATCCTCAAGTCGCCCACCATCTTTGAGCCCCTCACCAAGCTGCAGTGCTGCCCGACGTCCGACGGCGGCGCCGCTGCCGTCCTCGTCTCCCAGGAGTTCCTCGACGCCCGCCCCCACCTCAAGAGCCAGGCCGTCCTCATTGCCGGCCAGTGCCTCGCCACCGACGCCCCTTCGCTCTTCTCCAAGAGCTCCATCGACCTGCTCGGCTTCGAGATGACCCAGCACGCCACCGACGTCGCTCTCAAGCAGGCTGGCATCACCGCCAAGGACATCAAGGTCGTTGAGCTCCACGACTGCTTCTCCGCCAACGAGATGCTCGTCCTCGACGCCCTCGGCCTCTGCGAGCACGGCAAGGCCCACGAGATGGTCCGCCGTGGCGACATCACCTACGGCGGCAAGTACCTCGTCAACCCCTCGGGCGGCCTCATTTCAAAGGGCCACCCTCTCGGCGCCACCGGTATCGCCCAGGCCGCCGAGCTCGTCTGGCACCTCCGCGGCTGGGCCAACAACCGCGAGGTCCCCGACACAAAGTACGCCCTCCAGCACAACCTCGGCCTCGGCGGCGCCGTCGTCGTTAGCGTCCTCGCCCGCGCCGACGGCAAGGTCGCCCCTAAGCTGTCCAACGAGGAGGTTGGCAAGATCAACAAGCTCGGCTACAACCCGGCCGTCGAGGCCAAGGGCTTCACCGCCGCCCAAGCTACCTCGGTCCGCTCCAAGAAGTACTCGAGCGCCTGGGCGCTGCAGGACACTGAGGAAAAGGTCACTGCCAACTTTTAAAAAAGCGCTCCAAGCAGTGTGACGTGAACGAGTTGGGAAGAAACGGAAAATGACAAAGGCACCACTCCTTTTCTATATAGTCAGCGGCCTGGGATATATCATGTACACCATATTTAGTTGAATGAAACTTGACGACTTTTTTTTCTTTGACAACATGTCTTTTCTCATGCAAAGCGATTATCTTTCCTTTCGTCAGCTCGTGCTAAATCGTTTTCAACAAACAACTGACGACAAGTTGAACAATGGCTTTTTTCGGTATCAATTCCCACTCTTTCTTACTCTTCCGAAGCAAGCAAACGGCCCAGCATTTCGAGTAATTCTTTTACAAGGCCTTGACGGCTGCCTATCGACAAAACACCTTCACAGAATTTCACTTTGTACATCGTAACCCCAGGATAAAGAGGCAAAAGTCAACACCTATATCAGTTTTGTCCCTGTGCTTGCCGGGCCGTGGTTGCCTTGGCTTGAGCATTGCTGAAAGATGTACCATTAGAAAGTCGGCTGTTTTTAAAATGAAGGCAAGCAAAAGAAGGCCGAAGAAACGAGACTGTACTTGCAATTCCATGTCGGCATTGACTCGGCAACAAAACTCATGCTCGGGTACATAGTTATAATGAATCGCTGATCTCATACCCCTGATCGCGTCGCGCGTCGCGTCCCACTTCGCGCCGGCAATCAGCCCCTCTTTTGCATTAATTAGTTGCGTGCCACCAATAGCGCGCACTCTTTTTTCCCTACCGTCGATCAGCTCTCTTCTTCTTCTTCTTCTTCTCACTTTCACATAATATTGCATTTGGCGCCCTTGCTACTAGAGATACACTATGAGCATCCCTTTTGCTCGCCTCCCCTCGGAGCTGCGTCATGCCATCTGGACATTGGCCCTTGGCGAGCATGGCGACAACCCCACTATGGTGCCGTTTCGCACCTCGCGACCGTGGATGTTGGAAGAAGAAGATGATGATGAGGATATGTTGCTCGACGAGAACGATATCGACGAACTCTTGTCAGATGGTCAGTTGGAGGAGATTCGGGAATTTGCGCTGCATCAACTCGCGGAACAGAACGAAGACGGCAATTTGGTGATGGCTGCGCCGACAACGCTGCCGAGCAATGGCGTCGCCAGATTGGCGGAAGACGAGGGCGAAGTAGCGGACAATGTTGAAAGGCGAGCAGAATCTGGAGAAGGAGCCGCAGCAGACTCTGGGGACCAGATTGGGGCGGATGAAAATGGCGAAGATGACGAGGACAACCAGCAACACGGAGAAGGCTATGAAGATGAAGATGACGACGTTGACGACGACGACGAGGACGACGACGAACCAGACGACTATGCCGAAGCAGAGGACTTTTATGCCGACATGGGCGAGTTCGAACCAGGCAATCCATACACACAGGAACCAGTTTGGGATGACGAGGTTGTCATTCCCGTCTATGTTCCACCTCTACTACTAGTTAACCGTGAGGCACGCGACATAACCCTGAGATGGCTTGCAAAACACGACATCCAGCTCCTGCGCACCACGATTGCGAAGAACGAGATCAACACCGGTTTCACCCTAACCGAAGACGGCCTCCCGCCGTACACGCGAAAATACGACCCCGAACGCGACAATCTTTACGTGGACCGTCGCTTCTGGCGACGCTTCTGCGATCGTATATATATGCCACATATGATGGCGCCGTTGGACAGCGACGACCCAGAAGAGCAACAACAGCAGCAGCAGGAGTCTGTCCTTGATATTGGCAAGACCATCAAATATCTAGCCCTTCCGGCCTTTACCGTCTATCAGAGCGTCAACACGTTTGCCGAAATTCTACAGTTTTTGCCCAACATCAAGCAGGTTGCCTGCATCTGGAACGATTTACCCACCAAAAACTGGAAACCCGAGGTCGTATACCAGACGGTGCAGCGCGACGGCCAGCCTAAGACGCAGGTGACGAACGTGCTTGTGCCGCGATGGGATCACGTTGAAATCAGCGAGAAGCTGACGGAAAAAGAGCTCGACAGAAGGAGGCAAGACACGGAAAGGATCAAGGCGGAGCGGGACAAATCTCGTCAAGAGAGGCAGGAAAAGCGAGCGCAGGCGGCCAAAGACGGCACGAATAATGATGGAGATGATGAAGATGACGACGACGATGACGAAGACAGCGACGAAGACGAGGGCAGAGGGCCGCTTGTCACCATGTGCATAAGGGATCCAACTGATGGCGAGTCCGTCTTTTGGGAGAGGGGATACCTGACCGATTGGCAGGATGAGATCCATGATGTGCTGGCTTTGAGTGAGCTTCCTGACCATGTCAGGGATACCTATGATGGCACATTCACATTGCCGCTTGTGCCATGCAATGCTGTCTGTCCCGCGGCGAAAAAGATTGAGCCTGTGGAAGGACATGTTTGAGTTGTACATCTCTTTGCATTGGTCACTTTCTTCGGCTCGTGAGAATCAATCTACTTAATAATACTTGTCGGCTTGGGTTGGCGGTAATATTTCTTACCCCTACGCTCTTATGCCTTTCCGCAACTGGCATTCACCATGATGATTCGGAAATGACAGTTTCATTGCCTCAATCGCGTCCTGCAACTTGCGTTCATGCTGCGGTTCTAAGCGCGGAACCGTCTTCTGCTCGCTGTGCTGCCAATGGTGATAGCCACCAGGGGTGAATATCCAAAAAAAAATGCACAAAAGACGTTGCCGCGGCGCGAAGAAAGCTTTGGTGTCGGACACAAGCGCAGACTCAACTCTGGTAGGTGTGACTTGTGTGCTTGTGACGAGCACGTTTCGCGGCGCAAGCTCTCACATGATATCTAAAACTCGATATCTTTCCCTGCGTGGTTTATGCGGTGGCGCGGCAAAACGGCAGCGGGCCGCGATATTACATCATGAGCGTTGCATTTTGTGAATCTGGACCAATGTGCTGGGAGAAAGAAATGAGTTTGTCCGGGGGGTAAATTGTTTGCCAGAATATCTGTAACGCGAAAACATGTAAAACAAAAGCTACCATCGAGACTCGGGCCAAACGGTTGATGACAAGGGAGAAACAAGCCCATGTCGCACAAGTCACAGCCGCAGACGCCGCAAAGAAAGTGAGCAAGTTTCCGAGCTTTGACGTTTTTGGCGGGAGAGCGCGATTTGTGCCAGGCACAATTGTCGCTAAGGTACATGCGGGGCAGGTACCCCTTTCATGGGAGGCACACCAATGCGGTACTTGCTGGTCTAGTCTTTTTAGACACTGTGTCGCGCCATCGGCCCCGTAGCGTCACGACTTACCTTGGGGCCGTTTGAGGGGGGAATTATTAATTGACAGCCATCCTGCCGGCCCTTTTGTCCTTTTACCATTGCATCTTCCCATTCTGCCAAGAGTATAATAGAAACCCGCTCTCCTCTACATCCAAGCTGTTGATCCATCCAACTTTCTCAGAGCTTCATCATTCCCAGAGTGTTTCTTACCCCTCCAAAACCACCCCGCATCATCACCAAACAGCACAACCAGCACCATGGCTTCCCACACCTACGAGTTCAACGTCACCATGTCTTGCGGTGGCTGCTCCGGCGCCATCGACCGCGTCCTCAAGAAGCTTGACGGTGCGTTTTCGTCCCCCCCCCCCCCCCCCCCCCTCCTCCTCCTCAAACCCTGGGCCTCTTTGCGCCAACGTATCATCCGCTAACAGCTACTTTTCTTTTTCCTTTCTAGGCGTCGAGAGCTACGAAGTTAACCTTGAGAATCAGAGCGCAAAGGTCGTCACCAACCTGCCTTACGAGACGGTCCTGACCAAGATTGCCAAGACGGGCAAAAAGGTCAACTCGGCCAAGGCTGACGGCGTTGAGCAGTCCGTCGAGGTGCCTGCTGCTGCGTAAAAGCCAAAAAGATTTAGTTCTCTTCGTGCGACGAGGATGAGGAAAAGAAAGGAGAGAGCGGATTGGAAGGAGTACAAGCAAAAAGATACCAAATGGAGCGACGGACGACGCGGACCAGGGAGGAAATCTGTGTGTCTAACAAGAACGACCCTTTTCAATTACATAGCGAGCCGCCAGCATCCGAATACATGAGAATAAATTGTCAATACCCGTTTTTTTTTATTAGACGATGCTTGTGCGCTGTGGTTGTCGCGCGAGCATGTTGACTTTGAAGTGAATGTCCCACATGCAGCGCCGTAAACTATAGTCGCTCAGAAGCCACATATTGCGAGCGTCTGCTGTATCAATTGTGCCAGCGGCTGAGAGTGTGCAAGCGCCACTGACGTGCCCTTCGATGTCAGTCTGTCGCAAGCAAGATGCCTTTCAAGAGAAATTCCATACAGTGATGTCTTTAATCTTCACTACAAGTATTGAATTCAACGACTCGCTGGAAGATGGCGTCTGACTTTACTTGCGCGGCTGTGAGACCCGTGCAGTCTCAACGACGATTCATAAAAGCGAGCCCAGAAAAATGCTTCATCATCTGAATAATATATCAAGTGCACTCGGATTTTCTTGCTTGAAATCTGACAAGACTTGCAGGAATGGTGAAATACATATGTGCTGGATCTGATGTCTGGACTCGCCGTCGCTGACATGACGAACAGTCCGCGAGGGACGAACAAGGTCTCGACAGTAGAGGAGCAGGGTTTGCAGGGGGATTTTGCGTTACAGAGCTTGTCATGCTGTATGATCCGTTGGTGGTCGCTGCTTCGTCAAAGCATGTTAACATTGGCTGTGCGTCGAGGGCCAAGATATGGGCTATGGTATTAGTTGAGAATACCAATTTACGGCTGAAAACTGGTAGTTACTTGGAAGACTACTCGAAAAAAGTGTTATACAATGGGAGTTACCAGCAGGATAAAGAGGATGGTGAGAATACAAACAATGGAGAAGATTGTACAACGAGTGAAGGGGAGAAAATAGGTGAATAATAAGAATCGGAAGAAAACAAAGAAGAAAGACTAAGACGATTATTATAGTGACGAGTAGATGGATGGCGTCTTTTAGTTACCCACGTATCAATAGTACGAACAGGCTTGTCCAATTGTACACGCATGCGCAGCCCCTTCCTTGTTCTCAACCCACGCAAGTTTTATTCCCCCACGGGGTGTGAAACCCTGTACGACGACTGCAAAAACCCGGCATATGCATGACGTTGCATCCTACAAGCTTCTTGGCAAACACGGTCGTCCTCTCTCCCTCGGCATCTCATCTGAAAACTGCCCATTCCCGGTGCAGGCAGATGCATGACGCGGGGAAAAGAGACGCGGCAATTGGTTATGGTCCACACTAAACCCCCGATCAGCACCATCCGTCATGTATGTGCTAATTCAGTAGTGCGAGTTTGTAGACTATTTTGACTTGTGGCGTGCATGCTTGAATGTAGGCGGGCCTCCCTTGGAGCGAGAGGGGGCTTGGCCGGCCGAAGGGCAACCTGTCTGAGAGGAAGAAATCGTGCAAGAAAAGAAAAGAAAAGAAAAAAAAAAAAAAAAAAAAAAGAAGAACAAAAAGAAAAGAAAAAGAAGATACATATTTTTAGTCTTT